GGCGGCTCGGCGCTTGTCAATTAGCGGGCGATTTCGGTCACGTTCCGAAACGTGACGTCACTCCAGGGATCCCCCGGCCGCCGGATGGTCGCAAGCTTGGTTTTTGACCTTATCAGAGCCAGGGTCGCCACAGTCAGGGGAAACCGGGAAATGTCGGAGAATTTTATAAAGTCACACTGGGGAAAAAAAAAAAAAAAAACACTCAGCTCAGTGATATGTTTAAACAGATTCACCAACGATTTCTCCGTAAAAAAATAAAATGGCGGCGGAAATTTTGAAGCGTCGCATGGCGTCTGTGATTCTTCGGCCGGAAGGTGACGATCTCAATGGAGAATTCGCACGCAAAAATTTTATTGCTTCATCAGAAAGTGCTTGATGAGCTGAGTTCGCAGTATTTTTCATAATTTTTTTCTGTGCTGGAAAGAAAAATACATTGGATCTAGAGTCCAGCCTCTTGAAAACATTAAAATGAAAAAGGACTCTTCATTCAATCAGATTTAGGCTTAAATCAAAAGGAAATCCGCTCAAATTGAGAGGCTTGGTTCTTGATTTAAGCTCAAATCTGATTGAATCAAGAGTATTTTTTCTTGTCGATGTTTTTAAGAGTCTGCACTCCAGATCGAATGTGTTTTTTTTTTCCAGTGCAGGGAAAATGAGTTAAATCGCGTTTATTTGCTTTCTAGAATGTCTTTGGAGTTTCGAGCAACAAATTTTGCCTGAAAACTCTTCAATTATGCCTTCTGAACCATCCGTCATATCTTCAGTTGTCAGGGAATTTCATCAAAATGTGTCAGAGAGAACAGGGAAGTGTCAGGGAATTTCATTTTATGAGGGTTGCCGCAGTCAGGGAAAACTTGGATATATCAAGGAAATTTAAAAAGTCAAGAAAAATGACGGAAATGTCAGAGAAAGTGTGTTAAATCAGCCTTTATTTGCCTTCGAGAATGGGGTTGAGTTTTCGAACAATAAACTTTGCCCAAAAACGATTTTCAATCATGTCTTCTCAACCATCTATCATGTCCTCAATTGGCAGGGAATTTGACCAAAATGTGTCAGGGAAATCAGGGAATTTCATTTTCTAAATTCTGCGGCAACCCTGAATTTCCCGTGGCGGGGGAGGGGGGGGAGGGGGCACGCCGATATGATCTGAGACGAGGAGATACCCCCTATTGGTATCGTAGCAGAGGCGGAAGCTTGCTTTCGGGCTTTCTACTTTTAAGTCTCTTAGCCTACCTGTCAGGTGTGTCAGGTGAACATTTACTTGTTAAGAGTAAAGACACTAAAATGTGACCTGAACTGGAGGTTACAAGGTGGTAGAATAGCGTTAACAGGGTTGCCTCTCTTAAGGAATTTTGAAAAGCATATTGGAAGTCCCTCATCTCATTCAGCGAGTTTGAGATTTTTGGATGAGACGAGGGAGTGTCAACTCCCTAATGACTTGTGGGAGGACCGAGTTTGGTGGCGGTTAAGCGTCGCAGAGCGCCAGAGAGCGCTGTGAGAGCGACTCCTACGTCTATTGAAAGTGAAGAAAGGCTCTACCCTGACCAGAACACTGCTACCGTGCTAAGGAAAAATGCTGTTTGAGCTTTTTAACGTTGCCAAATTTTTCTCGACAAATCTTATATTTTCGGAAATATTTGTTAATGTTTTTCCTCTGATTTTTTAGAGAATTTTGTTCGTACTTGATTTGATCTAAATTATCTGAAATTTTCAATGTAAAATACTCATAACTTTCTTCGAAAATAAATATTCTCTGAGAGGAAACTTGGCAACATACGAATGCTCATACGACTTTTTTCCTCAGCACGACAGGCGAGTGAAGGTTTCTATTTGGACGTATTTATGCTAAAAGGAACTATGTGCATAGGGTTTGTGTGTAACATAGTTCCTTTTAGCATAAATACGTCCATTTTTCCGTGACTCACTCGACTCAGTCATGCACAACTTGGTTTCATTCTTGAGACTGGGTTCCGGTGAGTGGAAGTTTTATTCCATTCAAACTATCAAGTGGTTTCAAACATCCTTTGCGAATCATGATACCTTGGGTTCGCTGTTTCCCCCGCAGTCTTTACCTTTAAAAGCTGTTCAGTTTTCTATCTTCTTCAAAATTGATGGATCTGTGACTTGAAATATACTACATTTTTGTGAATCTCCTCACTCTTTTCCTCTTGATACTGGTTACTTATTTACTAATAGAATCGTTTTCTTTGTTTTATTTTTTCAGATGCAGCGCGTGAGGTTAACGGATTTTCCAAGGACCTGTACCGGCCCTCGGAGTATGACAAGTTGGCACTATCCATTCTATCTCCTTTACCAAATGAACAAGACTTTGCAATAAATGTTTGTACACTACTTTCGAATGAGGGGAAGCACACGCTAAAACTAGAAAAGCACCCAAGAATACTCCATTGCCTCCTAGCCCATGCTGCAGTTTTCAATCACCGTAAGTTGTTTTTGCTAGCTATCTACTTAAATAAAAATTCCAGTTTTTTTAAAGAGGCAATTTAGCGGCAGGAACTGCTCATACACTCCTCGAGAAGATCTCAGTGTTTAAGTTTTCTCATTTAAGGGGCCTGGAGGACAAGATGCGTAAGTGTAGTTTTAGAAAAAATTGAGATATGAATGATTTCAAGTAAAACTGGTCATAATGCATACTGTGTGAAAAATTTGCTCCTAAATTCCAATTTTGAAGCATCAAAAAGTCAGTTTGAACTCTCTCCACCATTAGGATCCGTGTAATTTCTCGAAATAGCAAAAATTGCACTTATGTGCGTTGTCCTCCAAGCCTCTCTTTTCTGAAGCCATTCAATTTGCATAAAACTACGTTGAAAATTGTATCATTAATTTGATAAAGAATCAAATCGGAATCTTTTTAATTATGGACATTCCTGCGGAAAATTATCCTCAGACATGGATAGATTATGATCCGAAAGAATAACCATATCGACTGTGAAATTAGTAGAATGGTCATCTTGGTTTACGATGTTGCAGGCATTTGACATACTCTATTTTTTAAATAGAATCATACTCAATGTCATTTTTGGAAAAGTACCCTGATTTAATTTTTCTTTCCCTGCGCAGACAATATTCATTGAAAATTTCAAGCAATATTGTTAGTTTTTTCTCCCTTGGATAAAATAACATGAGAGTGAAGATTTTGAAACTCGTCGAAGAAGGCACACATTCCTGCTGCTCCATCATTGATATCTTTGCTGGAGCAGAAAACATCTTAAATGGCTTTAATTTATTAAATCCCTTTCAGTCCAAAACTCGTCGGTTGTTATCATCGCATGACTTTTTTCCTGTCAAAATTTGAACAGTTTTCTACAACTTCATCGACTTTCAACAACTAAAATAATAAAACCAGGAGTTCGTCCCGTGAAATTTTTCTACATTTTTAAATCTAGGAATGTATGTAGGCTGAGGTAGCTTTTTATTTTTACGAATGTTTGACTTGGCAAGCTTTTACTGTCCTTAGCTCTGATCTAGTATCATTCATTAGAAATAAGACACCAACCAAAGAACTAATTACATATATTTTTTCTGTTCTAGAATCGATGCGAGATTTCTTCGAAGATCACTACAAAAATGTGAGAGGACACTCGGTGAAACACTTTTGGAGTGACGTGCTGGGAGACAAAGCTCTTCTTCCCCTTCTGAACGAAAGCAAATTTGTGCGGCGGAAAAAGGGCAAACTTCTGGCGTGCGAGGAATCGAAAGAGAAAGAAGAGCCGATTAAAATGGATGTGGAGGCTGACTCAGGCTTAGTAGATCTAGCAAATAGTGCGGATAAAACCAGTGACGACACGGATGTGGAGGAAGTTGATTGTGATAGTGGTAGTGAAAGCAAGTGCAAAATTAATCTAAAAATTACCGATGACGATAAAGAATTGTTCTGTGTCGGGAGGACGTTGGGTATGCAAGACTACGTCGGTCAGCGTGTACTTCAAATCGCAATGGTATTACGGAATCTGTCTTTCACAGAGGAAAATTTAAGTTTGTTGTCGAGCGATGTGCATTTTATCAGGTTTATGTTGCTGTGTTGTGGTGCAAACTGGGACTGTCTACATCAGGTCGGACATGATATGTTGGCGAACGTTGCGGTAGATGTCAAACTAGAGGAACCGTTCGTTGACCATGTGTTAAGGGTAGTCAACAATGGAATCCACTCGCAGGATCGGGCTGTGATTCTTTCGTCCATTGAAATACTCAATAAGCTGGGTCAGAACGAAGACAATGAAGAACTACTGCAAAAATGTCTTCAACAGAAGGTATTTCTACCTTTTATTTCTCTTGCTATTCTCACCCAAGAATATTCGAAATGTTTCATTTCCTTTTACAACAAATATTAGTTTCCAAAAAGGAAAGAATCTCACTCCATTTTATGGTATAAGGAAAACTTTATATTGATTCCTACATAAATTTTAAAATTTTAGACTCCATATCCTAGAACTGAGAAGATAGAGCTATCAAATATCAAATCAGACCTTTAGAAATGAGAAATTATCGGTGAGGAGGCATCTAATTGAATCAGTCAACAAGGTTGTAATCAGACGAAATGAGCAGAGGTGTAGGAAACTTTAAGTTACCGACGGTTTTTTGCAATCTGGCGTCTTTGCTTTGCAGTTAAATGTTGGAATTTATAGCAAAATGACTGAAATCCAGGTTGCACATGCAATTTGACTCATTTTTTCCAAGAATTGAGCCAGAAGAAAAGAAAAACAGAATAGAAAAAAACAGGTCACTGCCCTCTAAAATTGGCTCCATTTTGTTGTGATCCTAAGATCAGAATCAAGAGATCAGGCATATTCTCTAGCTCTATAAATATAATGACATGTTTTCAAACTGCACACTTGATCTTCATTTCTCATTTAAATGTTTTCATTCGTTTTCTTGTTTCAGGTCTATGAAAGGATATGTTCTTTTCTGACGCTTCATGATATCATGTTACTTGTATATACCTTAGAATGTTTATATTCCTTGAGTTCTCTCGGGGAACGTGCATGTAACGCTATCATGCACGTTCATGGTGCAATCGATACCTTAGTCTCTCTTGTCACTGTTGAGGTAAGGAATCTTTCCTATTCTTTGTCTGGTTTCTCTTGTATCTACTCCGCAGACTCTTAAAAAAATACATGGTGTCCTGAATAGAACGACGGGGTCAATTCTTCAGACTAAAATTTAAGCCATTTCAAAATGGATACATTTTTTTTTTTTTTTGGGGGGGGGGGGATACATCTTGAAAGTCTGCATTTCTGAAGTAAATTTAAGCTTTAAAAGCCCGAACAGCTTTTATGATTAGGAAAAAGAGGCTACAAGTTGTAGTATTTAAAAGAACGTTTCATATTAATCTGAAGCTTATGACATCATATAAAGCAATAACTCATAGTCTATCCTTGAATCCACTATAACTTGACTGCAATACGATTTGTGTCTGCGTTTTACGCAGTCATACGTAGTGCTTCAATCCAATCCTCTGAACTTTTCTGATTACATCATAGTATTTTTTTAAAAAAAAAAAGAACAGTGAAAATGTATTCATTTTCAGCTGTGATAACATGGTGAGCAGTCAGAATACCTAACTAGTTATCGTCAAAGTTTCCGTTGTTTTTCAACCTTAGATATAAGCACAAAAGGCAACTGGTGAAACCAGTATGCCAGATTGCAAATGCATGAAGCTTCTGTGACTGAACCAAAATTTTTCACGAAAAGGGTGTGACGATACCCTTCCTTTGGCAAGATCTTCAACTGTAACTGGAGTATAAATAAGCAATTACTGGTGAAAGAATACATGGGAATTAAAAGTCTGCTTATAAAGTCACAAAATCTGTAGGTCTTTTTCTAAAATGACTGAAAAAAAAATTGTGTAGCGACCTTATTGACAAGATACACATGAAATTTCTTTAAGAGAAGGCAAACTTCCCCACAAAATGTTGGAACAATCGGCCAAGCCAGCTAGTTGGCAAATTTTTCAGTACTCAACTCAAATTTTGAGCATCTTCAGCTGAGATTTGTCTGCAAATATTCAAGTCTACTCCTTATCTTGAATCTTTTTAATTTCTCTACATCCAGTGAGTTAAAAATCTTATTTTTTTGTATCTGCACTCCCACTTTCATTAAGTCCGTAAAGACATGAATAGCCTAAATTTCTAAAAAATAACAATAATTAAATTTTTTTTTTCATATCCTAGAAGATGCAATACACAGTAAATGTTTTTTTAAACGCTATTAACCGCTCGTCATTTCCACAGGCGCAGAGTTACGGTCCAAAAGCGTGCATTCTGATGAGGGTGGTCGAAACTGTGTCCGGTGGCACCTCGATGATGTCGATGGCACCGACAGCACCTCCTCCGACCCCAATCCAGCCATCTTCGTATCCGCCATCCCCCTATCCACCATCCTCCTTCCCATCGTCCTTTCCATCGCCCCTGCCGCCAATCCCTTCGTCTCTGAGCGGTTTCACCTCATCGCCGGGCATGTACCACCCAATCCCATCATCGTCTCCATCGCTAGTCTCCTCGCCTATGCCGTTGCCGTTCCCTATGACTCCTGCGGTCGCCAGCTTTGTCGCCACGACGTCCATGCCTGTCTCGCAAACTACGACGCTCGTCCAGTCAGGCCCCTCTCATCCGCCACCCCTCCAGCCGACGCAGGTCACACCGCAACCGGTGCCCAAGCAAATGATTCAAACTCGCCGTAAGTATTGGGTTTTTGCTCTGAGATACACAGGGTTGCCACAGTCAGGGAAAACTGGGATTTTTAAAAGGCAGGGAAATGTCAGGGAAAATGAAGAAAATGACAAAATCATCAGGGAAAATTTGCTTAATCACCTACATTTGCTTCCTAGAACGGGTTTGAGGTTTCGAACAACAAATTTTGCCTGATGACTATTTTCAATTATGCCTTCTTAACCATCCGTCACATCTTCAATTGTCAGAGGATTTTGCCAAAATGTGTCTGGGAAATCAGGGAAATGTCAGGGAATTTTATTTTCTAAATTCTGTGGCAACCCTGTCTAAGATACGATTCTTATAAGGCAACTGGAGACGATGGTAACAGTAGAAAAATAAGGGGGAAAACGGGAAACAAGGCTGAAAAACACAATGGAACACCGGAGACGTTTTGACTCAAATTGAGTCATTCTCAGTTGGAATAATACATATATATTAAAAATTAAGAAGGAAATATAAATTATTAGGTTTTTCTCAGATCCTGGGCACTACTTTGTAGGGCTCAGGTTTTGTCACCGATATTTTTTAATTTTTGTTGTATTATTTTGACTGAAAATGACTCAGTTTTGAGTCGAAACATCTCGGGAGTTTTCTTGTGTCTTTTAGCCTTGTTTCCCGTTTTCTCTCTTGTTTCTCTACTCTTTTTGCTGCAAGCATATTGTCCAGGGCCTGGGAATTAATTTGACGTGTAAACGTGTTTTTGTGAAAATTTTGCTTTGATGATGGCAAAAGCGGAAAAGCTTCGGTACAGATACTCATACGATACCCTGGCTCATTCATTACCTGCTACACCGAGAAAAAAACACAGTTATTCTACTGTTACAACAGTAGTAATGTCACACGAAATTCCACGGTAACAGAACTGTGGATTTTGATTCTTGTAACGATGAGCACGGTGATATGACTGTGTTCACCGTAATATTACTGTGGGTACAGACATACTATTATGAGCATGGTTATGCTACTGTGCTCATCAATAATATTACCAAAATCCACGGTTTCACTACTGAGGAATCCCGTGTAACATTATTACCGTGGTAACCGTCGAGTAACTGTGTTGTTTTTCTCCGTGTATTACAATGGTGTTGTTCAACTCGAAATTGTTGAACTGGGAACTACCAGGACTCATCAGGGAATGAAACATATCTGGGAAAATTAGGGTTTTTTTTTATAGAATTGAAGCTATGAACTGAGAGTGTCTTCTCTCTCTGCAGTGAAATCGACTATTCTTAAAGTTGGCGATTTGTGCTATCTCAACCTGAAAGAATCAGACGAAAGATGAAAAATTTGCTTTTTTCCCCACAAATTTTGGAGAAAAACGTAGTCACTTATCAGGAAATCTAGAGAAAAACAAGTGAAAATAGTGAGTTATCATCAGAGAATGTCTCCATAAAGACTAGGAAAAATCAAGAATATTAAAAACCATGTTTTACAGCTACTTCTAATGACCTATTTTTGTACGCAAGTTGTATTACACCTGAAATCTTGGCATGAGCTCTTTTTTTTTATAATTTTTGCTCTTTTCGTTATTTTATTGATTTTCATTTCGAAGAAGAATGAAATACAAAGCTCAATCAGGTGTCTTTGCTCCTTGTCATCGCAGGAAGCAGCAAAAACTGAATTTTCAATATGCTCCCTTCAAGGAGCTTTCCATGCTTTTGAAAGTTTTAAATCCAGAATATTTCGCCTGTATGCCCCTGCTGATTTTTATTCTTGCTTTCACAGCTCCACAACCCATGGGTTCTACAGCGGCTTCGATTGCAACTGTGAGTCCTGTTGGAGTGAGCGGGCAACTAGTGGCGCAGGAAAACGAACAGTTCGCCATTCAATGGCTCAGGAATCATTTTGAGCCCTCGACCGTCCCCGGCCGAGGTATCGAGCAGGGAGAGTTGTACAAGCAGTATATCACAGCCTGCGCTCGTGTAGGTCGGAAAGGCGTTATTGCTCCCGGGCACTTCCCTCAGTGTGTTAAGTAAGTTCTTAAATTCATCAGAGCTTATCAGTGAAAAGTTGACCAGTTTTCATGAAATTATTACTCTTCTATACCCATGCGGTTATTGTGTTTCAATAGCGAGCTAAAAACTCATGTTGATCCAGCGAAACGTTTAAAAGTTACTGGTTTTTACCAAATTAGCTCACAATTTTGGGTGAATTCAAGTGGACTCCATCAAACGTACGAGTAAGAAAGGGTGTGAACCACAGGGTTTCTAATGGTAAGGAAAACCTGAAAGAGTCAACAAATTTTTTAAGTAAAGAGTTGGCTCTATAACTGCTGCCGCCATTTGAGGAAGTGCAAACAACTTTTGAATGTCTTTTTTAGGGTGTCTACAAGTCCGGAATTTCTGGAAAGTCCGGAATTTAAGGGCGGAATTTAATTTTAAGAGCGGTCAGGATTTACTGAAACAGTGCAGAAAATCCGCAAAAAGGTCCGGAATTTTTTAAATTTTTTGTCATTTTTGTCGCAATTTGAAATTTTTGAAATTTTTCTAATTTCGTCAAATGGAGGTGCTGATAAAGAACGGAATTTTTCTGTTGGAGGAGGTTCCGAATTTCTCCAGAACGCACTGAAAAAGTACTGTAAAAGTACTTATTTTTGACCAGCCGGTTTAAGTAGACACCCTGTTTTTCCATTTTTGACATTTTCAAAACAGGGTTTCATTGCCTCGTAAGGTTTAAAAAGATATGACTAATTCATAGGAGTTTAATTCGCTCTGTCCTCTCAGAAAATGAATTTAATAAAGTGGATGCCACTGACCCATAATCTCTTTCTAGCAACAGATGCGTTCTCTGGAGGCATCAGGTTAACTGTTGGTTACCCGATGGGTACTGTTGAGAGTTTGACGATCGTTCTTGACTTCTCGCTAATTGCCCGATGACTGCCATGGCGGGCCATCGGCCAACGCAATCGCCCAGCACCTTTCAAAGGTGATGGGCAAGGCTGCTGAGCGTTGAGATAACCTCAATGTCTTAAGTATCCGCAATCCCGACATCATTTATTGTGTCTCGTAACTCGCCTTTTAATTTAAATAAAATGTAGATTCTTTTTAAATTTGACCTAGTAACCCTCAGGGTTGATTATCTCCGAGAACAATACCTAAAATGATGTAAACCATAACACGCTTCTAAAGTAAACAAAAACAAAACCTGAGCCGCCGTGACAGTCACATGACAAAAGTTGGTCATTGGGCAATTCATGAAAAATCAGCAACTTATTTTCTCTGATGCCTCCAGAGAACGCATCAAACATGTTACAGCGTTAATGTGGTTTCTCCTCTTTTCAGGACTGTTTTTGGTGCTAATGTCGGACCAAAAGAAGTTATCGCAGCTCGAGCGAATGCAAACGGAGACTTGGGCTCAACAACATCCCTGTTTATCTATGAAGGCATTCAGGTGCGCGGGAAACCTCCTCTGGCTCCCAATATCCTTCCGGGACAGTTACCCTCTTCCCCTATCTTGAAAGCTCAGCTGAGTGCACCACCAAAACCAAACGCTTCACCTCCCCCACCTCTCACCCCCATACCTTCTACTATTGTAAAGAAAGATATTAAAACCAAGGTATGTCCACCCTTCTCACCATCTGCATGCTTCTGTTTAGTTGCGCTGGGTGAAGGGGAAAGTATATTTGTGACCATCCACAGGTGAGGAGGCCTTAGTGCTGAAGAACTTAAAATTAGATGATTATAGACGCATTTAGTGGTGACGTCACGGAGCGATATTGTTGGTTCGATATCTCGAAAGTCGAAATGTGCCCCAACAAACAAACATAACCTCCAAAATGAACAATTGATGAAAGAATGCTACAACTAGCCCAAAACTGAAACATTAATCCATGAGACCGTAAAATTATGAAAGCTAGTTATTTTCCAAAACGTTTGACACCACATACACACGGATTGGTAATGTAATAAGCTCGTGACATAGTACTTAGTCTTCGGACGAACGTTGAGTTCGTTTGTTGGGGCACATTTCGACTTTCGAGATATTGAAATTAAATGGAGATGTGACGTCACACTAAATGCGTCTATTACCATTGAGTCAAGGAAATCAGTAAACATTTTAACTTAGGATATCCAACATGTCCAACCTAACTGGACTTTGAGGGTTTGAATTGAGCTGTTCAGAAAACTTGGTTTCAAAGAAAAATTTTTTATGATTCTAATCTGCCAAGGACAAAATTATCATTTGAAAGTGCATACTCATGACCTCTATTGATCCAACGAATAAAGTGAACTGTTTACAACTCGTTCAGGATGTCTATAGGGAAATCACAGAATTTTATTGAAGAGAGTAGAATTTTGAAACATCTTGAATCTTCAAATCTGGAAAAACATGAGCGCTGTCGACACGATCAAACCATACTCGGAATAGTGAACGAAGTTATCGGTCTCAATGAGGAATTTCAATTTTAGTTAATTGAATGATTCATACCCAAAGAATAGAAGGTTCATTGGTTTTTGTCATTTGCAACTTTCACCAATGCCAGGAATTGTTCATTCTCAGCTCTGTGCTTGCATACCATTTTAGGAATTTTGATGATTTTGGTCAGGAAATACCTGGAATAGTCAGGGGATTTTTTCTCTGCCAAGCCTGTAGACACTCTACATAATTCTAAGATGAATTTTTCAAAAATTGTAGTTAGTCTTGTTCTAAACACAAACTTATTGCATTGAAATACATGTTAATGTCCTCTATTGATAAAAAAAAAAAAAAAAACAGATAGTTCTCCATACAACCCTTGTGTTGCTTGTAAGATATCAAAGTACTCATTTTCGATCGAATTCGACGAAAATTGCTTTCTTCTAACAATTGAATTCCGTACACTAAGGTCTCATATCCTATGGACAGTCACATTTTAGAGATGCAACTGCCGAAAAATTTAAGTGAAGCATGGAAAATCCCAGATTTTCAGAAGCATGAATCGGGGTTGCCTTGTGTAACTCCCCAGGTGAAGCTAGTTCTTTCCCTCCCTTTGGTGCCGGGTTTTCATTATTTCAATAAGGTCAGGGAAAGAAGAATCACAGCAGATGGTAGCCAGTTGGACGGTCATACTCAAGAGTGCAGACAAATTTTCCTATAAAAGTCTCTAAGGTAGATATTCAACGTTTGCGCAATGCATTCTGGGCACAATGTACATATCCCAAATTTATGGTGCATTATTTTGGGTGAATTATTTTTAACCTTTAGGTGAATTATTTTGGGAAAATCTTATTTTCAGTCTGTAGATAGATCATTGAAGAATGTTCGTCTCGAAAATCATCCTCCAATATCTTAAAATAAAATCAAAAGTACTGTTTCTGTTCTGCAACCAATTTCAATGTATCGATATTGATGATCAATTGGAAACAGTACTTTTGACTTTATTCTAAGATTTTGTAGGATGATTTTCAGTATGAACATTGTTCAATGATTATCTACAGACTGAAATTTAGAAAATTATTCAATGATTTATCTACAGACTGAAATTTAGATTTTCCCAAAATAATTCACTTAAAGGTTAAAATTTGAGATACATCCATTGTACCCAGAATGCATTGCGCAAAAGCTGGAAGATCCACCTTCAAAACGCTGGGTTTTTTTTTTTTTTTTTTTTTTTTTTTTAAATATGATGCTTTCCAAACTGCCTCTTATGGCTTGTAATCAGCGCTCTAGTTCATTGAAAAGTCCCTATCCTCAATCAGTAATTAGAAAGAAAATCATTGTGTTATTTCACAATGCTAGATAATGCTGTTTCCCTGTAGTTCAGTACTATATCTCTTCAGTCTGCACTCTTTTGATGTAATTTACCAAATCTTTCACTCATTGCTTTGGAGTTCAAAAATCCTATCATTCAACACTCGGTAAAATAAAATATAACAATGTGTAAGCCCGCCAATGCGAGCAGAAGATCACCTGTAGCGTATGCAGTTCATCTGTTTTTAGCACCCTCTCACACCCATGAGGAATATTGACTGCGAAACTACTTTTCAAAATCACACAAAGCAGGACAGAAACCCCCCCCCCTTCTAATTCTCGTAGGTTTCCCCTCCAAATGTTGCGGACTAATCTGGCTCCTCCCTCTGAAAAATTCCAATTTCTCAAATCCAGACCAGCTCAGAATGTGTGGCCTGACACTTTTTTCTCCTTGTTATGCTGTACACAATTTATTTACAGACCGCACTGGTTTTTAACGTCAACTCTCTTTTCACCAATTTTCCACGGTCCCTGGCTGATCGACAAATTTTATATTTGCCTACCAAACTTAACATGACAAGACAAAGGTGTAATGGAGTTATGTGATCGGCTGGTTGTAGGGTTCGAGCTCTCAAATATAAACCTTAACATACTAGATACCTTTGATGGATGGTGATTAAATGGTCTTTTATCATTAACCTGTTAACTTCCCAACTAACTCAGTCCTTTATTGATACAATCCTTTGTTCGGTGGTGGTAAAACTAAGACTGTTTATGATTAATCCTTGTATGTAACATAGCCGCAAAAGTAGTAATACTTTTTTGTACAATTGCTTGATACGTATACAATAAGGCTTAATTTATAAAATGAGACATTTTCCCTTCTTTGGCCATAATTGAAACGTATCAAGGCCACTACAAAAAGAAGTAAATCATCACTTAAGGCTCTTCATTTGAACACAAAAAAGAGCATGCATTTCATGAGTGCAGATTACCAGTGTTTTTTGAGCCTTCAACACAAAGCCAACACAGATCTAAACAGAACTCTGTCTCACCTCCGCACTAGCTTTGCAATTGTTTTGTGAAGCATTGAAAATGCTCCAAGCTTGTAAGATACATTCACAAGCCTTGAAATACGCTGTATATTATATACCTAAATCTCTCATCTACACCACCCATTAGTCTTTTGAAAATGCGCCTTGGCTTGGGGACTGTAGAGAAAGTTGCGTCGGTAAAGGCCTTCTGTTTATTTTTTTTTTTTGGCTGCATGATCAGAGGTTTCAAAAGTGCCGTTTGAATGAGCGTGGAAGATTGTACCCAGAGAGAGAGGAATCCTTTTTTAATGCGCTTAAATTTGTGGTATGCAAGTGTCAAAAGAGTTGCTGTTGTCAACTTTACTCCTGACCAAAGTCCTTTGTCCTTTTCTCTAAATAGTAGAGAGATGTTGGTTCTATCGACAAGGAATACAATTCAACATGAAATAAGATGCTAGTTGACGCAAAATATTTTTTGATCTGAAAAATTTAGCTCCTCACATTTCATTTTGTTCCAGTTTTTCTCCTTGTCTTTCTCCTGCGTTGTCGCATTATCAATGTCTTTCAGATTTTGTTAACCTTACGCACAATGATTCCTCTCTTTCACTTCAATCTTACAAATGACTGCACTACAAAAGCACGTAACTCAGTTTTTGTTGGTTTTAAGGTACCTGCAATATAATCTTGTAAAGAAAACACCTCATCCGTGCACCTAAAATCATGATCAGGAAAAATCAATGAGTGATGATATAAAAAACTATTAACACTAGCTAGCGCATGTTTAGAGGAAGAAATTTTGACCTTTTTTTTTTTTTTTTGAATCTCCAGAATAATAAAGATTCATAAACTGCATTTTTCCCCAGTTCAGCCATAGCAATTCCTTGGAATTCTACCAGTACCAGTTGTATGAAATATACATCCCTTTTTCTCCTTTGGTAAATCTTGAAGTTTTAACAGAACTAACTTTTCCTTTCAGGTCTCAACTCATCCGCATTTAAGTCAAGCGCTACTGAACGCCGGACAACAGGTACAAACGCAAACGACGTGTGCAATTGGTACGCTTGTAACAACGGCGACATCCTCAGTACCTGTTGCATCAACGTCAGCAAATGCAGCGACACCAGAGGTGACAAACAGTAATACGTCCCTAATCAAAAGTCTGCTCGCAAACAAGGTATGTGAGATCCCATCCTCCTCCGCTCATAGCATGGCCGCTAACACTGCTACCCCGTGTGAAGTAACCAATGTCTCGTCTACTGTAGGTCTTCAGGTAAGGATCCAGTAGAGTCTTTTTTCATTTGAACTCATGTTACACCTGGCTTTTAATCAAAAGGAAGTAAATGTTCAAGAATTTCTGGCAAATTCTCTTGTCATAAATCTGAGTTTTGAGGATATTCCGGTATATCTTGATTTGAGTCTAGTTCTAGCCAATGTGCAGATGTGAGTGGAATACTAAAAATCTCTCCTGTTTGAAATTATCAAGAGTTCTCTGAAAATGTACCTAAGGTTAAGTTCAAGAACCTTCAATAAAGCTTCTAATTGATGTCAGTGTCAAAAATGTAGATGGAAAGAAAGGAATAAGACTGAAATTCACCTATTTTTTTAAAGTGTCTCACCCTTGATAAATTGGAAGTGCTCAACATTACCTTTTTGAAATTTTAAAAGAATGTTGCACACAAGGTTACAAGAATTTTTTTTTTTTAAAAAAAAAAATTATTTTAAGCAATAATGTCAGGTGTTCTTTAAAATTTGAGTCATTGTAGGAAATTCTATAATTTTGCTGTTGATTCTTTTTTGACTCAGTATGCCCGGCTCTCTGTCAACTCAGTTTGATGCATCGGGGTTTTTTTTTTTTTTTTTTTTTTTTTTTTTCTTGTAAATATGTCCTCAAAAAAGTATACCTCATTGAAATGCACATTAATCTTTAATCAATTTTGCAGTCTAAATACATTTTTTACCATTTTTTTCAATATAATCTCATCCCTTAACATTAACTTTTCCAATTAATCTGCTAAGAAAACCATAAAACTGGCATTTTGGTAAAAGTTCAAGGTGTAACATGAGTTATTTATTCTTATGTCTCTGTCTCTAAAAAAGTAAAACAAGAGTGTTTCCGCTCAGTTTACTTTATTCTTTATTCATTTATTTGTCTTGAACAAGACCCTTTCCTAAAAGCCAAATGATCATTCCTCCTGTCGGAGAAGATTACCAGCCAAGAATTGTGAAAGGTTCATTTCGCAATCTTTTCAGATAGTCATTTTATCTTCCTCAAACTTCTCATTGGTTTTCCATTCAAAGTTAATATGCACCGTGATTGGCCTGTGAGTCGATAAACAATCTAACTCGCATCATTTTCATGTTTCGTTTTGTATGTTTCTATTTTTGGTTTTTTTTTCTTTTTTCCATGAAATTTTCCAGTTTATTTTTTCTTGAAATTTTGTGTAATTTTTTTCCCTCTGAGAATTTAATGCTCTGGCAGCATCAGTTAATGTTGAGTGAGATGATAAAAAGTGAGTAGTCAGGAAGCTTCATCAGAATTTGGTTGTGTCATTTTCTTTCCACAAAGATTTCAAGAATTTTTACTTACTTCCTGTCTCTGTTTCCTCGTTTATCTGTATGTTTATCATTTATCTATCTATCCGTTTGTTGATTGCTCCGTTTCAGCCTACCTATCATATTCTATACAGTAAGTTATGACGTTTGGAACAAGTACATGTCTCTTCGTATATAGAATGCAGAAACAGCATGAACTTAATATCAGAAATTTTGAAAACAGTGTTTCTGTCCCTCAGTTTGCAGGTCATTTAATTTAATGTGGCTAACAATTTTGAAACGGGCAGTAAACTTATGCTCTTCTGCAAGAAACTGATTCAGTTAATCTTCTGTGATCTGTTCATTCTTTCTTGAAATACTGAAATCAGTATTTTTATTAAGTAGATTTTATCTAATTCTCTCTCTCTCTCTCTCTTCTCTTGAGGAATGATCATTTGCTTTCTTTTTATTAAGTTTTCATCTAAATCATCAGGTCTTAAGTTCCTACTATAATTTTAGTATCAATTCAGGGTGATTAATTAGACTAGTGTTTCTTGAAGAAAATAAAACGTAACCATAGATTTTTCATGTTGTGATTTAGATACAAATTTTTAGCTTAAAGCTATTAATGTCCATCTCTAGGCCTAGTTGCCAAGGCAAAAAAAGCTCCGTACAAGTAAATTGAGGGTGTCTCAATACTGTCTTGACCCTCCTTATCAAATTTCTCAGAATTTTTATTTTAACAAATTTTTTAAAGTACTAAACTATCAAGCATGGTTTTTCATTCTGTTTTATTTTTTTGCTCTCAAAGTTTTGTTTTTTAATTGTAACAGCGTTTATTATTTTTTTAATTAATTGCCTCAAATGAATATTCACTCTCATTTTTCATGCGAGGAATGTCAGTCAATTTCTATAATGAAACATTCCTCGAACCGTATTATTTTTCTCGTCCCATGAGTTACTTGCAAATTACTCGGTGACCGTAGCCTTGCTAAATTATTCTATGTGTCGAGTGTACCTGGTCAGTTGAGATAGTAAATTTTTAAGTTTGCTAATTTTGCTGGGTACAACAAAGAATCCTGAACCTGAAAATAGCTTTCGAAGAGAAGCTGATCAAAGTAGCAAACTATTGTTGATCCCATTTAGAATCTTGAATTGGTCAGTGGCACCATGGCACCTTTTTTCTTCTTCTTTTCATTTGTTTTCTAAAAATACGGAGTAGACAAGGCTTCTATAAAATTTTTCAGGTTTTTTTAACACTAAGTGGCAAATAAAACCTGTCTCGGAAATGCCCAAAATGAAACCTGTTGGAAGTGATGTTTTTTGCGGGCTCTGAAGACGTATTCAGGCGGGGGAAATGGTGTTTGCTGATTGATTGAACCCCCAGCTTCAAGTATCGCCGTCTTGTCAACTTGAGTGTCTCCTTTTGATTGTTTGGATTTTGATTGGTTTCTGTCCCCTTAAAAATGATTTTTTCATACTTTTCGGTTTTTCCACAAAATTTTACGTAAGGTACACTATAATACAATCCCGCAAAAATACCTTGCCATTACCCCATTATGTCCTGCAGTATTTTACGAAGAAGTGAATTGGTTATCATAATGCACTTCTTTTATAATTAGTAATTACTACTGTCCAGTTTTTAGCATTTGTTGTCTATTTTTTAGGTTGTGCAACGGCAACAGCAAGCAAAAATGTTGCAGCAACAGCAGCAGCAGCAGCAAACCTCTCAGCCTCAGGTCGTCACTCAGCAACAGCCCGCGCAGTCGCAACAGCTCATCCTGCAGCAACAGCTGCTACAACCGCAGCAGCAAGTACAAGTACAGCAGCCGAACCAGCCGCCGGCGCAGCAATCAGTTCCTCAACCTCAAGTACAACAACCACAAACCTCCCAGCCTCTGCAGCCTGTGGGACAGCAACCGCAGCAGGTATCTGTCGCGGCGGCTCCAGTGAAAGGGCAGATGTTATCGCGGATCAATGGCGCTCGACAGCCAGTTCAGCAGATGGAAATGAATGTAGTAAGTGTTGGGTTTCTTGCAAGGTGTACTCGCTATGGGAAATATAGTCTTATTTTCAAATGTGTTAGAATAATACTCTGGCAGACTACAAAAGTTCTGAAACTGTTCATTTGTAGATGTATAGAATTGGCATTTAGAAATAGATTTGGTTTAATTCCCCTTGATCTGTTTAAATTTTATTTTCAACGACTTTTTTCTCAAAAATTTTACAAATCGTCAGCTTCTAGCAGAAGTATCACAAGTGCCACTCGTGCCTCGGCCCTATGGTGCCAAACTTCTGATAAAAGAAAAATAAATTTCTTCAAAAAATGAAGGAGTTTGCTCTTTCAACATTTCACAGGAAAACTATAGAACACCTCATATTTCTTTTATCATCAAGATTAATATTAAAAATTTTTATGGAAGTGAGTGCAATAGTGTTGAAGAAAAAATTAAAACAAAATTGAGATGTCTGGCAACATAGCGTCCAAGTATAAATGGCACTCTTGATACCTTCCCTAGAAGATGATGAAATATTTGTGTACAGTATCAGATACTCATGTAATAATGCCGGATTTTGAGATAAGTCAGTGAGCATGCTATCGTTCGATAGAAATTAGCGAACAAATTTAATTTTAAAACTTTTAGTAGGTGTCTTTTTAAGAGAATCCTTACCATTGAAAGGACTACAACAATTATCAGTACGATCGATATCTTGTAAATTTTAGCCCTCGACAGTTTTTCTAAAAAAGAAATATCAGTCTTTAGGTTCATCCTAAGGCTTTTCCGTGCAAGCAAGTTTTCTTTTAAAATTTAAGGGAATATTCAAAAGCATTGTTTTTGATTTAGGTAGCATCAATATTGATTCATGTCATAACTCTCACGAGATTCAAAGCCCAGTCTAGTTCTTTAAAGTTTCATGTTTTTAAAGGTCAATTTATTTTTATGTATGTAGTCATTTGTCATCTCTTGTACAGAGGAACGTATCTCAAGTGTGCCTTTTAACTTATTTCACTAACATTTTATTTTTTTAGAGAAACTGTGGCGTGAATTGGCCTTAATCTCCTGTGATTTTTCTTTATATTAGTAAGAAAACACTAGGAAATTTTAAAGTAAATTTGTGAGACTGTCATCCTCTGAAAAAATAAAATATTTGTAGAAATACTGCAGCAGTGCAGACGCTTGATATGTTCTCACGCGTCCAAGACTGCAATTTGGAAAACCACATAAGGAAGAAAAAGTCTGAAAGTTCTAATTTTAGGTTTTTGGTTTAAGGAAAACCAATCATGTGATGGTTGACATGTATTAAAATAATGGAGAATGTTTCCTCAATTGCAGAACCAGAGGTCAGATATAGATACCAGTGAAATTCCGTTCTCAACGGGGACAACATCCATAGTCATATCTTCAGGAATGCAAACTCAAGCCCCAGGCTCCAACAACAACGTCAAATTAGTAATCGAAAATCACGGCAAAGGACCTCCGCAGCCGAATTCACCGGGTGCCAAATCAGAAACTAGTGAGACTTCCAACCAAATAGCAGCAACTGTACCTCTAGATCAAAATAACTGTGTTAGTTCAACAGCATATGCAGGTGAGCGGCTACTCCTCTTTGTTAATTCTAACGCCCGCACGGTTGTTTTCTGGTCAGTCTTTATGGGAATCAAGCATGTGAAACTTATCACTTAATTCGCAGGAGTGGCTTTTGATGTAGTCCAATCAAGTGATTTTTGCTCCAATTAAGACCAAAAGACTGCAATGTCCTTCTTTGTCGCAACAGCTTTTTCACGATTAAAACATAGGAAAATGAGAACAGGATTTATTACACCTTGAAGAGTAATCAAACGTACTTAAGAGTGAATACATTCCATGCTTGAACGTGACCTCATAGGAGATATTTCTTGGTAAGAAGTAGATGTCTAGCTCTCAACAAATAGAGGGATTTTTCCCTAAATAAGTTCCTTAGATCGACTCGTTTTGCTGAAATTATTTGGCAGAAATTGTATTTAACAGAAAAATACGATTGCTTTATGAAGTATATTTTTCAAACTTGTAACCTATAAAGTGAAAAACCTTTGAACAAGTGAAACCTCTTACTCTATTTATCATGTAAGTTTGATCGAAAAACTCATTTGTATCTGTGTTATTTTACTGAAGAAAATCTATTTTTAAAAGAGCAAACAAACTTATAACTTTATCGCTTGTTCTTTATTTAGATGATTGTCATGGTGTTCAGTTTTTATTTTGCTAATTTTTTTCTCTCTCTGTCCTTTTTTCAGATGCCAATGAAACCCCCACAATCTCAATAGCAGAAAGCGAAAATTCGCTAAGTAGTTTTGATAATCTAATAGTAAACGGTGTGCCTAATAGTTTAAATGTGGACAGCTTAACAAATAAGACAATATCCATAGGTTCTTTATCATCGCCAAACAAATCCCTGATGTTAGCGGATCTGTTAGAGAAAACTATAGAGAAAAACGACCCACCAGTATTAAACGGGGCCCTGAGGATAAGCGATAAAGGCCTGGAGCTCGTCGATAAAGAGGACGGCTCAAATAAATCGATCAACGAACATCGGAGTGTGATAAAGAAAACCATTTCAACGGAACACGAGACGGTGATTGTGAATAGTAACAATAACTCAAGTAGTAATAATAATGTAAGTAGTAACCCTAGCAATGAAGTGAAGCAGAATGGAAGCAAAGATGGTGCAGATAGTGATAAGTCTAGTTGTGTAATAGTCGGAACGAAGAGGCCGTCTAGTGAAGAAATATCGCAGGATGAACCTAAAAGGCCGCATATCAACGGGAACAAGTCGCCATCTCCGGAGCCTACCGAAGAAAGTAAGTGGTTTGTACTCTGAACTCCAAGAAAATAAAGTCAAATTACATGAAACCTCCAAAATACTGAAAATGCCGAGAACGGCAGCCATTAAAGAATTTAAGACGAATATCAGGGTAGACATGTCCAGAACATCATTTAAACATGAATAATCCAGATGTCTACTTTTTTCAAATAATAGGTAGTTGGGGACTTTACTAAGTCTCGAAATTTCTTCTTTTTTTCTTAAATTTCCAGGCCCTCAAAAAACTCGATTTTTAAAAAGTTTCCGCGAATCTCTGATGAAAGGATTCGATCGCTGAGAAGTGAAATTCTTCCCTATTAAACACTCAACCTCGAACGGGTCTGCTGAGTTTTGAATTAGCACCGACTTGTTACGATTCATGAAAAGAAAATTTGTTTTAGATAACGAAAAAAAACTTTCACAAGATTCTAAAAATCTTTAAATTTCCTATTGCTTTGTTCTGTGTGCACTGACCCTTAATGAGAATGACCTCGTAAAATATTAGGAAATTTATCAAAAAACGTATACCTAAATGTGCACACAATGTCATGTCAAGTCATCTTTGTATTGATACGATAAAAGAAATAAGATCTCAGTTTTCTGCTTGGCATGAGGAAGTAAACTGACGCAAGATAGAGGGATTTTTTTTCTGTTGTTGACTCAAAATGATTTTTCCTCGCTCTTTAAGTAATACTGCCGTGCTAAGGGAGAACGCTGTATGAACATTATAGAGTTGCCAAATTTCCCTTTATAAAACATGTGTTTTTGAAGACATTCATGCACATTTTCCAGTGTAATTTTCAGATATTTTAGATTAAATTGCGTACGAAATTATCTGAAAAAGTTAGGAAAAAATGTTCACAATTTTTCCTGCAAATTCGGTATTTATCAAAGGAAATTTTCAACGTCTGATGGCTCATACGGCGTTCTTCCTTAGCATGGCAGAATAGTACATTGACTCTGTTCTCAAAAATTGTGCTTGTAACTGTTCGTTTCCAATCCATCCAACTCTCAGTATTCTAAATAATGGAAATTTTTTTTTTGTCCACAGGTGAAGTGAAAGCATCATCGACAGCCGCCAACTTGTATGCAGCTTTGGCAGCCGATCTTCTGTCGGATTCGGAAGATGACCCCCCAGCTCCCCAACAACCGGCCCCTCCACAAACACCACCGGTGCAGCAAGTCATGCTTGCACAAGGAGGAGGTCACCGTGGTATCATTGTAGCCGCAGCGCCTGGATCAATGCCTCAGAGGGTCGTTATGGGACAGCAGTACGTTCTCGCTCAACCGCAGACAGCTCTCGTACAGGTATGACGTCTGATTGTCTCATATTTTTTTTTTTTATTATGGATCAGTGAATCAGTGGATGATGAAAAAGTCTCCCCTTGAGATCACCAGTAGAGCGACAAGTTGCCGAAGAATCTCGATAAATGGAAAAATTAATTTATATTTGTCAATTCATGAGAATAGGCCCAATAGAGTATGAAACGGTTTTAATAAATCACTTTTTATTCAAAGCTCTTGGAAAAATGGCAAGTGCAATCTTCAAAGAAAAGTAAAAAAAAACCTGAAATATTTTTCGAAAAACATGTAACGATGTATAACTTTGCATTTATTGGGTTGCTTACAAATTTCAAAAAAATATTTCAGGGGAAAAAATTATTTCATCGCATTAGATGAGGTATGAAGGAATTTTCATATCAAATGAATTTGAAGATATTTTTGTTCCACTAACGAAAGAAATACGAAAGAAAAAAAAAATATTAGCAAAAACATCCAGACCCTCAGAATAAAATAATTAATAAATTTCAGTATTTAAGCATTTAAGTAAAACTCAATAATGAAGTTTGAAATTTCCTAAACATCTCTTTTCATCTCTTTTTTGAGGTTACACCTCAATCTTTGAAAATTTATGACTACAATTTTCAGTCTTAAATTTAAAGTTTTATGTAAGGATGAAAAGACACATAATTTGGACTCCTGAGTGTAAGAAACCTTACAATTTTGCGAGTCCTTTCTTTGAATATTCTACAAATTTATGTTGGGTGAAGTTACATTTTACACTAAATCGTTCAGGTCTCTTCACAGAATATCGTAATCTAATAATGTATTGGTTTATCTCTGCCATAGGGTCAAACGCAAACTGTTCTCGTTGCACAAACATCTCAACAGCAAGGAACAGGCTCCAAGACAATCATAATCCTGCACCCTCAGGGTCACCAAATATCGGCGAACTCACCGGGTCAACAGCAGCAGATCCAGGGACAGATCCAGTCGCAGCCGATGCAACAACACACGACCACCGGCATCCAATCACCGGTCGTGCTCCAATCCTCGCAACAGCCCCCGACCAAAATCCTCGTCAGCCGTGTAACGACGATGACGCAGAACCCTGCCCAGCAGTCCATTGTCACGGTCCCCACCCAGACGAGTTTCGCGAGTAACGCTCCGATCATGGCTGCAACAGCGACGCCGCAGATCAGGGGGATCGTATCGACAGTTCCTGAAGCATCCGTCGCCACGGGTGCCGTTACCGTAGCCTCTGCAGGCCCACCGCCCTCCGTCTCACCTGCCCCAGGCAACATCATTCTCAACAAGCAGGTGATCAACAAAGTGATCAAAACGGTCGGGCAGTCTGTTCAGTCTTATCAGCTTACGTCGGTCGGGGCAACGCCCACAACCGCAACAGTGCCGTCACCGTCTGTGCCTGTGGCACCGTCGAGAGTGACGCCGATGGTGGTTCAGAATAGGGGACAACCTGGACAGCCTGACGGTCACTTCCTTTGCGAATGGAGAGGTTGTATGAGGTGCGAATCTTGCTCTTTTCTTCTTCTGTTTTTCGTTTTTGTGTGTTGACCATTGTGCGATTTATAGATTGAAATGGACTTCATTTTGCAATAAGGAACTATAATTTCTGGCTCCCTGACAAAAGCACCCATTTGCATAGGGAAACTACTGGCACATACATTGTTTCTAAAGCAAACCAGAAATAATAGCTCCTATCCCAAAATATAGTCCTAATTACGATTAAGTACGATTAACGTCTATGATTAACGTCTATGATTAACGTCTATTCTATAGAAAACATTGAATTTTGCATAATTATTTTACACTGTACTGGAAACCTATCCTCTATTTAATCCCTAACCAAACTTGCATCAGTTTTAGTAACTAGTTATTCACTAGGCAAGAAACTTTGCTGGAAATGAAAAAAAATTGTCGGTGAAAAAGATTTGTTTAATATTTTCAACCTTTGTGAAGGAAAATTTCAAATATTTTTTTCCGTGACTGGAAGAATATGAAGTTTATATATCTATTGGCAACAAGGAGGAAAATTTGTGCGGGGTCCACACTTTTTTGGGGGAAGCAAGGCCAAAAAATTCCAATAATTTTAAACAGAGCTTTGTTGTATACAGTTTGGGCCACATTTTTAGTGTTTTTCTCTTGTTTTATCTTTTAGTTGGTGACCTAAAACCTCAAGAAATTAAATTTTCATTTGCAAAGCATATTTCTTTGACCACCGTTAATGTGTAGAATCCTTCCTCTATTCAAACTAAGATTATTTGTCAATATTTTTCCTCATAGAAATTTTAAGTCTGCCAATGAAGTGTACATGCACGCTTGTGAAGCGCACTGTCCCTCTGGTACGCAAGAAATCCAATGTCTGTGGGAGCGCTGTGATGCAATGAAGAGGCGGCGATTCTCTCTGATGACGCATCTTTACGACAGGCATTGCAATCCAGATGTAAGTTGCATTTCGAAAAATTTCCCTTGAGTTTCAAGAGTTCAGTTCTAAGTAATCTTATCTGCTTTCCTCTGTCCTCTGTCAAAGTCTTAAAACAATATCATGACCCATGGACTACTACTACTTAGTACCACTAGTACTTTCAAATTTGAAAATCGATCAATTGAAAGCGTCTCATTACAATGGATGAAATTTTGTGATTAAAACTCTCATGATCCCCTACAACTTTGATTTCACTGTATTGAAAGTAAAGATACCTATGACCTTCCAAAAGGGGAAGGACCTTACCTTCTAGCGGCTAGTTTTTCCAGAGCAAAATCAGCGAAAATTGTAATGCAATGTCTGAAGGTAGTAGCACTGAATATATTGGAGTTTGGATTGTAGCTGAGTGCTAGAAATAATGTAATATTTCCTTAAAAAACTTACATTTTATTAATAAATTTATACCGAAGCTTTTCGAAGCGACCGCTTCATCGTTAGGGTCACAAAATCAATATCACAAAGGCCATAATTTAAATTTCAAACAAGGTAACATATTTCATTTATGGTAACAATTGATAACAAGCTATTAGATCTAATAGTTTGTTATCAATTGTTACCATTAATGAAATATGTTACCTTGTTTGAAATTTAAATTATGGCCTTTGTGATATTGATTTTGTGACCCTGACGATGAAGCAGTCGCTTCGAAAAGCTTCGGTATAAATTTGTTAATGAAGGAAGTTTTTTAAAGAAATTTTACATTATTTCTAGCCCTCGGCTACAATCTAAACTCCAATTTTTCCAGAGGGCGATTTTTTTTGTCAAATTAGATCTGAAATTCAGCTTTTCAAGTTTGTAATGCAAGTATGAATGGCTCCTCTGTAACGTAAGGAAATTTACAAGTATTTTATTTTAGTGGCATAAGTGAAAGTTCAGTTACATTTCCAACATTTATGACCACTGAACATTACAGTTTTAAACTGAAAGTTTTTTTTTCACCTCAGGACACATTTTGAACTGCAAACTTTAAACGGTCATTACTGCAGTTTAATTTGAAACTTTTTTTCTGCCTAAAACTCTACCTCTCAGCTGCGAGTAATATACATCTAACTAAAACTTAAATAGTTAAATTACTAATTTCACCCTTCGATGTAACCATGTTTAAACCAGGTTTTTGAAAAATGGCAACCTTTGCAACGTACTTCTGTAAAATTTCAGCCGACTTGGAAATCTCAAATTAACCAGTAGCAAAAATGTAAAGTTGAGGAATTATGTATATTTATGCAATGTCTTCTCGTAAATTATGCATAGTATTTGATATTTCGAGCTCTGACGGTAATTTCTCGATGATCTTCAGGTGTTGAGGATGATGGCGGTCCGGCGAAAACAGCTATCCCAAAGCGGGAGGAGCGAGATCCCTCCGCCTCCTCCACCAGCACCTCATCCTGGCTACGCACCCAACGCAGCCTTCCACGCCATCAAAAGACACGCTTTAGAATTCGTAAATCCCAAAGAACTTCAGGTAATTAATTTATCTCGAATTTTCTTACTTTGTATCTGTCGATTTGTGTTATCTCTCTCAAGAGAGGGCACAGTATCAGGTAAGTCAACTAAATGGCTGGTGCTGAATCGAAAGGAACCATTTTTGTCACTTAAATTTAGCGCTGTATGGGAACCAAGTCTTCACTTAATCTCTTGGGTTTTTATCTCTTTTTAGTGTCCATTCATACTATATTTAAGAATTCCTGTGGATATTTTTAATCAGCTATCGTGTGCAGTCTAACATTTTGTCTTTATGCCTTCTGATTCTTAAATCTTAACCTTCCTACTCCTCCAGTTTTTCGCCCCAAAATCCTAGCAAGACATCAAAAGCTCCTCCTCTTAATGTTTTAAATTGAGCTTCTCTGGAAAAAGAATCTGAAGAATTCTGACCACATTATGCTGTGGAAAACCACTATTTTTAGAAACAACATGAATGCTATCAGTTCCCTTTTGCAGTTAGGTGCTTTTGTACTTCATTGGGATGTGGAGTCCACAATTGCTTACCCACTAACTAAAACACATAATCAATTATGTCTCATAATCATGATGTAAATCTAAATTTGCATGAGGAGTTTCAGCTAGATGAGATCAATGAGAGAACCTGAGATGAGAAAATTCACTTCTTGTAGAGAATTGTATTGTAATTGTTTTCCGGAGAAGAATGTATGGAACTCGCATTATTCTCTGTTCTGCAGTGGTGCAAAAAAAAAAAAAAAAAAAAAAAAAAAAAAAAAAAAAAAAAAAAAAANATTTTTTCCTGAGTTTTCTGTTAATATAAGCTTCCATTTAAACCTTGGTCCGATGGTCGAATCGAATACCTAAAAAGGGGCCAAATTTTGGGAGGCTCTTTCCCTTGAGTTTTAAGAGTTCAGTTTTAAGTAATCTTATCTGCTTTTCTCTGTCTTCTGTCAAAGTCTTAAAACAATATCATGACCCATGGACTACTACTACTTAGTACCACTAGTACTTAAAAATTTGAAAATCGATCAATTGAAAGCGTCTCATTACAGTGGATGAAATTTTGTGATTAAAACTCTCATTATCCCCTACAAATTTGATTTCGCTGTATTGAAAGTAAAGATACCTATGACCTTCCAAAAGGGGAAGGACCTTACCTTCTAGCGGCTAGTTTTTCCAGAGCAAAATCAGCGAACATTGTAATGCAATGTCTGAAGGTAGTAGCACTGAATATATTGGAGTTTGGATTGTAGCTGAGTGCTAGAAATAATGTAAAATTTCTTTAAAAAACTTATATTTTATTAATAAATTTATACTGAAGCTTTTCGAAGCGACCGCTTCATTGTCAGGGTCACAAAATCAATATCGCAAAGGCCATAATTTAAATTTCAAACAAGGTAACATATTTCATTAATGGTAACAATTGAAACAAACTATTAGATCTAATAGTTTGTTATCAATTGTTACCATTAATGAAATATGTTACCTTGTTTGAAATTTAAATTATGGCCTTTGTGATATTGATTTTGTGACCCTGACGATGAAGCGGTCGCTTCGAAAAGCTTCGGTATAAATTTGTCACTAAAAGTAAGTTTTTTAAAGAAATTTTACATTATTTCTAGCACTCGGCTACAATCTAAACTCCAATTTTTCCAGAGGGCGATTTTTTTGTCAAATTAGATCTGAAATTCAGTTTTTCAAGTTTGTAATGCAAGCATGAATGGCTCCTCTGTAACGTAAGGAAATTTACAAGTAGTTTATTTTAGTGGCATAAGTGAAAGTTCAGTTACATTTCCAACATTTATGACCACTGGACATTACAGTTTTAAACTGAAATTTTTTTTTTCACCTCAGGACACATTTTGAACTGCAAACTTTAAACGGTCATTACTGCAGTTTAATTTGAATCTTTTTTTCTGCCTAAAACTCTACCTCTCAGCTGCGAGTAATATACATCTAACTAAAACTTAAATAGTGAAATTACTAATTTCACCCTTCGATGTAACCATGTTCAAACCAGGTTTTTGACTAATGGCAACCTTTGCAACTGTACTTCTGTAAAATTTCAGCCAACTTGGAAATCTCAAATTAACCAGTAGCAAAAATGTGAAGTTGAGGAATTATGTATATTTATGCAATGTCCTCTCGTAAATTATGCATAGTATTTGATATTTCGAGCTCTAACGGTAATTTCTCGATGATCTTCAGGTGTTGAGGATGATGGCGGTCCGGCGAAAACAGCTATCCCAAAGCGGGAGGAGCGAGATCCCACCACCTCCTCCACCAGCACCTCATCCTGGCTACGCACCCAACGCAGCCTTCCACGCTATCAAAAGACACGCTTTAGAATTCGTAAATCCCAAAGAACTTCAGGTAATTAATTTATTTCAAATTTTCTTACTTTGTAACTGTCGATTCGTGTTATCTCTCTCAAGAGAGGGCACAGTATCAGGTAAGTCAACTAAATGGCTGGTGCTGAATCGAGAGGAACCATTTTTGTCACTTAAATTTAGCGCTGCAGGGGAACCAAGTCTTCACTTAATCTCTTGGGTTTTTCATCTCTTTTTAGTGTCCGTTCATACTATATCTAAGAATTCCTGTGGATATTTTTAATCAGCTATCATGTGCAGTCTAACATTTTGTCTTCATGCCTTCTGATTCTTAAATCTTAACCTTCCTACTCCTTCAGTTTTTCGCCCCAAAATCCTAGCAAGACATCAAAAGCTCCTCCTCTTAATGTTTTAAATTGAGCTTCTCTGGAAAAAGAATCTGAAGAATTCTGACCACATTATGCTGTGGAAAACCACTATTTTTAGAAACAACATGAATGCTATCAGTTCCCTTTTGCAGTTAGGTGCTTTTGTACTTCATTGGGATGTGGAGTCCACAATTGCTTACCCACTAACTAAAACACATAATCAATTATGTCTCATAATCATGATGTAAATCTAAATTTGCATGAGGAGTTTCAGCTAGATGAGATCAATGAGAGAACCTGAGATGAGAAAATTCACTTCTTGTAGAGAATTGTATTGTAATTGTTTTCCGGAGAAGAATGTATGGAACTCGCATTATTCTCTGTTCTGCAGTGGTGCAAAAAAAAAAAAAAAAAAAAAAAAAAAAAAAAAAAAAAAAAAATTAGGAGCAGAAAAATTCTATAGTCCCTCTTTATTAGATATTTCATAGATTCATTATTACGAGGTGACTGGTATAATCTCTTCTCGCTTCTTTTTAGCACTTTCCACGGATTCTGTTCATGTGTAGCACTTAAGTTGTTTTATGTAACAAGTGGCCATCAAGAGGAAACGGGGATACTCCTTGGGGGTGATTTATTCTGAAGTGCGATTTATGTCAAGTTAGGCATTAAATGCATTTTTCTAGTTTCTGACAGGAAATGCTCTTTAGGTTCCCAAAAAAATAAGGGACAAATGGTTTAGTTTATTTTCATTTGAGTCAAAAGTGTGAAAGAGTCCTCATGCTCTGATTAGTAGATTGAAACACTTACATGTTATATCCTCAAAATCTACATTTTCCAAACTAGGAACTTTAAAAGAAGTGCAGTATGTGTTTAGTTTAAAATTTCTGAATGTGTTTTGTACCCGAATGTCCTTAAAATATCCTGCCGTGCAATGACTCTTAATGACTCGATCTTGAGTTTTCGGCTCTGAAGTTTTCTTTTCTGTTAGTCACTTGCTACTGTCGCACTGTGCAGATCAGTGCAACCTCATATGCGGACATTCTGTCTAGTTGAACATATGTGTTTTGAATTCTCAACTCATTAGCCGATGCGCTTGTCAGTGCTTTCTAACATTTATCAACTCATATGAACTTCTTACCAAGTCTAGCCATAAGCTCTCAACTGTTTTTAGGCATTATTTTTCTAATCCATGTATGTAAATATGTGATCGGCTTGTTACATCAGACAAAATTAACCTCAACTACCCAATTAATTAACATGATCAATGGACTCTTGCTCAAGGTACAAATTCAAGCATTCATACATGTTTCCTCCTTAAAATTTCACTGTTTCCACACACGATTTGGGCTATGAAAATTACGAAAATCAACTGCTGATCAAGACACCAACGTTTTTAATTGCATTGATTACCAAAAATTTGAACATCCTGCTCACATGAAAAACTCAATTCCACTGGAATCAAATTGCGCATAACAACGGTTTTGGCAGGATTCTCAATGAGCAGTTTCCTTCCCTCCCCTTCGTTGGTAAAGTATAAACAACATTCAGTAGTTGAGCTGAAGTGCTGGTTTTAAGGTTGTCATGTTTTCATACTGCTAAGATTGCCATGGCAAAGTTTAGTGAGTGATTTTTTTTACAAGTGGGAAGATTGAATCTATGCGTTGAAAAATATTACAATCTTCGTAAGGAGCTACTTTCAGTCATTTCCGTTCTACACACCGTGTTCTAAAAGAAATTTCGATAAAGAATCATATTTCAATGCTTGAATTTTCTCCTTGTCAAATGGTCCAATTGGAGTTCTCTAATGCTAAAATCTTCCTGTGGACTCTTCTGTAAAATATTTACCGAGTGATCTTAAAGTCTCGCACCACTAGGACCAGGCACAACCCCTTTAACTTTTGAACAAACGAAGATAGAGACAGAAAAATTTAAAAACGTGAGATAAAAATCAGCATAAAGCTGAAAATCTCAATATAGAGGGGAATAGCTCATATTAGCACAATTATCCCTCTAATCGCTGATTTTTAACGCACGTTGGCTACGTCACCAACTTTTTCTGTCTAAATGATTCTTTCGTCTTCTGCAATCAGTTTGTAAAAATTGCTTCAAAAGATAGAGACTTGACATTTTTTGTGTGCTTTTAGGTTGAAGGAATTTACTTTAAAATTTTAAAGCGACCCTGCTGAATAAGGTCCAAAAACTTTCGGGTTTAGGAGGGTTGCAGGACTTTTGGATCACCCTGTATTGAACTGAAGATCATTTTTTTTAGTCACTTTCTTTTGCAGGTTTTTCCATCTCATTTTTCTCTTTCACCCCTCTGATCGGAATGAAAAAGAGCCGAGTTATTCATGAACATTCAAAGGAATCTTAAGCTTACATTAAGGTGATTCGTCAAGCTCAAGTGACGTGGTCGAACTGGCATGAGATGTATCGCACCGATTAGGTAAAAAATCTCGGCAGATTTTGAATTTTTAGCAAATAAAAGGACAATAGCCCCTGCGCATGAGCCTGAAGATCATTCTGAACCCTAAAATTGGCAAAATTCAGAGAAATGAAAGTAGAATAGTGTTTGGTGATAAACCTCGCATTCGATACAGAAATCGATAGCTGAATCGAATGCGAGGTTTTTTTTCAAACACTATTCTGCTTTCATTTTTGTGAATTTTGCCAATTTTTGGGTTTAAAATGAACCTTTAGACCCATTTGCAGGGACTTTAATCCTTTTTTCCCTTAAAAATTCAAAATCTGCTGAGATTTTTGACCTAATCGATACGATATATCGCATGCCAGTTCGACGACGTCATTTGAGGTAGATGAATCATCTTAAATTAAAATCAAATCATGACTGTTGTCTCATGAATGTTCCTCATTCACAAGCCTTAAAATCTCTGCGTTTCAGGAAAAATACTTTTAGGATTTATCTGTTTAATATCTTAATCCTTCTTGTCTTCTTTTTTTCAACGAGCAGCTAAGGGCGGTCAAGCCCGGACCTGAACCTTCTCCTGTGCCTGTTGAGCAGGTAAATTTCCGAGATCAGTTTGTTGTGTGCGTGATACTTTTCTCTCCCCCACCCTTTTCTTTTCTCTCATGGTTTATCCTGTTTTCCGCAAGTTTTTACCAACTCGATTTTTTGCTAGCCTTCGACCACTTGCTGTGTTGCCGTTTTTTGTTTTGTTTTCTTTGCACCAGTATTCAGTTCCAATCTTTGTGAATAACAGTTTCAGATAATGTCTTCTCTCTCTGTTGTATCAGCCTCATCATTCTAGATCTGCAGGGTTGCCACAGTCAGGGATTTTTAAATAGTCAGTCAAAACCTGAAATTCTCCGGGGAAATGCCCGAAAAGTTCAGAAAATGACTGTGAAATCATATTTATTTTCCTTTCAAAATGTCTTTGATGTTACAAACAGCAAATGTTGCATGCTTCGCTTTGATAATTGCGATTTTCATCTCTTTTCAATCATCCTGTTTATCTTCAAATGTCAGAGAATTTAACCCAAAGTCAGAAAAATTCCAGGGGATTTCCTTTCCTAAATTTTTTGGCCACTCGGATTCAAAGATGTTAAGCACGCCCTAGGTCAATCAATTTTTCCTATGTTTTGAGAACACAGGGCATTTTGTAAATTATGCAGATCCGAATGACGTATCTTTCATTGTACTTATGAAGAATGATAGAAATTGTAGATATTTTTCGTGAATAAAGTTTGATTGTTCTCATCAGAAGAAAATCCCATCATCATTTCTGAGTTACAAATGATGACACCCTGGTTATCATCTGTAGGGTGTCTAGCGACTGGTAAAGTTGGGGAGAAGTCATGGAGATAAAATGTGCAACTTGGAGAGTCGTGAATTCCTGAGGGAAACCATGATTTTTTTGCATTTTTTTTTTGCATGACGTTCCGATACCGAGCCAAAAAGCACTCTCTTCCAGTCTGTAGTGAATTTTGCTCTTGGAATTTTGGACACCTACTTATACTTTGCTCTGAGTCATGTTTATTTTTTGTCCCTTTTAAATTATATAAGAGGATCAGCAAGAATTCGGGAAAATCAGGGAGACAGAAAATCCGTGGGTTGGGGAAAACCTGGAAAGTTAGGGAGTACGGATGAAAAAATGTTGCTAAACATCCTGCTCTATTTTGGCCCTCAAATTTTAAGTTCTTTTCATACATGACCTTAAGTTAAAACAGTTTTATGTGCAGTTTGTATATGTTTGTTTGATTTATTTCATGTTTCATTGCACTCTACCGTTCTTTTGATCTGAGACATTTGTTATCTGCATTTTTTTCTCTTTTTTTCTTCATCTTTCCAAAATTTAGTTTTACCTCAACAAACACACTACAAACTAGGAAAAACAATTTTAACAGGAGTATGTACCAAATACTTTAAATAATTCACAGAAATCGAAAGCTCTTGAAATATTATTTCAGAAGGATCCTTAAAACTTGATATTTTTCATCAGATCTCTCTTATAAGTCTTCAAAAGTTCTTAGTTTTGAAAAGCTGTCAAGAACTGTGTCACTTGATTACTCTCTCTGCGTTCCGCCCTTGTAATGTGTTTCTTAGTTTAGTAGGTTTGCTTCAGCAAAAACATTTTTTCTTTTTTTATTTACAAAAAGGGAAAGAGAAATAATATCGTTTTCTCATTTTAATCATTCTTGTTTTTGGAAATTTAATCATTTTGTGCACAAGACGGAGCCTCTGAAATTTAGTTTGTTTCAAACCGCCCCAAATCATATCAAATTACATCCACCTATATTTTTCCTAGATCTGATTCACTTTTTTGTAAGATCCAGTGAGATTTACCACAATTTAACAAACATTTGAATGATGCGTTGACTTCTCTCAATCCCATTCAATTAGCAATCCCAATCGTACTGACATTTATCATACCATCGAACTTGAATGCTATGTTGCTAAGTAATTTTTTTTTTTTTTTGGGGGGGGGGCTAATTTAACTCCACTAAAATTTAATTCAATGCTGTACAAAATTTTTGGAAGTGTGATGAAGGCCCTAGTGTATTTTCTAGAGGCAGTCCAAGTGCATGGATTTTTAAGTAAGTTTTTGCTTTAATGCTTGCGGCTTATTTTTATGCACAGAAAATCTCTATGTTATTACTTTGCATGCTGATGCACCTAAATGAGTTAGTTTAGCTCCGGTGAAATTGACTTGCAAATAGTTGTTTCCATCAGTTTTGGGCACAAGAAAAATGAGATAAGTACATGTACATATTTTTTGATACTGTTACGCATTAAATCAGAACGTCATAGCTTTTGAATTCAGGATCAATTGATAATTGATAATTTATCTCGAAAATTTTTCTACTCGGAAACTTTTTAACCATCAGCGCTGTTAACACTATCAAATTGAGTCTGAAACTGGTTTAGAGTTCAATACTCGGAGTTACATTAAAAAAATTATACAGAGGATCAAATTCCTGTAAAGAATTGCAAATTTACTTACTTGAATTATCAATAGCGGCAGAAAATTTTTTCACATGCTTTTGTTATCTGCAATGAGATAAATGCCCAAAAGTTTCCATTTTCAATCGCAGGTGTGCTGAATTTTGCTGAGCAAAGACAGGAAATTTCGATTATTTTGGTCTGGGAAACCTGGAACAGTCCGGGAATTTTTTCCTGTGCAGTCTGTAGACACCCTGATTCCAATTTCCTTAGTTTTTTTATTTGTACGCAACTTTGAAGCCTAATCTTTATTGTAGTATTTTGTGTGCGTCCAATTGTTAGAAAATATTCTTTTCATAGAAATAGTTTTTTTTGGCAAACATACTTTATCTTAACTTGTTTTTGTTTGCTGCTGTTTTAAGCTTGATATCATTTAAAATTATGGTTTACACTAACTTGCTTCATTGAAGACACCTTGATACTTCGAAGTTTTGAACCAATCGTTTTTCCAGCCCTTTTTCTGAATCATCTCACTCATAATCCTTCATCAATGTTTTCCCTGACATTTTAGAAATGGTTTGAATAAATATTAAGATGGTTAATAGTATTTTTAACTTCAGTTTGTACAGGAAAAACAAGAACAGAACAATAAGACTAAGAATATAAGCATAGATATCTCTTTTAATTGGGTAGTGTTAATCAAAATAACGCTCTATTTTACATGAGAAGAATTAAAATTCAGCGTTCATCAATGGGAAAAATCCGACGCCAAGGTTTCGTGGACCCATTTACTGTCTTTATGGTACCATTCATTATTTCTTCGTACACCTTTTAATGTCGATAATTTATCATTTTGATTTTTTCTTTGTGTTGCAGGACGATAATGAAGGCCCAGTTACAAAAAGTATTCGCCTAACGTCAGCTCTTATCCTACGAAACCTAGTCATCTATTCAACCAGTGGGAAAAGGTTAGTTAACAAAAAAACTTTCTTTTCCTGCCAACGGCAGCTAAGTTTGTCGGTAAATTAGATCTAGGCCTGCTGCCATGATATCATCTTGAAAGAAAAAGAGATTGTTAGTCAAGAGATTAGGATGCGACCCAACATTTATCATCATGACACGGAGAAAGTCGTAAGATTGAAAGTCATTATAAGATGCTTTACTATATGCAAAGGAGACTAATGAAACTTAACCCGTGTATTCCCAGCTTAGAATACTCAACTTTCTTCTTAACATTACGTTATTTTTCTTTTCAAAATATCTGATATTCTTCGCTGTACTCCATCTCTGTATTGGAGAACTTTAAGAGCTGAAGTATCTACTTGTAAGGATTGAAAGACATGCCTTCAGAGCGAAGCTATCAATTTTTCAGTATGTGAGAAACTTATGTGTGGATAACCCTCAGCTGCTTGCTGTCCAGAAAATTGTCCCCTGAATACTGAATTTTTTTCTATTTAGGCCAAAATTAAATCAATATTTTTTTAAGAGGCGAAGTGCTAAAAATCCAAGTTTTGAGAAAGCGGAAAAAAGTTTGCCATTCGAACATGTCAATATTTTAAGCTCAGTTTTAATAGGTATCTTTAAACACATTTTTTAGGCTGAAAGATTAATTGCACGCTGAATTACAAACTTTTTTCTATTTGTCTTGAAACTTGAACTCTGTCGCAAATTAGTAAGAAATTAAGTGGCAATCAAAGAATATGACTTATTTTCATTTATTTCACTGTGAGAGAAGCTTTTTTCTTTGTCAAAACTAATTCTGTTTTTCTCCTCTTCTTTTGCAGAAACCTGACAAGGTACGAACCTCATCTAGCTAGCGTTGCATTAAGCAATGTCGAATCCTCTAGAACAATAGCGCAAGTCCTTTATGATATGAGCCAACAGCAAAGCAGTCCAAGGTGACCATCGACTTTGTAAAGATTGCGTTTAATTTTTTTTCATTTGTTATAAGTCTACTTTGTTTACCTTGCGTAATTTTAGTTGTTTTTTTAATTTAATCATAAGTCCTGGATTCACAGATCTTCTTTGTCTCTCTGGCTGCCTTCCGTTGGAATGTAAAATCGCACCTTACCTGAAGAAGAGGCATGATTAAAGAATTGAAGTCTTTTTCTGTAATTATGACCTTCTTTTTATTTTTATATTTTGAAATCTGAGCTTCTTTGTAGTGTCAAAAAAACAGAAAATGGCTTACATATCCCAAAAAAATGTTTAAGTCTAGCAAAAGATTCATATCTCCCTGTCAATAACAGGACGGATTTTAATTCTCTCTTTTTAAAATGATCTGACCGACTGACTAAAAATTAAAATTTCTCTTTGTTTCTTTTTGCGATTAGCTCTCACTGAGAAATGAAATATTTTATCCCTTTGAACTTTCAATCTTATGTTGCTTCCTCTTGTGTTAGTATCTGATAAGTAAACTTTGCCCTTAAATTTTCCAAGTTGATGCAGATTTTAAGTTTAATCTGTATTAAGCTTCCTCTTGAACAAATTGTGACCTTTTGTACTCTCTCTGGTTTATACTTTTACTACAAGGACCACTGCCTTTGTTTCTGTCCTTTTAAGCTTGTCAAAAATAACCTTTTGCTGAATTTTGTAAAATCCAATCGGCAATTACAACTTGTAATGAAAAGAAAAATTAGCCTAAAAGTCTAAAAATAAAACCTTAGATTCTTTGTAAGTATCAATTTTAACTTTTCTACTCTAATTCAGAATTCAAATTAAACCACTCTCATAACTAAGCAGATAAAAGAGTATTCCGTATCATGGCTTGTAGTATCCATGATATTGTACTGCTGCTTAAATTCTCTGCTCAAGTTTTTCCAACCTTATTTTGTCCTCTCTCTTCATATTTTTTAAAGAAAGAAATAATGGTCTCTCTTGAATGAACTGGATCTGTCTTCCCTGGTTTTTTGGCTCCCAGTGGTAGATATGTGCGCTTCAAAATTTCCAATTTCATGAAAACTTTCATTTGGGTTCTTGAAGAATCAATGGTGCCTCTTGACGTCAAAGTAAAATTTATGCATGGAATTGATACATTTCGATTTATCGTTATCTTTTCAATTTCCAAATGCGCTCTTTCTAATTGTTCAATATACAACTGGTCTGTAATTAGAATATTGGGTTTTTTGTTTTGTTTTCAACAACAAATACATTCTTGTAAGATGAGCCCATTCAATCATTGATGAATTATCATTTTTAAATATTAATCACACTTCCCATAAACGCATTGTTGTAATATTTTCTTTGGCAAATTTTCCTCAAACTTTGGCTTGCTACCCTCCGACATCATACACAGAGAGATATTGAGTCTAGAGCTTTGGAACTATCAATTGGGCCATAAACCGTAATGTGGACAGCGTAACACATCAGAAAACCAGCTGCTATGGTCTCATTTTGAAAACTACTTACCTGCCATTGATTGCCTCATGCAGATACTTGCATTTATAAATGAGCCACAAAATGGATTCCTTATACGCAATTTCGCCCAAATTGTGATAGACCCGGAAGTTTGATCTGAAAAGTCAGTCTAGATTTTAAGAAAAACACTTCCTCCTAATATCTAAGACTCAAATGAGTTTTGGCCGTATTTCAATTACAAACATTAAGCATCAAGAATTTGAGCAAAGTTCATTCTTCACGCACAAAATCGGTGGTTTGTATGTCCCTAGCAGAGAAGCAAAATGAAATTTGATAGAATGAACTTTCAATATGCTGGGAAGTGAAATCTCTTTCCATGAAATTTCGAAGATTTAAAAGGGGTTGTACTTACAACCCCAACAATTGTGGGAGAACTTGATTAAAAACGAAGAAATTTGACTCATTATTTAATTTTCAAAATTAAGATGTTACTGCGTCTATGCATTTCAATTGTTGCATCAATTGTTGAAGTATCGAGTAATTTCACAAAATTTTATGAAATTTCCTTGTAAAACTTCATCTTATCAAGTTTCATGAAATTTGCATCTCTGGTCCATAGCTTACAGATTATCTTGAAGGTTTGTAACATTTTTCACAGCAATTTTTTGTTGTGTTGCTCTGATATAAATTTTTCAGTCACGCTTCGATCTATTGCCTCTTGGTTTTTATGCTTCTTCAAAACTTATAAGTTAAATTATGTAATTACTTTAATTCAGAATGAAAAGCAGCCAAAACTGAATGACTTTTTCAAACTTTAGTGTTGTTGAGACTGAAAAAGCTTCCGCAATCGATCCTGTTTTAACTTCTGAAGTTTCAAGATAACTTTTAATCACAGCTGAATCCTAGATTCCTCCCATTTTACTTTGAATCAAAGTAACCTCAAATGTAGTGTGTTTGTATATGAAGTCTTGTGCTGATGAAAATATGAAATAAATCTTGTTATCGGTTTCTTTCAAACCCGATTATGCAATCAGAGGTCATAACTTGTTGAGAAAGATTTGTCTCAAAGTATATATCTGGTCACGTGAACAGTACAAGAACATTTTCCAGTGTTTATTGTTTTAATTTTAAAATCGTTCAAGATTTTTTTTTTAATATTATTTTTTATCTAGATTTCTGTTGTGGTTTTGTTTTATTTATTTACTTTAAATTTGGTCTTTTTTGTAGAAAATTGTACAGCACTTTCAAAGAGCAAAACCCTAGAGTAAGACTGTAAGTACAGCCGGTTGGTGTAAATAACTTATTTTTCTAAGTTGAAAAAGTGTACACTTTGTATTTATGGATTGTAAATTTGAAAGTAAGTTTTCATTACTTTTTAAGATTATTTTAAAAAAATGATATAATTATTTATTGTATAGTGTAAATATTCCAATGTGATCGTAGTTTTTTCCTCATATTTCTTAAAACTGTACAAAAGTCTCAGAAGCTGCAAATTCAAGATATTTAAATCAAAATTTTGTTAATACATAAGCTTCTATGTTCAAAGAAAAAGAAAGAAATACTTACATTTGTAAATATGCCTTGTACTTGAAAGGAATACAGTGGAACTTAATTTCAAATTTTACTCTCCTTTTTTCCTACCCCAGTTTTTTAAATCTGATAGCAAAAATTTTTGTCCTTTCTTTCAGCAGTTCAATATTAATGGCATAAAAACTTGAAACCATGCTCCTTTATTTGCGACGTTGCAGACTTCTTGTCATAATTTATTTTTTCTTTGGAAAACTAATCATCGTAATTTCTCAAAAATCTCTTTGAGTTTTTTCTCTGTCAGCTGAATATTCTCCATGAATTTTGAGCATTGAAGTTGCCTTGTTGCTCTGCGGAAAGTAAAATAGGAACATATATTTTAAAGTATCGGAATGGTGATATGTCGTTTCGCAACTATACAGTTTTGTTGATTGTCTCATTTAAACTTTGAAAATTAATAGCAAACAGCCTTTACAAGAAGACAATGAGTAATTGGAATGACTGTTTGATTTTCATTTTCAAAATTCTAGTGGAAATGAGTTTTCTAATGTTTCAATTCATTTTGAACTTCGTTCGTTCGTTTTTCAAAAACCTCTTTATCGTAAGGAAGTCCAACCCTTGACTCATGTTCTATTTTTACGAACGCTCAAAATTTAACCAAACGTTTTAGTGTTGGCATTGCATTGAGAGAGAGAGAAAAAAAAATTAGGTTCTATATTTAAAAATCTATCTCAGGAAAAATTTGACAATGAAGATTTTCGCATCAAAGTTTTCAACCATTTTCACAAAAGTGTTTGGCACCAAGGTACACTCTACTACAGGTATGGACAAACAGGGTGCCAAAAGTGGCAGCGCTGAGAATATAGGCCATCGAGTGACGTCGCAAATTGTACCATCTTTGCCGCGCAGTTCAAAATGACCCTCGAAGAGGTTCTGGCAGATCTGGTAGCTTGATTAAGCTATCAGATGAATTTAAAAAATTGATAAAATTCAAAATAACGAAAAACTTAACCAAGAACACGAAAAAATAACTTGAAATTGATGAGAACCACTCTCAGAACAGAAAGTAAACAAGTTTTCAATATGGCGTCGCAGTCGCACCATTGGATGCTGTCAAATCTACGCTTTTCGACGACTTTCTGAAATTCCGTTTGTCCATGCCTGTGGTAGAGTGTACTTTGGTTTGGCACCTAAATTCATATCATGCTTTTCCCATATTTTTTTTTGGTCTGGCAGCTATCAGTTCTGGAACTGATCGCTGATCACATCAATTATACACTGATTGGCAGCAATCAGTTCTAGAACTGATGATTGGCATTAATCAGTTAGAACTGATTGCTGCCAGAGTAACATCTATTCTGTCCCTCTGAAAGAAATAACAGTCAGACCCTGCGTTGGAGACCAAAATCATGTTCATGGAGTCACGATGCACTTCCTTTTTGCAAGTGCACAGCTCTATTTCATCCAAAAGAAACCAATTCTTCTGATTTATTTCAGCAACGATATATTGCTGGTGAAAGTTTGAAAACACACATTCTGGATTGCAATGCTGCAAATTTTTCCACGTATTTAACTTTTCAAAAGATACTTTCAGAGACTTTTCAATCAACAGTTACTCTTGAAGTTTCTTTATATTTTTCTTAGCCTCGTGAGTAATATCCTGTAAAAAATTCAGACACTAATATTCATTGGTTTGATTTGAGTTTTGTTCAACTTCATCATCTCTCATTGATTGAGTAATGGATCAAACGTTTCTTTGCTGCTTTTATCGCGGACTTGTTAAAGAAGTCTACAATAAAATCGGTAAGATAAAGTTCTATCCGTTACTAGAGAAATTCTTTTGGAAACTATGCAAGCAGGACATACTTGTGTTTTTTAACTTTTACTAGCAATTGAATCGGTCATTCTCAAGGAGACCTGAGTGCCAAAATTAAAATAAAAGAAAAATAGGCAAAAAGCTGTTTATTCGACCCATTTCAAATCTCATAGCTCCAAAATATCCAAGGATTTAATCACGTTATTACTTAATCTAAGATTTAAAACAGGTCAATTAATACAGTTTTTATTGTTTCTCACATATTTTTGAATCTGGCGCTCGAGCCTTTTTGAGAACGGCCGATTAAATTTTTCATTTCCTTTCACAGATGGGTACTTTGATGAATAATTAATTTAATTAAATAATCAATTTCATCAATGTTTTTGGTTTCTTTTTGATGAAATGTGTCTTCATCATGTACCTACTTAAAAATTCTCTTTCTGTAGTTACTGCCCGTACTCTTGTGTCTCACTTTAGATTGCTTGCTCAAATCTGTCTACTTAACCAAGTAAGTAGGTTCAAGTTTATACAGCTATGTTTCACTTTGATTCCGGCCAAAAAAAGGCGTGTTCCCTCCTTGTGTACAACTTACATTCATCTGAAATGCTCAGGAAGTATTAATAGGGTACAAAGTTGAACTTAGGAAGAAAAATTGAAGCGCTGGTTGTGGAAAAGAAAACTTCTCCATAGCAGTGTCCTAGAATTTCTGCTAACATTTCATCCATTATGATCAAAGCTATTGTATGTATTACGTTAGCATCTTTTCTGAATATTCTTTATAATTCTGCATGTCCTAAACGAAAAATTTCAGAAAATTCTCGGCACTTGAATTCATTCTTGTCACGAAGAATTACCTACTTAATTTTGTTTCTAATCCAACCAAGCAACTGATTCAAAATTTAGTAGGCTCTTTTTGAACTTCTTGAAATGCAAATCTGCTTCTTAATTTATAAAAAAATTACGAAAAACTCTATTGTTAAAACTCAAATCTTTCTGTGAGTAGATATTACAAGGATCCTCATAATTGATGTACAAATCCCTCCACACTTTTCGTAGAATGCTTTTATAATGTCAGAAAATCACATCTGTGAATCTATATTGTACATTGGAGTTATCGATCCTGTAAATACTATTTTATCTAAAGAGAAAGGGGAAAATGTCTCAATTGAACTGTATTTAGGCTTTACTTGTAGGTAATCTCATTTCTATTGTATTGATATTTTTTTTTCAAAGAAAGAAAAAAAAAGTTCTCATCTTCGAAGACTGGACTTTCTCATTTCTTTCAAACTCCTTTTTCTTTTTCTCTCTTTTCTTTGGGTCCGGCAAATCAAGCAGAGCTCAGTAAAACCGCCGGAACTATACATCGATGGATAAAGTGCAAAACTGCGTAGATATTCCTATTGCAATGTTTCAACATTTTTGCTTGAATTCTATTGTTTTGGAAGGAAAACAAGTCAAATTTATAACTAAAAATTTATGCAGAATATTCTGCTTACAGAAAAGGAAAATCAAGAAAGTTTTCAAGAAATTACGTTGACTAATTTGCCGAAGGAAAAATAAATTTTGACCAAAAGTCTGCAACAGAGTCACGTGATTTTGCACTTTGGCCATCAACATCAGTGAACGTCCAGGGATTAAAGCTGTCAAGGCGGATTAAGAATGGTGGTCGCATTTTGATTTTGGCTGCCATCTTGAAGCGTTGTGACGTCAGGAGGGTACGGGTTTTGCCGTGCAATCCGAGGTTGAGCCGGTCCCCCCGGCCTCAGCTGGCCCATGTACCCGATACCGTGTGACGTCCAAAGGGTGCGAAATGCGACCACCATTCTTCATCCGCCTTGTAAAGCTGTGACGGTCTGCAACGGCCAAGCATATCCCTGCGAGAATATGCTTGGCCATTGGAGACCGTCACAAAGCTGAGTGGAGTCTGTTATTTCAGATACACCCGCCAGTTCCCTGGAAATTTCATGCTACTGCTCGGATTTGAACCAGGAACCCATTGACCTAGAGTCAGACGCCCTGACTACTAGGTTAATTAAGCCTGCCAATTTAATGTTCAAAATGCGCACTCCTAGTGGAGGCATTGAAAAAGGTTGCCCTTGGTGGTATCAAAAGAGGTGGCAAACTTGTTATGGAAATCCTGTCTCAGTCAGATTTCATGAAACTTGAATATGTAACACTCAGAATTAGAGACCGGCAAAAATGTTCAAGCTGAAAGATTCCAGAAATGTTTTAATCATTTCCCTCCGCATTCAGGAAAAAAATATGACCTGCTTCAGGTGACCATGTATGCCACAATGATTTTTCTGATTTACGGAGGGATCCCTTTTTCTTGCATGTAAAAAATTGTATCCAATATTGATGAAATTTTCACATGAAAAATGAGTAATTGAGGAATCTAATTCCCTGGGCCTGCAGAAAACTACTTGGTTAATCAAACATTTCCAGGAGGGCCGGAACACTTGGTCACTTTAGCGAAAGTGACAAAAAAGCACAAAAATCGACCAGCACCAAAATTTTGAAAATTAAAGTTGACACCAGGAGACTTCCCATCCCATATGTCTATGGGGGAGAGGGGGCGGAGGGTTTGAAAAGTGGCCTTAGAGATCCAGGAGGACTAGAAAGTTTCGTCCGTTTTGCTGTACGACCAACGATTCACGACATATTCGCACTTTTCTGGTTGAGAAAAGCGTCCACATTTCATCATAATGAAAAATCGACCATCACCAAGATTTTGAAAATTAAAATTGACCCTAGGGGGCCAGGGCCCCCGCCCCATGGGTCTGTAGGGGGTGCAAAAGTAGCCCCAGATATTCTAGGGGGCTAAACAATTTCGTCCGTTTTGCTCTACAACCAACGGTCCACGAAATATTCGCAATTTTCTGGTTGCAAAAAGCATCCACTTTTCATCATACCCCAATAGCATTTGCAGGTATTTTTTACAATTTTCTGGAAAATTTGCAGGAATTTAATTGTAATTTTATTGAGATGAGCTTTCGATTTCATTCCAATTAAATCTTCTTGAAGTCACCTTTTTATTTGAATCTAATACAATTTAAATACATATTAAATTTCAATTATATTCAAGATGGTATCTGGATTTTGTCAAAATTAAATAAAGAAATTTTTGCTATTCAGTCATCTCAAATTAGGACTTGAAGGGAAAATGTTCAAATTGCACAGAAGCAAATTCAGAGAAGCACTGTTACCAAAGTGCCGTATAGCAAAATGAAATCCACAGCTCATTTTTGTTCATTAATGAGTTGCACTACGCTGCCCTGCTAAGGAAGAACGACATATGAAACTCGAAGGTTGTCAAATTTCCTGCGATAAAACCTTCATTTTTCAGGAAAAATCGGGATATTTTCCCTTTAAATTTTCAGAATCCTTAGGAAATATTGTGAAGTACAGGTATTAACTGACAAATTGGGAAGTGTTTTTGACCGTTTCTCGCTCGGACAGCTCCGGCGAGCAGCGGGAACACCGGAAATGGATTCTACGCCTCCAACTATGTAAGATCCGACACTAATCTCGAAATTTTTTTTCTCCTCCAAAATCGAGAAAAATTGACAGGGGTACCATGGAGTAAAATTTCGAGGTCAAAATCGAAAGTTCTCCGATCGGGCTGAAACCGAGCTAGTCCCCTTGGAAATGACCCGCTGAGTCCGATTTTCTGGTCAAAAAAGCTCTGCGAGTCCGCCAGTTCGCTGGATCGGCGAAAAACGCGCGGTCAATGAAATTTCGCGAAACGGTCAAAAACACTCCTTTTTGACCTTTTCGTGCTCGGAAAGCTCCGACGAGCAGCGGGACCACCGGAAATGGATTCTATGCCTCTAACTATGTTAGATCCGACACTAATCTCGAAATTTTTTTTCTCCTCCGAAATCGAGAAAAATCGACAGGGGTACCATGGAGTAAAATTTCGGGGTCAAAATCGAAAGTTCTCCGATCGGGCTGAAACCGAGCCAGTCCCCTAGCAAATGACCCGCTGAGTCCGATTTTCTGGTCAAAAAAGCTTTGCGAGTCCGCCAGTTCGCTAGATCGGCGAAAAACGGTCAAAAACGAGTGTTTTTGACCGTTTCGCGATAGTTCATTGACCGCGCGAATCTCGCGCGGAAAGCTCCGGCGAGCAGCGGGACCACCGGAAATGGATTCTACGCCTCCAACTATGTAAGATCCGACACAAATCTCGAAATTTTTTTTCTCCTCCAAAATCGAGAAAAATCGACAGGGGTACCATGGAGTAAAATTTCGGGGTCAAAATCGAAAGTTCTCCGATCGGGCTGAAACCGAGCTAGTCCCCTAGCAAATGACCCGCTGAGTCCGATTTTCTGGTCAAAAAAGCTTTGCGAGTCCGCCAGTTCGCTAGATTGGCGGAAAACGGTCAAAAACTAGTGTTTTTGACCGTTTCGCGAAAGTTCATTGACCGCGCGTATCTCGCGCGGAAAGCTCCGGCGAGCAGCGGGACCACCGGAAATGGATTCTACGCCTGCAACTTTGTAAGATCCGACAATAATCTCGAAATTTTTTTTCTCCTCCAAAATCGAGAAAAATCGACAGGGGTACCATGGAGTAAAATTTCGGGGTCAAAATCGAAAGTTCTCCGATCGGGCTGAAACCGAGCTAGTCCCCTTGGAAATGCCCCGTTGAGTCCGATTTTCTGGTCAAAAAAGCTCTGCGAGTCCGCCAGTTCGCTAGATCGGCGAAAAACGGTCAAAAACGAGTGTTTTTGACCGTTTCGCGATAGTTCATTGACCGCGCGAATCTCGCGCGGAAAGCTCCGGCGAGCAGCGGGACCACCGGAAATGGATTCTACGCCTCCAACTATGTAAGATCCGACACTAATCTCGAATTTGTTTTTCTCCTCCAAAATCGAGAAAAATTTTCGGGAAATTGGAGATTTTCTGGTCAAAAAAGCTCTGCGAGTCGGCTAGATCGGCAAAAAACGCTCGGTCAATGAACTTCCGCGAAACTCCTTAGTAAATCAAACATTTTCCGAAGGGCCGGATAATTAGTTCATGTTTGATTGACGACGAACGACTTTAAAGAGATCATTCCATTTTTCCGGTTAAGAATGAATTCATTTTGAAAATTTCAGCCTAGCTTGCTCTGCGACTAACGTTTGTTGAGTTATTCAGATTTTTTAGGTTGAGAAAAGCATCCTCTTTTCATAATAGGTATTAAAAAATCTACCAGCACCATAATTTTTAAAATTAAAATTGACCCTAGGGGGACCCCGACCCCATAGGCCTATGACAGGGTGCAAAAGTAGCCTCATTCAAGTCATATATTCAGGAGGGCTAGAGAATTTCGTCCGTTCTGCTCTATGACCACAGGTTTACGAGATCTTTGCATTTTTCTGATTACAAAATTGATCCAATTTCATTTCGGCATTTTCAGTACTATGAAGAACAAATCGGTTGCAAAAATTATAATAATTAACTTTTATTAAAAGAATTCATAATACATATATAACCAGAAGAATAGACTGGAATGAGTCTGTGCAACAATGAAGGGAAATGTACATCATTTAAGGGAAAATGCAACTTAACAGCTGCAAGGATCAGTCGATTCAGATAATACTACAAAATAACTGTACAAACAAACTCCAAATATCACAGTACAAAGCATTTGCGTGATCAATACAAAAATAAAATTCCCTGGTTCATTTAACACATAACAACGCAGACAATTTATCCAGATCTCTTCAAAAACACAAATCATCTCTTTCCGGCCAAGATGGAAAATTCATTTTCACTTAAAAATAACGGCGCACAACATGCATACAACGATAAGCTGCACTGTTTCTTTAAAGCTGCAGAATTAAAACCAAAGGTTAAAGAAAGCTGCATGAAATTTAAAATTAAGGCCACAATACTTACAAGGTACTGAGGATATTCTCTCATGGAAGTTTTTCAAGAACGTTGGGAATAAAATATATGCTTAAATAAACGAGCCACCCATAATTACGTACCTAATAATCAAGGTTAAATTAAATGAAGAATAACAATCATGGTATGCTTCTATTAAACGTGGGGGAAATGGATACCGAGGTTCTTGAAGCTAAGGAAACAGGAAAAGTAGGTTCACTTCATTCCCAATGAAAGCAAAAATGAAGGCAAGTTTAAAAGAGATGCAACAAAACTATGATTCTGCACAATGTAAGGTATTCATAATTCTCAGACGAAAAATAAGGAGGAGGAGGCAGTTTCTGCTTTGTTCACACTATGACAAATTTAGTGAAATTTGGCATCAATATTCCGGTAAAATCCGAAATTCGAAGAGTAAAAAACGAAGAGGCACAAGGGGGGCATTAAAAAAAATAATTTTCCAAGAAAACTGATGACAAAAAGTCTGTATCCTTCGAAGTCATCAACCTCTTTTCAGTAGATGCCTGAAATGCAAACACCTCCTATTTTTATCGTCCTTTCTCTTTTCGTATAATTTTTCTACACTGAATTAAAAATGCCAAATGGTTGTATTCTCCTTCTTTGGGAAGAAATTGCACTGGTAACTTAAATGCTATGATAAATGATATTTCTGGAAGACTCAAAATAGATTGAGAGAGAAGACGTAGACATTCTTTATAAAGAGCAAATTGCTCTTCTACAATACTGGAAGATAACGACACTTGGCACTGTTGGATGAACTCAAAAGAGGAGAAAATTTGAAAGAGAGACTGATAAATGCTGGTGCAGGGGAAGTGAAAAGAAGACGCAGTCTTCAGGTACAATTTCAATACAGGCAGTGAGAGGGAATGTTGAATTGCAGAAAAATATACAAAAAAAAGAAGGCGTGAGACAGAAAAGATTGTCTACGCCAATAAATTGAAACCTTATAATCTACAATTCTAAGAGAAAAAATAACAGTAACAAAGAATAACATATTTTTAGATCATCATGGCACATTTTGGGTTGAGGGAGGGGTAAACAAAATTTACAAGTTCATAAGGCAGTGCTTCTCCTCTACGGATATCTAAGCTCTCGAGCTGCAAAATAATCGTAAGGCACTCGGAAGATATGGTCAGATTAATTGCAATTTTTAATAAAAATATGACCTCAATTTAAAGGAGAATCGCAGGTGAGCATCACAGCTCAAAAACCTTGAGGAAGACAGGATTCTAAAGACTCATGAAGTTGTTCTGTTGAACCGTGATTTTTAAAAGAAAGGGCCTAAAAATTTTAGAAAAACATTATTTCATTATCGATTGTTTAAATAATGATATGACGGCTCTACAGTCGATGGTGCAAACAATTTATACAACAAGTTGAGTGCCGACAGTTGGTCCTAATGTTACACAGTAACACCTCATCGATAAACGCTCGAAAAAAATTTTGACCTCCTTCACGATGCAAAACAGCTTAACAATTATTTTCTAACTTCAATAAAAATACTAACAAAACGGAGAAAATACATCGCCTCTGTGGCAGATACTGCCTGATGGTGATAAACTTAGCCTACGATTAATAATACTTATGATTACAAAAGAAAAAAACCAAGAAATATGAAGAAATTCAACAATACTTCTCAATAGAATAAGTTCCGTTCCAATGAAATTTATTGCAAGCGGTCCACCAGCATGGTGCGATTTGTGTCAAGAGTGCAAAAGATACCGCTCTAAAGGCCAAAAATCTCCTCATATCATTATTTCAACCTGTGTCAGCCTAGTCCTTCCTTTTCTTGAACTTCCGCTGACTTGAATAAAATTTTTTAAATATTTTAGCGTACTCACTGGTACTTCAAATTTATTGATTGAAACCCATTTTCAATTTACTGACGCTTGAGGTGGGGGCTTAAGTGCTACAAAATGCATTCCAATAAATATATTTTAAGTGCAAGTAGGTGCGCTTAAACATTTTAAATATTCATTTTAACTTGTTTTGACCCTTGCGTAGGATTTAGAGTTAAGGTTTTTTTCAATTGACTTCTTGGTATCATTACAATAATTATAACTCTTTAATGTTTTTTCAACTTGAATTCACTTCAAACAAGGGAAGAGAGAAAAATTAAACGGTAGTCTGCAGACCTGGCTCAAGTTTTAATCATCTTCAATCAATTTTTTTCTTTCTTCCTTTTGTTTTCTTTCAATATTTTTAACCAATTTTTAAAAATACGCAGATTTATTGCACTCAGTTGACGCAAGTTGAGAACATAATCTTCCAAAAGTCGTTTTGCAGTATTCTTCGGAGCATGTTTAACAAAGCACGAGTTTCTTTTTTTTGTGTGTATACAAAAACCAAAAAGTTCAAAAGAGCATTTCTGAGGGGAGAAAAAGATAATGAAAATCCGACAGTCAAGTTGACGTAGCAAGGCAATGCCTGAATTGAGGTTCAGCCAATTAGCAAGCCCAGTTTTCCCAACTTAGCTACATCAGAGCTTGCCGAAAATATCGTTTCAAACGAGTCCCATTTTGGACAATTTCAAAACAGGTTTTCTTTGCCATTTATGGTTAAAAAGATCTGAAAAAAGTCCTATGAGCTTAGTTCACTTCATACTTTCAGAAAATGGTTTAAAATAAGTTGGTGTCACAGACACATTCAGTAAAAATGTTCAGACTGAAAGCAGATGATTCACAGAATGTTAGAAAATTATTGCGCCGATACTTAAAACAAAGTATAAATATCCATTCGATCTGAAATTTTGTTCAAAAAATAACGTTTGCCAGTAGTACCTAGGGAAAAATCAATATTATCAAGGAAATATTCATTAATCCCTTTTTCTTAAATAATTCTTTGTACTGCTGCTTTCAAAATAAACAACAGCTTCTCGCTTTCATCAAAAAGTCTGACATGAGGATAGTTAAATCATTATAGGACACATTCTTAAAATGACATGATATGTTACTGCCAAAATGACCAGTTAATATAGTCATGAAATAAACTACTTCCGCGCTCACTTTGAGCTGCTAGTCAGTAACAGGTTAGGAGATCACGAGGTCTGATCGATTTTTCCCCCAAGCAAACTTCTGAAATACTTTACTCCAAAGTTTTTGATGGGTCTTTGTCTTAAAAAGTCATTAAGTTTCGGTTTCTTGTTGAAAGTGTGAACCATTTTTCACATTATGATTCAAAGACTTAAGATAGCATTTCACATCATCACTGACAACATTCCAACAGCAACTTCTCTTCTGCTTGAGGAATCTGTTGGAATCAAAATTAGTGTAGGAGTAACAGCAGATGCTAGACACATTTCAGTGTTCAGGACACAAACTCTTGGCCTCTAACGACTTGATTTACCCAGAAACTTCTGCGAGTTCATATTTTAAACTATCTCTATGGCTTCTGCCATTGAAAATGCGCCTGTGTGTCATAAAGTCAAGTTTAAAAAGTTGGGCGTCTTGCTAACCGTCTTTGTCGAGGTGCCCTCCCAGATTACGACCACACCATCAGCTGCCGAGGCATACAAGTGCTGAGAATCGTGCGAATACGTAAGACCGATAATTGGTGATTGTAGATTATTCACGCAGATCTCACCTACAGGACTCAAGTCCCATGTGCTCCAAAGTTTCACAGTACCGTTTTCCATGCCTGTTGCGATGACATTCACAGACAATCCTTCAGGGGCTGTCGAAAAACACACCGATGTAATTTTTGGAGTTGTTGTCAGGCTACCGATTAGAGTGACATTAATCGAGTGCAGGCGAAGAATGGAGTTGTCCGTCTCGCTACCGACCGTAACTATGTCTCCGAGAGTACTGGAAACGGAAACCAGATTGATCGGCAGATTAATTGCAGGTACGGACCTGACGTAAGTCAATTTATTCAAGTCCCATATGATGGCTGATCCGTCAGCTGAGCCGGAGAGAACAATACTAAATGCTCGATTGACGGAGAGACTTAACACAGGGCCAGCATGGCCGAGCAATTTGACGGGTTCTTGATTCAAGTCAACACTGCCTTGATTGTAATTAAAAGTGTAACGATAAATTGTGATATTCCCTGATTCGTGTCCCACCCAAAGCTGCGAGCAATCAGGCGCTGAGGCACAAATCGTGACTGGATCCAATGGCGATGTGCGAATAATCGGTTTTGGCGGCTTTTCTTTCCGCAGCTTGAGTCTGATCACATTGTCAGCATGACCCCATGAAGCAACCGCGCATCCTAGGACAGTATCTTCACGGCTGACGAGGCTTAAAGTTCTTTCTTTAGCATAGGATAACAAAAGAGAGGTTTTCGGGGCAAGACCAAAAACATCGTTTGTGAGAAGTGGAACCAAGCTAGCGACTGGAATACGATGCTGATGACGCCATACAACCGAAGGAACTTGTTCTGCTGGTGATCCAACAAAGGAACCCCACTGGAGACCTTTGACGCTCTTGAATACCGGTCGGGTAGGGACAGTTATTTTCGGAGTCAGGGTCTGGACGATCATCGGATGAGGTGCTGTGAACAGCTGGCGCGGGGTTTGACCATACGTTCGGATCATGGTCTGCCACGCAATTCGCTCTAACTGGTCTGGGATGGAATCTACGTCAAAACCGTAGTAAGTTGCAGGGTGAAAAACGTTTATCGCATCAACAGCTGGTTTACCGGTTTGTTTGTAGCCGAAAACAAGGTCAATCCAGTGCGGGAGATTCTCTCGCACGTACTCTGACTCGAGGGCCTGGCGGTGAATGAGGATGAAGAGTCGCGGGTCCGAGTTGGCCCAGGGAGGGAGCTGCACATCATCTACTCGTTCCCCGTTCTGTCGCAGACCAAAGTTGAAGCCATGTGGGTTCGTGAGGAATTCAGGGAGGCAGAAGAATTCTGGAATGATTTCCTTCACGTCGGTTGTTGACTCGGATGAGGTGAGCCGCCATGTTGTGTGCAGGGAGTGGAAAGTGCGGTCGGGTAGGTCGAAATTCTCATCTTGGTAGTTCAGGAACATCTGAAAAAGTGAGCATACATTAGAATGCCGTAGGCTTCATACATGAAAAATTATTTGAACATTATGACTTGCCTAAAATTGAAAGTTGGAGATAATGGCAATGGTGTATGGTTAAGTGATTCACAAAAATCCCAGTGCGAGGACCGCCCAAAAATGTCAAACCGAACTTGGACTAAGACAGTTCAAATTTTGTGACTGGAAACAGGTTTTTACAAAAATAACTTTTTAAAATTATGATCTGCAGCCCTATTATTGAGTCTATGTTGATACGGTGACACAAAACAAAGCTTTACCTAAATCATGCAATATATCAATTTCCGATGTCTTAAAATTTTCAATAATCAGCCGGCAGCCCGCTACCAAGTTTGAAGCCTATCATCATCTGATTAAAAAGCAATTTTATGCTTAACATTGGTATGAGAAAAAACTAAATTTCTTGCAACCCCTATTTTGGGATACTAAGAGAATGTTTTCTATAATAAATTCGAAGGCCAATGTTTCAAATCAATTTTGCAACAAAAAAAAGAGGAAAAAAAAGCTCTTCAAAAAATTTGCCTGAGTGTACAGAAAATGAGTGTGTTGCTTCCTCCAAGGACAGACACATGTTGTGAAAGCTAAAGTTGAAGCACTTCCAAGATTTCAGGAAAGGTTAAAAATATTCGGTATACTTTTGTGAGTTTAGCATGAGGGTTGATTCGTCAATTAAGATATTTTTTTGCCTCCTAAAACATTCCATTTTGCATTTTTCTGCACTTGGTATCAAATAATTAGTTTGTTAGAGTATGGATTTAAGACTCAAAAAGAAATGTGAAATTGTGATCTCACAAGAGTGATAAATTCATACATGGTAACGCAGTCTCAAACCTATTGTTCTCATCTTTTACTATTTGCTGCTTTGTCGTCTAAAGCAAGAACGCCGTAAATTCCATTGAAGATTTGTTCAATTTTTTCCAACATAATGTTTCGCCACAGGAGCTCTGACGAGTACTTACCCTTCATAATTCTAGAAAAATTGAGGCATATCATTGAGAACTCAAACTCACAAAATGGAACATTACAGTCATCAGGTTCTCATGTAATGAAATATTATGTGAGGGAGAAAACTTTAAAATCTTAATGGGTTTATGGAATTTTCACTGTAGATGGCAGGGATCTCCTGTTAGAGTAACGGTCATAACATTATTTTAAGCTGCTTCTTTAGTTAAATAGTAGCTTAAATTTAGTTTTTTTTTAAAAAAACAAAAAAAACTGAGACCTTCATGACATGCTATCTGGCTTTCTTACTTACCTAATTATTGTGACTTGACAAAAATAAGAATCGAAAAAAAAAAACTCATTACATACACTTGAGTATTTGGGGCACAGTCTCTAGACAAGATGATAATTTTGAAAATTGCTCTCACCTGAGTGAACGGAGGGACTCGGACAAGAAAGTGAAGAACGGTTCCTGAGTTGGAGTAATGTGAACCGTAGTGGTATGGTTCTTGGTAAGGAGTCATCATGCTCACAGCATCTGTCAGTTCTTGCTTCAAATAATTATATGATCCGATATAGTGCTGCTCGTTCTTTTTATCTTGGACAGCCATTGGTTTCTTCAAATTCCTAGTGGAGCATAAAACAATTAGTAGACCGAAAAAGCAACTCTCGGGAAAAGATAAGGCGTCCTTTCTGGAATTTTCAGAAATTACTTTCACTTACTGGCATGATTTGTAAAATATGGAGAAACAAGGGTATCATCACATTCGAAAGAAAAACTTTTCTTAACTAAAATTGGCTGAATGGATAACTTTAAATTTTCCGTCACGAAAGCGTTGTGAGGAGCAAAGAGGGGTCAAAATGTCCAAAACCGAGTTTTACATATACAGTGGACTCTCGATAATTCGAAAACCTTGTTTATTCGAAGGAAAGTCCGTTCCCCTTGAAAATCTCTTGATAATTTGAAGAAAATCAATGTATTTTTCTACCCTTGTTATTTCGAAATTTTTAAGCTGGCGCGGCCTTCTATAATTCGAAATTGCGACAAAAATTCTCTCTGTAATTCGAAAAGAGGGAAGTAAATATGGTCCACTATAATTGGTCCTCTATAATTCGAAATAAGACGGTACATTCCCTCTACAATTCGAAGTCAACTGTTTATGTACCAGGGTGTCTGAAAGAGCTGACAGGATTGTCAAAATGTAAACATGTAATTAATAAATTTAAAATTAAATACATATATAAACTAGCCGCTGTGGCTCGCTTCGCTCGCCTCGCGTCTAGCCGGGGGCTCCGCCCCCTGGACCCCCGGTCACTCGCTTCGCGAGTGACTTACGGCTCGCAAGCGAGCCGTATTCCGTGCCGTAAATGCAAAAAGATGATAAAGTAATGTAATCCAATAAGAACTGTTTTCTGAATACATGAAGCATTATGGATAGTTTCCCTGTAAGGGATTTTTCTTTGGGGGGGGGGGCATTAACTGTGAGTTAAAAAGGCTGATGTAGGGGTAACGGGAGGGACGAACATAATTCTGCAGTGGTAAGGAAGAACGCCGTATGAGTCTTCAGACGTTGCCAAATTTCCCCTGGAAAACCACTAAATTTCAGGAAAATTTTTGAAAATTTTGGATACTTTTGTTTTTAATTTGATCTAAAACGTCTGAAAATTTCATGGGGAAAATATTCATAATTTTCCTCAAAAATAAACATTTTATCGAAGAAAATTTGGCAACTCCCGAATGTTCATATGTCGTTCTTCCTTAGCAGGGCAGAATTGCAAACACTGCGCATTAAAAAAGAGACCATTTTCGGTTTTCTTCAAAGTATTCGGACATAACTCCAATAAAAATACAATGAGAGGATTAGCGCGAGGTTTGGATGTCGCTCCCTGGTCGGAAAATCATGTTTTGACTCGTCTGCCGACAAAATCTCGTCAAAGCGTTCAAGAACAGCTGGGCCTGGACATGAGTCAGGAGACCAGGCGGCAGCAATAGATCTCAATTCGTCATCCTTTTTTCCCTTCCTGCTCGGCCTAGTGGAGCTCCAAAAAAATTGATGAAATTTCTCTCATCGGGTTCGATTTCAACTTTCTCAGTAAATTTACGCTCTGCTAAAAAAGTATATTACAATGAACTAAATTTCGTCGTGATATGTTGATAAGTAACGGAAATATCGTTCAGCAAGTTATAAATGCAGCAGTTGTGGTATCGATCTTAGTGTACCGTAGAATCATGTATTTTCATTAGTTTGACCACCATTCTGCTCAAAATTTCACCGCGAATCGAAAAATATACTCTGTAAAAACAATTTCCGAATGATAGAAAAAATTGCATTTTTACTGTCTTTAAATTTTGAGGGTCAGATTTTGTTTGGCATGTGAGACAATAGGGCTGCGATCCCGTAGCGAGCAGTCTCGGTCTCGAGGGTTGTTAGACAAAAGGACGGGAAAACCCATGTCATCGCGCCGCTTCGACAGTTTTATGGAACCACGTAGCTGGGGCGGCTTCCTTTTATTCAGACAGAGCAGTGCTGAGACAGAGTCCGAGTTTGACCTTCGGCGTTGGGTGAAGGCTGTGTAGTAGTAATATGGAGAGGGGTCGCGCTATTTGCATCTCTCAGCGGTTTACACAGATATGGCTGAAAAATTGGAAATTCTCATAGTTTTGCGAGCATCTAGGAGCTAGAAGTTTTCAATCGACCCAAAAATCGTAAAAATCGCCCCGGTAGATCTCTCAAAATAGGCGTTACAACAGGAACATAACCAGTTCCCGGGAACTTAAGGCCGGAGGGGGGTGGATTTGGCTTTAAGAGCGTCTCAGGAAGAAGAGTCTGAAAAATTTGGAAGTCTGACAATTTTGCGAGCATCTAGAAGCTAGGAGCTTGCGGTCGACCCAAAAATCGTAAAAATCGCCCCGGTAGATCTCTCAAATTAGGCGTTACAACGGAAACATACCGCAACTCTCGGAAACTTAAGGTCGGAGGGGGGTGGATTTGGCTTTAAAAGCGTCTCAAGCGAAAGAGGCTGAAAAATTTGGAAGTCTGAAAGTTTTGCGGACATCGGGACGTCAAGGGCTTTAACCAGAGTCAAGCATCGTCGAAATCGGTCCGGTAGAACTCCAGAAATAAGCGTTACAGTGAAACCCCCAACGATTTTATTTATATAGATAATTAATACTTAATAATAACTTAGTGTAATTATTACCTCAGTGAAGAAATAAACTGATATTTTTGGTTCCTTTTGATGTAAATCCGTCCATTTGCCTATCTACATTTGAACCTCTCTAATTCGAAATTTCCCCACATGAATCTCTTTAATTGGAACTCTCTTTATTTCGAAACCTCGCTAATTCGAAGAAAAAGCTGATTCCCTTCAATTTCGAATTATTGAGAGTCCACTGTAAATGGTGAAACTGCAGAAATTCATATCTTGGTTTGCAATGCTGCAGAGTTCACCAACAGTTAACTCTCTACTCTCTTTGGCACTTACGACCTCATTTGGGTGGAGATGTCTCTTTTTCCCTGCCTTTCCTTTGCTTCAACCTCTTGCATCATTTTGAACAAATTATTTCACACTATAAAAAAACATACCTGAACGAGGCAGGGTTGGTGAGGTCAAGGACTTGGGAAGTGTAGTCGGCCAGAATAAAAGGCATGACTGGGTACTGCATGAGGTCGTTGTATGAGCGGCCAGCCATTTTGTTGAGCAAAGTCAGGTAGTCCCAGTTGCTGAGTAGCCCTTCCCGCCATAGCTGAACAGCGTCGATCAAAACATCGCCGTTGACTCGATTCGGGAGAGGACACTCGCTCAACATTTTCACGAAATTATCCCGCTCCTGAAAACCGAAGAGATGATTACTGATGGCTCCGAGCAGACATTACCTATTTGTTATTCTAAAAAATTAACTCAACATGTTGATCTCCAATGACTGGCAATGACTGCTCCTTGCAGTATTGCAAATTTGCCATTATGAGCATGTAAGCTTCTGCCAAGCTCTGCGCTGGTGCAATATTCCCAACAATCAGTGTTGAACTAAAGTTTCATTTAAGAGGTGCTGTCAGTCCCTGGTCCTGTGCAAATGGATTTTAACTGAAATAAACAACTCGACATCCCAGTGCTTTGGCTGAAAAATTGAACTTATCATTCTTGTCTGCGGTGGCAATAATAAACGTGAAACACTTCAATTATTTACTTAGCCTAACTAGTCAAGGTAATTCCATAAAAAGCTCCTACATATTTCTGCTTTGTTACAGGAGTCTTCTGTGTACATTTTAGGCTATGAAGTTGATTTGTTTCTCTTTAAAAAAATAAAATAGGAGCGGAAATTTTAAGACACTATAATGGAGATACATTGTTTTGTATTTGACCATCGATGTTCAGTACAAACATGAGATAATGAATGAAACTAACAATGGCTGACTGGAACGCAATCAGGTAGGTTCGGCCGTTAAGGAGGAACATCTCAATAGCACGCTCCTGGAGCTGGTAGCGCCGGTTATGGTATTCCTTAATTTCATCAAACTTCATAACAATGGACGTTCCTTCCAACTCCATCGATTCCTCAGCATCGACATTCGGGATGAAGTAAATTGAGGCCGCCCCGATGAGCAGCTCACCGGACACTTCTGATGCTGGCTGCACGATCTGACACGTACACATGTGAACGATCTTCTCTGATGTGTGCAGTTTGTCTATCAAAAGAACGTTCTTTGCATCGCAGTTGGACGTCTGTAGGTACGACAGAGGTGTTTTCGTTGGCAGCCCTAATAAATAAAGAAATAAAAAAATGACTTTTTGGAAAGAAGTTTTATGAAAACATTTAAACAGTTAAAAAATTTGAAAGTAATAACCTGGTACTTCTTGGGAGAAGAAATAGCATTAACAGAGGCAGTAAACGATTTAGTTCATCAGTAAGTTAGGAATTAGATTCATTCTTCTCAGTATTTTCAAATTTTAACATTGTTACATATTTCTTTCACTGGTAATGAAGTATCTAGACTGAACTGCTAAACATCTTTAAACTGTCTGTGAATTGACCCTCGATTATGTAGAGTAGAATTTCAAGTCTCACTGATGCTTAGTTTTTTTTTTTTTTAAGAAATGAAACGCAGAGAAAATTATATAAAGTCTGACTTAGTTAAGCCAAATCCAGTTAAGCTTAATCAATTAGTTTCAGATTTCTCTAATATTTAGACTTTTTATCATTTGCTTTCTTCTTCCAGCTGGCTGATTATTGAAATTGATGGACAAAACAATAGACAAAGAAGACATAGGGAACAAGGAGCAATCCTATTGGTTGAAACCGGAGGTTGATATAGACTAGGGATCTTTCTTGGGTTGCCCTTAGCTAGTCTATTACTTACCTCCTTTGTCCATTGAAACTACCCGCTTCCACCAATAGGATTGCTTTATTTCCTTTTTGTCTTCTTTGTCTATAAATTTCAATAGTCGGCCCACAGCTTGGATTTCAGAATTGCTCTCCATTTAATTTTTATTACTTTGTGGACTAGGCTGTGCATAATAACACGGCTTTGTACCTTCAAAAATTAAATCTATATTGACCTCATTTCCTCTTTTTCGACTAAAATTTTCATTCATTTTATTATTTACTTAGACGTATTTCAAAAATTGACAGGCTAAACCGCGATCAACCAAACTGCAGTTCACAGTGCCTCATTTTCTCTCATGTCTTATCTCTATTAACCAAAAACTTAGAGATGGGACAGCTTGAAACTTTCTCTGAATCGCCCTGATACCACAAAAAATTGCTACAAAATTACAAGACGGGGATGTCGCTTGGTTTTCTGTCAAAAATAAAACACCGGAAGAAGTAAGGTAATATGCAATGCAGTTAGCCTAATCTCCATAAAATTTGAAGTTATACACGGTGATAAAAATATTAGCACTGTTCATTTGAGGATCACAATTTACTTTCTATGAGATACAGCGGAAATTGAACACCAATCGCACACACTGAGCTCAGAAAGATTCTGCATCCCCTCCAAGTACTGACATTGTCGCTTACCATGTTTGTTGCGATATTCAAGTTTGAAGAAACGGTTATCAATGTTGAGGTTACAGCGCTGGAGTCGGTTGCGAACCCTGCCGGGGCCTTCGGTGGGATCAAGCTGCCACGCTCGAAGATAAGCGTCGGGCGAGTACCAAACAGCGCGTTCATGGGTCAGCTGTTGCACAATTGATTGCCAGCGCATCGTAGCGTCCACCGCTTTACTATGCTCCACCTTCATTAGCTCAAGCAGTCCTTTCTTCTGCCGATGCTGCGATTCCACCACCTCCGTTGTCATGGCGGCCCCAAGTTCAACCAAGGTTCCCACTAACGTTTCCCATTTAAAAATGCACCTGAAGGAAAACAAAAGGTCAAACCTTAAACTTGTCCCAGACTACAAAAAACATTTTATTTTGGATTTGTCTTTAAGTTGAAGAGAAATAATCATTTATGTCTTTATGGAAGATTACTCATGTGACCAATGAGACCAAAATGCAAAACCACATACCTCCGTTGTGATGTTTCAATATTTCTGCTATTTTATTTAAGAAAGAAGAACAAGCCAACTTTAAAGTCTAAAATTTAAATAAAATATTCTGCTAACAGCGAGAAAAAATCAAGGAATTACATAAATTAGTTTTCAAAAAAAAAATACATAAAGTATGACAAGAAGTCTGCAACGTCACGAATGGAAAGGCGTGGTTTCGGACTTAGACCATCCATTTGCAAGAGAGGTCTGAAAATCAGAGATCCACACGCAAAAATAAGAGGCACTGGTTAAAAAGAACAGCTAAAAAATTGAGCCAGCCTTGATTTCTGTTACATCAATGCTCATTAAAAAATTTCTTGCAATGCTGTCAATAATCTTCCCAGTTCCTAAAATTTTGAGGTGACGTTAAAATACTGGCCAGGACTCCAAACGGTTCGAAGACCATTAAGATGGACTGCTAATTAAAATGTGATAAGATATTTGAACTTTAGACTAACAACCCCCTCCTCCTCTCTCATGTGGTGTTTGGAGGATTCCAAAATTCAAAGCAGATCGTTGATAGATAATACCTAAAATCATCTAACAAATTCTATTATTTCGTTCGGGTAGAAATTTACAAGACAGCAGGCTGCTTATTAAAATAGATAGACTAACTGTAAGTGATAGACAAAGAAACTGCAAAGAAAATGGAGCGGTCTTACGTAAGCAAGTAGGTAGTTGCAAAGGACAAAAACGGTAAGTAACAGACTAACGGACAAGAGACCCTGAAGTTGGTCTATCATTTGTTCATTGCAAGCGCTCTTCAACCGATATGATTGCTCCATTTTCACTGTGCCTTCTTCGTCTATTGCTTTGTCAACACACTTCAATAAGCAGCCTGCTGGTCTGTTAACTTGGAGCTAATACTAGCAGTTTTTCAAAAGATATGATACTTACTTCGTAATGGAGGGCTCCACAGACTTCTCCCATTCCAATTTGGCCATGTCGAAATCTTTGACGGCTAGTGCGACGTCCTTCTGCCATCTGTCGTGGGCATGACCAAATGCTTGTGCTGAAACGATGTCCCATGTGAGTAGCTGCTCCTTGAGCTCTTCACAGACCTCCATTTCTGTTGGGAGGAGGCTAGAGCCATTGTACATGAGGTCCCACAGGAATAGAATGAACTTTTGTTCGATCTGCACAAGGGGCAAGAATAATTTAATGAGACTTTTTGCACTTACATCCATTTTTGAATATCTTTTTAAGATAATTTTTTCAAATTTTTGTAGAAAATTTCCCCTACCGATTTTCCAAATTGTTGATGCTTTTACACTACGACCGTTTCGAGCAACCGCTCATCGTCAGGTGTCTAAAGAAATTTTCTAAAAAACTAAAATTATGATACTCTTTCGCGATCGCGAGTAGTCATTTGGTTTCCGCGTCCGGGGAAGTTAACAGACCAGTTTTTTAACACCTGACGATGAGCAGTTGCTTGAAACGGCATCAACAATTTGGAAAATTGGTAAGAAAAAGGTTCTACAAAAATTTGATAAATATGACTGATATAGTTAGTAAAAGAAGTGATATCGTTTTAAGATAATTCTGACTGTCGACGTGAAAGAGGACATTGATGCCACAAAACTACTGATTGAAACATTGTAGGGTTGCCACAGACTTTAAAAATTAATTTCCTTGACACATATTGATGGAATTCCCTGGCAAGTGACAATTGCGTACTTGCCAGGTGGTGAAAAAGATAAGTGTGAAATAGTTTTTAGGTAAAACTTGTTGTTCCAAGTGTTAAATCCATTCTAGAAAGCAAGTAAGGGAGACTAATTTCTTCCAGACACTTTCGTCATTTTCCCTGAAATTTCCTCGTTTTCCCAGTATTCCGTGACAGTGGCAACTCTAATACAGGAATCACTACTAAAAGAAGAGAATTACATAATTACTTTCTTTGATTCGGAGGATCAAAAAGATGAAAAATCATCAACATAGCGTCAATGTTATCACTTTTAAAATTAGACAAAAATTGTTTGTTGCTATCGAATCGACTCGTTCGTCAAACCATAATCTGTTCGTAGAAAAATTGTTTGATTTTAATCGTTCACCAGTGTGAAAAATTAATCCCGAATCTAAAACGAATAAATAGAAATGAAAGTGTGAACCTCTACAAAATTTCTAACTTTTTCCGACAATTAAGGCGGCATGAGACATTTTTTTACCTGAGTATTGGTGAGAAGGAGGCTAAAGAGGATATCCTTGACTTGAGCTTCATTTGAAATGGTGTTAATTGCAAACATGCGTGTTTTATCACTCTGGAACGGTGCAAGCAACCACAAGAAAAGCGTTGCAGCTTGATTCCTGGATAAAAGAGCAAAAAATTGTAAAAGATAAAACAAAGTTTTCAAGTTGCTAAGAACAGAGGAGCCTAAAGTTCTGAGCATGATATCAATGAGCATGCAGACTACTTCAAAAAATTAGACAGAGTTTTTCTATTTAAGTACTAAGACAGGAGAGGAGCATATGAAAATACCTCAATTATGATTTGTGGCGAAAAGCCTAGCCTAGAAAACGCCAGTTAATCGAAAATGCATAAAAACGCAAAAAACCACATGAAATATATAGAAAATAACGAAAAAAAATTTGTAAAATGTCGCACCCGATAGCTGGAGCTTCCAAAAAACGATGATTAGCTAATCTAGGTAGTAGAGTACCTTCTTCCACCCGACTTAGGTGAGCAGACACATTTTTCAGGTAAAATGAATACGAAAGATGAATTAATGCAAGAGAAGCAGAATTGTCATATGCTGTGCAAGTTTATTAAATGAAAATCACATTTTTACTCAGTCGAAGCTTTTTAACCACACCTGGTCATCATCAGGGTGCAGAATTACAATATGGCTTGAAACAACATAATGCTTAATTCGGCTGAGTGAAAATGTGATTTTCATTTAATTAATTTACACAGCATAAGGCAATTTTGCTTCTTCCTTATTAATTCAATGAATGCTGTTATCCACACAATGTTTAAATAAAGGAAAGTTCATTACTTACAGGTAGGAAAATTCTGGGAAATTCAACTATATGCTGGCTAGATTTTTCACCAATGTGCTAATTTTTCAGTATATAATACAATACTTTTTAACTACGCTCATTCCCTCAGACTGTTAGATCTCCAGATTTATATGTTAGACGATTACCTTAAAATATCACGTGACCGCCACATGACCATGTTCCAGTTGCTGGAAGACCGCGAGGAGCTTTTCTTTTCAACAACAGCTGCGACACCGTTGAGCAATACTGAAAATATGTGACATGCAAACTCTGTTTCCTCCTTGCACACGTGACCAGGCAGCTCTGAGAAAAGAAGAGATCTAGATTAGCTTTCTTGCATGACATAGGGCAATGACTGGTTAACATGATAAAAAAAACACTAAGATGTGGCCCAAACTGTACGTAACAGAGGTGAGATTGAGTCTAGATGCGTTTGCATCTCCAACCACCCTGATGATCATTTTCTCGGGTTTTCCTTTTTTCGTTATGAAAGTTGTTCAGCAGCGATGGTAGATGGCGCGAGGATTACACTTTTGTGTCATGCCTCGGGTCATACTCATGACAGCACTTTCATGCCGTCTTGGATTTTGCGGCATGTTAAGTTGGGTTCAATGATGAGTATGATCTGCTGATGAGGTCTAAAAAGACCAAAACCGGTACAGATCTCTTGGCGTGACTCCAACTTAATATTCCCATGCAAACTGCCTGAGCTGAATGCTCTCCCTCCTCAGTTTCGTACCAGTACTCATTAGAGTTAAAAAAATTTATTTTTGACTCAAATTATAATTTTTGGAACTTCTTGGTTTTGTTTTCCTTGCGAAATGGTGTGGATCCAGCACCCTTTCCCCACCTTGTTAACATGATACCGATATCATCTGATCATTGTCATATTGAACTAGCCGTCTAAACAAGGTCTTCCTCGCAAGGAATCATTTTGAACTTCAACGTTGGCAATGGGGCAGTGGTAAAAAGTTTTGCAGGTTTATGGTTCAATTTTTCCAAAATAAATCCCTGCCTGGCTACGTCATGTGAGCCTGCTAACAATATTTTTTCAAATGAGCCCCAATTTGGGCATTTTTTAAAGGGTTTTTTTCCTGCTATTTAGGGTTAAAACATTTGGAAAAATTCTAAAGACTTAGTTCACTTCGTACTTTAAAAGAATGAATTAGGAAAAACCATTATTTCCATACGTCCTATCGTGCAGATTTTTGCAATCAAATGTACAAAATAAACAATTTCAACCATTGAGAACCCAAAATAAAATTCCTTCAGAAGGAAATCTTGACTGACAGCTTTAGAAGCATTTCCTAACATATTCCTGATTACAAAAGTGATCTTCTAAGAAAAATTAAAAGCTTGATTTTTACAATTGATGACTAAAAAACAGCAGACAAAAGTTTTTCGCCTTCGACTTGTATCAGCTGTTGTGTTCGCTAAGTTGGTAACAGCCAAATTTCAATTAAAAAAATTAATAATATTCGATCGTGAAAATTTGCCCTTTTCTACAAATCATTTGACTGGAAAATGTATCTCAGCAGAGTGAAAAAACTTGAATCTTGGCTCAATTTTCCACTCTGTGTGGCTACATACCTGTTGAGATAATGAAGTCCATACAATGGTTGACGATAATTTTGAAGCGGTCCACTAGCTCACTGCGGGAGATTTGTTTCGGTTTTGAAACGGAGAGGATTGATGGGGTCGACAGGCTGGTGGTAAAACTCAAATTGCTCATGCTTGTAGAGAAAGAAGATGTCATGTTGCTTGGTGGCAACGTATCCTTATCGTCTTCGTAGCTGGATGACAAAACTGAAAAATTATCCACAAATAAAACTAATGCTGAAACAGTATTAATAAAATTAATGGTGAATGATCTGAAATATCAAAATTTCCTGACTTTTCCTGTCTTTTCTTTCACCTTTTTTCCCTTTTTCCCCTTTTTCTTAAAAAAAAAAAAAAATTACTTGACTACCTTTGAAAAGGTGATCACAATTACATTTTGATCCTTTATTAGAAAAAAAAAAAAAAATTCAACTGACTAAATCTTCAAGAATGGTACGAAAACTTTAAGATAGCATTTTATTTTGGATGACAATCAAACAAGAGTCTTTCATTCTTTCATAAGTTTCTTCAAGAGTTTTTACTTGGTAGACTTCACAATTTTTAAAACATTCGAGTCACCGCTACAAAGGTAGATACAAAATGAGTTTTGAGCTATCATAAAATTTTCAGAAATGACACTCGAACTGTGAAATGCCACCGACTTTGAAATAACAATAAGGGTGGAATTTGCGGTTAATCAAACAAATGTTTGCTTTGAAAACAAAAGGAAACAATTCCAAAAACTTAAACACTACCATGAAACGGTAGATTTTTGAGATGAAATTCTGACCTGATGATAAAATAGCAGCCGTAGTGTTGCGGATCCGTGTTACAGTGGTGGCTCGAATCTGCTGCGACGTTATCATATCTATGATCGTTTCAACCGCAGTGTCAAGAACCGAGCGGTGAACTTCTCGGAGCAGGTGAATGCACTCTGATTTGACACCGCAAGACAGACATTCCTCGCTCTCGAGGAAACATATCATAAGCAGCATCTCGTTCAAAACATGGATGCTGGAACTCCCGGGCGACTGAACAGCGTTTGTGACGATCGAACCAAAGAATTGTTGGAGCTGATCGACGAGATCTGTCACCTCCTGCATGGGACAGTCATGAGCTATTCTGACTAAGGTTTTGCACAATACTTCCACCAGACCAAAGCTCAACATCTGCTTTGCAGCCTCCTGGACCTAATACCACGCAAAATCATAAAGGTTAAAGAACAGGTAAAAAAATAAGAAGAAAAAAAGGGGTTGAATACTCCGTTTTGATGAGAGATGGATTACCGATGGCTGAGGTCCAAACCATACACCTCCATAGCAATGTTTCAAAATGTATACTCTCATTCTATTTACTCAAAGAGAAATAAGCCAAATTTATAGCTTGAAATTTATGAAGAATATTTTGCAGGCAGAGAGGAAAAACAAAGAAGTTTTCAAAGAATTACATTGATCAGCTCACCAAATGAAATGTAATGTATGACAGGAAGTCTGCAACGTCGCAAACAGAGATATGGGATTTTGCACTTTGGCCATCGATACATGTACTCAACTACTGAATATTAAATTTTTTGGTTTTAATCAATTGATCCTCAAAGTATAAAAGAGAACTGAACTTTATAACACAGATAAATTAGGGTAATCAATTTTATGACATATTCCTGTAACTAATAGTATCTGTTTCTATCATTCTTTTTTTAATAATAAAAATTTTTAAAATTGACATTCTTGAATAATGTAAAAGCATCACTATCATTCAGTGTGCAAAACTATTGATCCATTATTGGAGACAGATTTACCTTGCAATACAAGGAGTGCAGAAAATGAACCAGATTCCCCATCAACGTGATGTTCGAGATGGACGTGGGAAGGAACGCGAGAACAGTTGGAACGGCAGCTAGCTGCTGAGGCGAGAGCGAGTCTTGGAGCGCATCATAGGCCTCAAGCTGTTCCTCCAGCGGCAGCCAAAAACAGCCAGTCACCAGCGCCACACAAGTTTCAACGAGCTCGGCCGAAGAGTTTGGATACAGACTGAGCTGGTTCGCGAGGTGATAAAAGCCTTTCATTCGGTTGATGAACTTGCTTTTCAAGTCCTCCGAACAACGCTGCAAGTAGGCTGAGAACACTTTGATTACAGCGGTACGAACTCCATCATCAGGATGGTTTAGCATTGCCAAAAGAGATGCAGCGCCTATGATTTTATCCGTAAGGATGGTTACCATGTGATCAGGCAAGACCAAGAATGTGTCTCGAAGGAGGACGAGAAGACCTTCCATAATAAGATACTCGCTTGACCTCTCAAGCGTGTTTTCTCTCTGATTCAGGGTGGTTTCTTTCATGTTTTCAGCAAGGAATTTCTCGATTTTCTCTTTGTTGCTCTCCTCCGACGAATCAAGACTGGAGTCCTCGTGGAATTCGTTGTCCATTCCGATGATGACTATATCATTTGGATCGATGACTTTGCGTTCCTTGGGGCCAGAGTCTGTATGATCTGTGCCTCGGTAGTACTGATTCAGAGCCCGATTTGCGTTCTTCTCCTCACATTGGGCGATGAACTCGTCCACTGACTCAAAGCCCCGGTTCTCTTGCCATTTGCTCACATCACCGTCCACTTCTAAGCTGGGATCGACATGGAATTCACAGATGTCTTCCAGCTGGGTTGATTCGGCTGAATGGTTTGTTTCTGGGCTAGAACTTTTGGAGACCATGTTTTGCTGGATCTGAGGAGCAATAAAAATAAAAATATACATATTAAAAACTTAAAAATGGGAGAAAACGGTTAACATATTAGGATGAAGCAGTCTTGGGTTAATTTAACCGACAGTTATGGCCTTCAGTTTAACGGTACATTAATTAAAACATTTCTGAGAAATATATCAACGGTGAAAGTCGGCAATCACATAACTCGTTTGAGATGTCGCAGACTTCCTGTCATACTCTGTTTTTTAAACAGAAAACTTCTCAACAAGCAATTCTTTAAAACTGCCGTGATTTTTCTTCTCTGTGCAAAGAAAATTTTGCATAAACTTTAAGGAATGATGTCAATTTGTTCTCCTTTAAAAAAATAACATAGAGACAGAGATTTTCAGACACCACAAACGAGATATGTGATTGCAGACTTGCGCCGTCAATATAGATCTTCCTTTCCAAAAGTTCTCAGGAGTCAGCTCATGTAATGTTCGAATGACCCCATTACTGAGTTTTTGTTTTTGTCAACTATATCGGAAAGGTTTGAGATTCCTTGAGTGAGGTAGACATGAAGAGAAACCTTCCAGGTTTGACCACTTTCATTTATGTTACGGAAAAGTATAATACTTTCAATGATGAAGTTCCAAATTCCTATCAAGAAAATTTTACGGAGTCAAAAAGCTCACTGGAAAAGGTCCCATATTCAAAACCCGCATTTGGGAAAAATACATTTAAAGTTTTTTTTCATTATTATTTTCGGGCCTCTGATGGTAACTCACATCAGGAATTAAAATCTACTCTCCACTGTATATGACAGTCAGTGACCAGAGAGTAATTATGGAAACTTCAAATGCATTTTTTCTGGAACGTGATTTCTCAGAAAAGCATCTCAACTCTTTCATCAGATACAGAGTGTTTTTTCAAGGCCGGTGGATGAGGGTCATCAAATGAGCATACCTGTAAATTGGTGAGAGCTTTGCTCAGTTTGGTCGCATCCAATACCTTGGATCGAAAACTATGGCTGATACTCAATTCACTAGCAGAGTTAGAGTCATTTCGCGTTCGCTGTCTAGAGGATAGAACAGAACCTGAAAAAGAGAGATATTTTAATGAAGCCACTCATTGTTATTTTTTATGCAACTTGAACATTTTAGATTTACAATGATAATATCAATAAAATTTGACATGAATATGTTGTGATTACAACAGCCATGGTGTTGTACTTTTGCGAATTTTATTCGTCAGTGGCCTTTAAGATGTTACATCAATCATTAGTGGCCAATTATATCTATATGGAGCGCAGTAACAATAAGACAAGTAAATGCAAAAAATGCATATCGACAGGGTGAGTCGGCAATCACATAACTCGGTTTGCGACGTCGCAGACTTCCTGTCATACTTTATTTTTTAAACAGAAAACTACTCAACGGCAATTCTTTAAAACTGCCGTAATTATTCTTCTCTGTGCAAAATAAATTCTGCAAAAACACAAAGGAATGATGTCAATTTGTTCTCTTTTAAAAAAATTACATAGAGGCGGAGATTTTCAGACACCGCAAACGAGTTATGTGTTTGCCGACTTACACTGTCGATATCTCAATTGCTACGTATCAAAATATTTGATTCTATTTTACTGGCACCAGAGATAATTATTCAATTGCTACGTATCAAAATATTTGATTCTATTTTACTGGCACCAGAGATAATTATTCAAAATTTTTCCTTGGACTTGCTATGACCTTTTTTTTCTATTTTTTTTTAAGAATGAGTAAAGAAAACTTACAACAACTTTTAATAGAAACTGTCATGACTATAAATGCAGAGACTTACAAAGTCGCAATCTGAGATTGGTGTTTTTCAACTTTAACCATCAAGTAACATGACTTTTTGTTGAAGATTATGTGTTTGCTTGGTTAAAAATATGGCAAAGATAATGAGCGCAACGCCTGAATGGTCTCTGAATATATCTCAAAAAGCCTATTAACCAAGTTAGAATTTAAATTTGAACGAAAATATAAAAGTTATGTTAGATGACTTGGTATCAACTATCTTATTCATAAAGAGTTCAGAATTGCCATTATAAAAAGAACTTCGTCTCTGGTAAAATGAAATTCGTAAAATTATGACACAGTGGCTGTTGTAATTTCAACTTATTACTATCAAATTTTTGACAAAAAGGAATGATTTTTGATGATATTGAAACATCTTAAACACTTTTAAACATATAAGGAATAAAGCACAATTGAAAAACTCAGCTGGGAGCATTCCTTTTCAAAGACGCAATGCAATTCTCACCAGAAACTGCAGAAAAAATATTAGAATGCATCACTTATAACATCATTGATCACAAATAAAAATCAATCAGTTAAGAAAAGTCATTCTCACTTTCCCTCTTCTTTTAGACATCACTCTGTTCTTCGCCTCTTTATTCCTTCCCCTGATCCAAATTTATCTATCGATGACTGTGAACTCCTTCCTTATAGATTAATAGTAGCAAAGCCAAGAAAACCGAAGGGAAGGGGGCGATACGAACCTCTTTTTCTACTGGATTTTCCGGAAGGTGGTGGCTCTGGCGTGAGGAGGAAATAGAACTTAGACCTTGCTGTTGTGATGTACGTCGCACTGTCATCGTGGGCAAGGAGCACATACTTGAAAATAGCCTTTACTTGATTTAGCTGCGGTGGCGCTCCCATCAGACCGCGCAAGAGCTCGATGATGGAACAGCAAACACTTGGTTCAAGTTCAAGAGATTTTTCTTTGTATTGAAATCGTTGCTGAAAAAAATAAAAGAAAATTGTATGGAAAATGCAAGAGGGAAGAGACAAAACAACAAGTTCCGATGCAGCCACGCTGGAGAGCACATTAGTTTCTATTCAGTTATTTGAACCTGAAAATAATTTAACTTCAGAAATGAATTGATAAAAATTCCCAATTCGGTGCGCTTGTTCATTCTAAGTGTTCAAATGATGACAAGATCAGGTGTAGCTTTTGTATGATTATGCTGTGCTGTGCCTTAGAAGAATGAAAAAATTACTGCATGGCCACATGAGAGAGCCGAAAGTAATCGCTGCACAAACTCATTAAGCTAATCAGAGCTACTTCTTTATTCGATAGAAAGGTGAGGTATCAATGAGGGTCATTCTTGGGCCTACCTTCGTTGAATATTTTCAAATCTACTGTTTTTTGCTCATTAAAGGTCTATGACTAACAGAATACATCACAATTTGGTCATTTCTGGTATCTTTCCAGGTAAGATACTGGCCTATACATGGGTCTGAAGGCCGATTTTGGCGAAAAATAGGAGTTTTGTAGGTTTGTGGTCAAATACTGAAGAATTCGTATTTTCCGCTGATCGGCCCTCAGACCCGTGTTTAGGACAGTAATAGACGCATAAAGAGACTGAAAATGACCAAATCATGATGCATTTCGTTTAATAGACCTACAATGAGCAACAAATCGTAAAGTCGCAGAAATTCAGCTAAGGTGGGCCCGGAAAAGACCCTAATTGATACCTCCTTTTCAAATTTTGCCTCATCATGAATGATACTTAAAACCATTTTGGAAAGTACTATACTAAAGTACCCTACTTGAAAATACATAAAAATATATGCAATGCATAGTAGAGCTCCTTGAGTCGTAACAATAACACCACGTTCAAATAAATGCGCCCAGTAATAATAGTACCAGGACCAGTAGAAAAGGGTGTAGCGCTCCATGTAAATTAAATGCTGTTAGTTATGTGCTCTTTTTTGGAAATTAAAAAAACTATCAACATTAAAATAATGGGTGTGATTATTTCTTCTATTATCATAATTTTAAAAGTTTATATAAAAATGTTGATTTTGTAATTCAATGAAATCTATTTAGGTTTAAAATATCAGTAAAAATACACCCAAATTTTTGAGTTGGACAGGAGGGATCGAAAAATGAAAAGACACTCACTTTGCAGAAATTCAAAACAGCATCGAGCAAAGCACACCGATTCAACTGCTCAACATTAAACTCCCCGACATTAAACTGTGAATCGCTGAGCAAGACATGGAGAGCTTTGAAAAGAAGGCACAGGATTGAGTCTTGGTTGCATGTAGCATCCTTCAGTTCCCATTGCTGCCACGTAGGAAGAGCCACATAGACCAGTAGCTCTGGGTGGACCAAAATGTGATTAGACGGCGATGCGACGAAAAATGAGTTCGAGGACTGACACTGGATTAAACCTGGCTTGTCGCACGCAGCATCGAATAGTGCCTGAAATAAAATTATTAATTATAAAAAGGGAATAGTAAAAAAAAAATAATAATTACTCATAAAAAGGAGGGATTATTAGTTATGAAACTTCCAGGTCACCTTCACACCATTTAGAAGTCAGTGATTATGAGTGCTTGTAGTATAGTTAAGGTGATTTGATGGACGCCATATTTTGTGTCAAAACGACGTGCGATATATCGCATCGATTGGTTCCATTTTTTCAGCTACTCTTTTTTTCTCGAATTCTGAGATCGCAATTCTGTTGTCAGGAGACTAGAGAATCCACTTACCAATTTTGATGAACAAATTCAATGTAATGTAGGCGAGGTTTTTTTTAGAGGGAAAATATCGCATACGAGAGCAGTTTCGATATCAGAATCCAATGCGATATTTCACCTCTAAAAAAACCACGTCTTTATTAAGTTGAATTTGATTTTCAAAATTGGTAAGTGAATTCTTTAGTCTCCTGACAACAGAATTGCGATCTCAAAATTTGAAAAAAAATGACAAGTAGCTGAGAAAATGGAACTAATCGATGAGATATATCGCATGTTGTTCTGACACAAAATATAGCATCCATCGAATCACTTTAAGGGTTTCCTTGACTTGGAAGTTCTTTTTTCTTTTAATCATTTTCTGATCAATTTCTTTTGTTGTTTATCTTCAGTTTAAGGAGTTAGGACAAGGCAAGAGCCCAAGACTTTAGGCTTGTGTTCCTAACACTAGAGGAAATCCTGCGAGACCAAAAAAAAGTAAAAAAAATTATGCAAGAGACATATTGGTAGATTCTAAATGTTACAAAATCTTGCATTTTATCTTGCAACAATTTTTTCTCAAATAGATCAAGCTCTTTTGCAATTGGCATGGTCTGTTACTCGTAGTCTGATGAATGAGGTTTCCCAATGCTTCAATCCGCTTTTTCCACAAAAAAAAATTAGCTGCAGAAGTACGGCAACCCGGGGTAAGGTCCTCTTGAATCTTTCTGGTAGGAAACTTTAAGCAGGCATTAACTTTTAAATGAGGTAAAGTACAAGCATACAAATTATAAAGCAAAGGACGAGACTTCTACTCGTAAAACGTACTTTCAGAATATGGTAGCCAGCTTTGGCCTTCCGACTTTGGAGGACTTTAAGAATGAGTTTATAAGAGTCCCCTTTGATGAACTGAATGTACAACTGATTGTCTGATGTGGCCATTTTCAGTAAAATGTACAAAACATCGGCTTGATATTTTTCTTCTGCTCCGAGTTCAACAACCTGAAATGGCAAGAACATAAGTTAAAGAGGTCCTCTGAAAAACAAACTAATATATACATGCGTCTTTGATAATTAAATAAATATTAGAAGTAAAAACAGAGGTGACATATGTCTCTTTCGACAAAATAAGTACGAAAATAGAAATAGAGGAGGATTTGCTTCATAATGCCGCGATCACACTCTGAATGTGGGAGCTGAATGTGGCTTGAATGTGGAGGTCATCGGCCCGATGCCTGAATTTTGCACGGGATGCGCGAAATTCAGCAACGATTCTCAGCAACCATCTGACTAATGTTTGATTTGTCTGAACTATTCGAGTAAATTTGATACACATCTGGATGAAAATAACTCGAATATGCGAAATTTCAGCCGTTGGGCGATGACTGTTGACTTCCACATTCAGCTGCTAAATTCAGCGTGTGATTGCGGCATTAAAAAAAAGTGTGTCACTTAATCCTTAAAAATGCTGCCAAATTGCTGCTGCTGGTGTCACAAATACAGCCATGTGAAAATGGAAAACAAACTGAGCTAAAAATGGCAAACAATTTCTAGGTCCAAATTTGAATTAACAGTAAAAATTTCTGAGTCCAAATATATCTAAATGACATCATGAATGGAACCCTTAGGTGGCATTATCAGTATTTTTATCAATATCTATTTTCAGTTGCCTCTATCAGTATCTGTTATCCGTCCCTTCAAACGTTCAAAGAATCCTTCCAAAAGTAGAGAAAGACGTAGTCTAACATAAAAAAAACAAAGAAAACGAATGCAATTTTGGCCGGATGGTATTTTCAAATAAAATCATGTTTCAAAATTAGTCTTGTCTCTTTTTTTCTTTGGTCTACTATAGCAAAAAAAACAACATTCAATATTATTCACGTCAGTAACCAATACAAATCGAATACTTTCAGGAGAAAAAAAAACCAATATTTCACAAGGCCATTTAAGTAATTTTCTGGAGGGGGGGGATCAGGTCACCATTAAAACTTATTAACCTAAAAAAGTGAAGGCACGAAATATGAACTAAGACATTAAATCAAGATTTAAGTTTCAGCATGAATCTAGATATTTAAAGAGCATACTTTGGCAAACAAAAACAGAAGAACATTGAGTCCACCAAGGGCGTCCAATGCCTGCGTGAAACCGGAATATTTCTGGACGCATAAGTTGGACATACACATGACTGTCGCTGAGAGAGGGACTTTTTGACTAGCTCGGTTGTCGACATTGCTGATTCGGAAGAGGCTCGGTGGTTGTGCAGCAATAACACCTGTAAAAGGATCATTATAAATGAAATATGATGCAGGGATACTGCAAGTTTTAAGTATGTTAACACTTCCAGGCTGAGATTCAGATAAATAACAGACAAACGACAATCTCTCATGGTGAATAGACATTAGATTGGAGAATACTTGAGCCTTGTAAAATATAAAACTTGTCCAAGACTCAATTTTACAGAAAGACGTAAGAGAACGTTTAAATTGTCTGCACAATAATTCAGAAAATTTAATATTTTAATATTGTCTTGAATACTCTTTTTACATACAGACAGAGCAAGATAATTGTAAATTTTAGTTTTAGAGCAGAGATTTTTTAAAAAGCCAACTCTCTTTTGGTAAGTTGAATTTTGTGTGGAATCTAACCTCAATGGACCACTTGACATTGTGCGAATTTAAGCATTACAATACGTTTTCTAATTAAAATTTTACGTAAAACGTCTTGCTGAGTTGATCAATCAGGGTTTCAGTTTCTCGGCACAAAAACTGTAGAAATCCAATGGATCACTGGACTAGACAAGGTGGGAATTAAAGCATAAAAATTTTCCGTGAGGCAGGATTTGTTTGACAAAATATTTTGAAAGTAACTCTGAGCCAGAATATGATCGTTTTTCGATGCAATAATTCCAACTTCCCACTCATAAAAAAACCATAATCTATTCAGGTTAAATCACACACTAAATATCACAACTATAGCCTCTGCAGTATAAAAATATCTCTATCTTGACGCTTGGACTCAGGTGTTGCTTATTGTTGACACTTTGAAAAACACAAGGTGGCGAAGGGGTACTGCTAGATTAATAAGCGTCCTACAACCATTATGGTGCACAATTTGATTCACACACACTCTGGTTTTTCTTGTGAATGGGAAATTCAAATTTTTTGTGACCAGGTCAAAATAGAAACATTAGTATCTTGGTTAGGAATTATTTCAGGAATTACCCTTGCGCGAGTCGTGTTCTACATGAAATTTTAAAGCGGAATCATTACAGAAATGCCTTTTGTCCCCTGTCTAGCGGTCCACTGTATCTCAAAATCGTATTCAGAAAGACAATTTTCTTACTTTGTGGAGTTTTTGTACTTCAAACACACGCTAAAACCTTTTTTCAACCTATTACAAATTATTGATTACCTGTGGTGCCGGATAAAGAGTGTTGATATATGTAAAAAGAGTTAGGGTCACGTGCTGAATACAGAACAAATAGGCTTTCTTGCAGGGACTTGAGGTTTTTCATCGTGAGGTTTTTGCTCAGAATACTGGCCCAATTCACTGCAGCCCAATTCTTCTTGTCAATGAGGTTGATGAAGTTCGGGAGAGGATCGCCAACACTGGATTCTGTTAAACAGCTGAAGTCTGGACCGTAGGCACACAGTAGGAGGGCCAGCTCTTTGTTGAAAACCTGCAAGGGTCAAGTAAAATCCCTCAGGTTACTGACTATGTAGAGGAGGCAGAATGACTGCTGGTGGGTTATCATAAAAAATCCTTGCTTTTTCATTACTTCTCTTTTCCTGTGCTCCTCAAAAAATTATCTAGTTTCAGAGGTCTTGAAATCTTTCGTTTTTTGCCTTTTCCGCACTTTTTCCTTAGTAGTGGAATGCTTTTTGAATTTTGATAGTGCCAAATTCTTGCAAATGATAACAGAATGTTGATTTGGAAAGCAGAATGTGGGAATTGTAGAGAAATGAACTGATATTAGCAGAATTTAATTGAGATTGCGTGATAGAGGAAATTGCCCATAAAAATTGCAAACCTTCAAAACTCAATCTTCAAGTTTTACACAAAAATCTTGTACGTCTGTAAATCCGTGCTTTTTAGGGTAAGTACTTTTATCTTTTCTGTCCTGTAGACACTGTGGGAGAGCAATTTTGAAGCAGAACTTTAGAAACTGAGCTCCATTCTGCATACTTCGAAATCAAGATTTTATACTGAACATAAAGATCACAATTAACATTTTCAAATTCATTTTACGCGTGGGTAAGCTTTCTTAATTTGTTTTAAATTTAAACTACTTCATTGAAATCATCATTAAAATTGGCTGTAAATTTAAAAAAAAAAAACGATTTTAAGCCTTACTGGTGAGCGAAAGAGACCAAAATTAGAAAGGGACCAGATGTTGTTAGTGGGCCTAGTGTCACCGATCAGAATGCAGGTTGGACGCGCCTTTTTAATCAAAATACCTGTGAACATCAGTGGGATTTGAATTTCCCAGGACCCATTCACAATGAGCGTCACCTGAAATGAAATATAACTTACTTATTAGGAATTTGAACAAAAACGCTGGGAATTTTAAGTAATGTGATAAGTTAGAAAACAAGGAACTTATTTGACACATTCGCCAATAACTTGGATGGTTTGCAACAGCAATTTTTTAGGTATTAAGTGTGCCTCCATGAATCACTGTGTGGATAACCTCAGGTAATATATAAAAATTGTGTCGAAGATTGAAGAGGTTCTAAAATACTGCATCCTAAACATTTTAAATACCACCATGCTCCTTCATTTTAAATAAATAAGACAGAATGGATTGAATGGGCCACTAGACGAAGTCTGAACTAGAGGTCAACGTCACATGCTTCCTCTTTAAAATCTTACATAAAAAACAATTCACACAATGGGAAGTTCGGATATCAACTCCTGAACAAGACTTTAACAAAACCTTTCAACAGATATCAAATGGAAGTTAGATTATACAAATGACGTCATTTATATTTTTGCCATTAAACCAATGTTAATTGAAAACACTTATTTCTTTTTCAAGAGTTGATTTTCAGACTTACCGTCAGGTGATTCTATTTTCTCATGAAATTTTGAAGAGAAAACATGCTGCTCGGTACTTTAATTCATACCTTATCTATAGCTCATTGAAGGACTTGATTGAAAACATTTAATGTTTCATGAGACTCCCCAAGACGACTTGCTGAGCATTATGATTTTCTGCTCTAGCTTCCAGGCACCTCCATGAAATTAAGCTTGTAGCTTTTGCTATAACGTACTCTCGACAGAATGTACCTCAATTGCAATCATAGAGTACATAGAGCCGTAATGTAAGCGGGTGAGCTGGCGCCACTTTTAAGCATTTTCCAGGTCCCGAATTCCAAGACTCCTGTGTGACGCCGGGTCACTTTTTCGATACATAATCGATTGTTTGCGATACACGGGTACCCGGCCATCCGATGTAAACAAAGAAGATAGGAATCACCACGTATTCCACACCGCCATTTTGGATTGAACATGTATCGAAAAAGTGACCCGAACTCGGCGCACACCGGGCTCAGAACTCGTCGAACAGAACATGGCGCCAGCTCTCCCACTTATATTACGACTCTATGTACTCTATGACTGCAATGTGCGAATCCTACCTTGGCAATAGTGAGGTTAATGCTGAAAGGCTTAGAGTTAGGTTTCATATTGGTCAATACCCCAAAAGTAGACGTCGTAAGACAAACTCTTCGCTAAGTTGAATTTTTACAAGGTCCTGTCGAATTTCCATGAGACAAATGTTAATAGTTTTCGTCTGACTCAAGTTGTGGGCAAAATAGCTGCCACTTATATCAGGGTTGCCACAGAATTTAGAAAATGGAATTCCCTGACATTTCCCTGTCACTTTTCGGTAAACACACAAAATCTGCTGTTCAAAAGGTTAAAAAGGTTCTGAAAAGCAAATAAAGGCGACTTGATAATTTTTCCCTGACACTTTTGTCATTTTTCCTGATATTTCCAAGTTTTCCCTGACATTTCACGGTTTTTCAGGTATTCCCTGAGTGTGGCAACCCTGTTAATTTGAATTAATTTTTTCACACAGGGGCTCTTTTTCTCACTTGTCCTCAATTATTTCAACCAAATTATCACGATGCTCAGGGGAGAACGGTTACGAATATTATTTTATCTGCTATCAACCTCAGACGATCTGGGACGAGTCAGATTCAGTGTTGTCAAAAACCAAATATAAAACACAAAAAAAACCAAGAACATACTTCTATCACAACGAGCATCTTTTGAATGGTGTCTTTAAAATTGATGGCAAGGTGGTGCCACAGTGAGGGTGGCAAAATTCCATCAACGCAAGACTCCGTCAAGATTTTCTGTGAAGAGCCATCGTTCAATGAGAGTCGGATGTGGAGGGTATCGGAGATGCTACTGCCCCAGAACTCAACAAGGAAAGAGTCGTGGCCAATCGAGAAGATGTGGATCAAGGATTCACCGGATTCTGAACTGATAAGACTTCCGTTGAAAAATACCGAGTCTGAAAAAAAAGAGAAATTGATATATTTATGCTGACAAATCCTTTTTTCCTAAAATTTTCGAGCTGTGAATTTTATTTTGTCCTTCAATCATATATTGCCACAATTTTGCAAAAGAATGAGAATTTCACTACGATCTTTGAAGAAACACACAATTTTAAGGCTAATGCAAGCTGACCTTTCCCAATGCTCACAGCCTTTTCATTTTTTCACACAGTCCTGATCGCCTGATTGGGAAGTATTTGCACCCTTGAGTACAGCAACCTCAATATTTTGGAAAATTTTAGGGTTCCTCCACTCTTCAGCTTCAAGATCGATTTTTGATCAGTGAACAGTTAATTGCTCAACATCGCATTGGCAAATAATACCTGGTCTAGATTTTTTAGATAGGTTTTTGCTTAAGAGATCTGAAAGGCATAATCTTTCATATAATTTCAAAAATCTTGACTCAAAGGAGTACATCCTCGCTGTAAATTAATAAACTTCAAGAACCTGCTTTTGAACCAAAATAATTTTACAAAGTAAAGACTAATTTGAATCTAAGACAAATCATTTCATAACAAAAGGAGTTTTTAAGCAAACCTTGAGAGTTGATGGACTCCGCTGATGTGTAAATACTTCCTGGCTGCCGCATCATCAGCTGTCTGTTTCTCATGCGCAGCCACAATGAGACAGAGAACTTGTCTGTCCACATTGACCAACCGCAGTCAATATTCACGGGAAGGCATACTGCTGATATGTTCCACGGAGACAAAATTCCTGAAAATCAAATCAGCATTTCAGGAAAAAAAAATTCAGTCAAAGTGAGAGGATTTGGGAAAATATTGTCATTTCCAAAACCATCCACATAATCCCCGAGATTGAGGTTTTCATATCACAAAGACTGTCGCAGTAACATTTAGGGTGCGCTTCAACTAAAGAAGCTTTTCATGAGCAGGAAATTTGAATTTATGCATCAAATAATATTTGGTTAGGATTTACTTACAATGATTTCAGTTGCACAGTGTAAGCGCTAAGTGAAATTTTGATAAGAGAACATACATCATAATGCTGAAATACACATATTGTCTAGTGATCACAATTGAGGCACTGGATGCAAAAAGTGCACTGCTCAATTGCGGTGTTACAGAATCTCTGTTGCTAATCTCTAGAAGAAGAATTTAATGGGTGATTTTTCCAGAATTCTTTCCATAGAAAATTGTAGAATCATAAGGAATATTCAGTAAAATTTTTAGTGAAATGGATGCATTCACTTTCCTTACAATGAATGAACTATTAAAGGAGACTCTGAAACACTGCAACCGAGAAGTGCCCTTTTCGCAACTTCAGTAGAAATGTTAAAATTCCCTTTGTAGAAGTAGTTCCTCATCTTTACATTTGATAATATTAAGATACAGCTTCCAAGGAAAATTGGAGCAGCTTAGGAGGGCTGAAGCCTTCCACTATTTTTCAGACCCAAGAAGCCGCTTATTTTCCCGCTAGTTGTTTTAGGCAAATAGAACTCTGGAAGGGTCGCAGCAGTATCTGATATAATAAAGTTTCCCCCTCCCACCATTCTGCTCTCCTCCCTTTTCAGACCCATGAAACGCTCGTGAATGACATCCTCTTCTTTTCCAGTCATGTTCAGGCATTAAAGAGACTTCAAAGCCAACTGAAAAGGCCATAATGTACGTGATACATATGAACAGTTGAAAATTCAGAGAAACAATAAAAGTGACCAATACCTGCAGAACGGTGGCCAACGCACATTGAATTGCACATTTTTTCTGCTGGATTCTCTCCTCTGGGCGGATCTTTCAACTCTAACGGGAAATTAAGAATGTAACTTGGCTGGGTTTTCATTGAGTTAGCTAGTCCGAGCAATGGGGACAGCAAAACCTCCTGAAAAATTACAAATTAAGACCATGAAAGCAATGAGCTTGGATAAAATGAAGAATCAAAGCTATGAGATTTTGTTTTTGACTGAATTATACAGCAGCGAAAAGAGTTGGTCTGTTGCACACAAAATATACAACTGAGTGGATGGCTTCCTCATTGGAAAAATCAGGCGAATGTCAGGATGGGCAGATCAGAAAAGTCTAAAATCCACTCTTTAGAATGTAATTTGCATAGTTGGTAACATGTTTTTTCAAATTTCCTGCTATTATGGGTAGTTATTATCAGTTGCCAGCAACCCAGTTTACCCAGAAAGAGATGGTGGGAAGCTTGTAAAAAACGTTCAAAAACCAAAAATAAACCTAACCACAACAAACAAACAATTTTGTAAACTTATCTTCTTTGTATGATTTCAAGTGTTTTTGAGCTTTGGTTTCCACTTCATTTATTTGTTTTGCACGAACAAAACTTTTAAATCAATAAAAATCATACGTAAGAACGGCATGTAACAGTTTGCAAGATTGTTTGTTTACTTCGTTTAGGTTTTTGCGCATCTCTCTCTGGACAAACCTGATTGCTGGCCACGATGAAAAACTGCCTGCGGATGCAAGAAATTTCAAAAAGTGTGTAAAAGTCTAGGCAGATTGCGCATTAAGAAGTGGATTTCAGACTTTTTTGGTGAGTTTGTCAATATTTTCGTGCGATTTTACATAGAGAAAGGCTATAACTCTAGCGTGCAATGGACCCGTTTTTCTCCAAAAAGGTCTCTGAATTTTCTACTTGTGGATTTCGGTTGAAAAATTTTTTCGATTTTTTTGGTTTTGTTCTGTAGCACTTAGTTTGATTCACTTTATAACCATAGCTAATTTCATTGCATGACTTCTCATGACATTTATTCATTAGAGATCATCAAATTAAAGTATTCTTATGGAGGATCATCCAAAAGTCAAATCCGTATTCAGTTCATCAAGAAACCTAAATTTCATTCATAGATGCTGAAGATTGGAACAGTGCATTTGAAATAATGTCTGATATATCAGGAAAAATTACCTTAAAAAAGCTTAATTATTAAATGAATACTTGCAGAGATTGTAAAGGTAAAAAATTCATAAAAAAATTGGCTGTTGATGTTTCTTCAATGTAATAATACTAGGAGAAAAAACATATCATAAAATAATGCTAAGTTGGTCAAGCTAGTCAGATAAGTATTTTATGAATACAACTAATTGAGGCATTCTTCGGTAAAAGGGTATATGAGGCTTGCTTGAGTGCTAAGATTCTGCAATTTTTTACAGTGTTTGCAGCACATGAAATTCATTCACAGTCGACTTACTTCCTTACAATAGTGAGGAAAAACTCTGAGCATATTCAGGGAAAATTTCATGACAGAACTGTGGGATAAGTTACTGACAAGTAGAGAACTACGTTGCACAATCTTAGTAGCAGTGGAAGTCTCATACGCTCATCTACCGAGGAATGCCTAAATTACGAAAAAACCTCTAAATGCTGGTGTTAATTCTCAGTGAAAATGACTCCTATCTATTTTTTCATCCCTTGATGTGGCAAGGACAATTCCAGCACACCAACCTACATCAATCCTGGAGGAATTGGAAAATCAATATCGATTCATGATATAAATCACTCAGTTTGTATCGAACTTACAAGCGGAGGGTTGTCATTTTTGAAAAGCTCGAAGTACGCAGCCAAATGGTGTGTTTGGATGTTATGGCGTGCAAGATGGAAGAAGAAATCCACAAGTATCAGCTGGAGCGGTGTCGGTGATGGGTGGGTTGTCGACAGCTGCTGACTGAAGCCAGATATGAGCCGTAGAATGAAATTGTACTCTGAGAGCAGGGAACAATTAATCGGGTGATCTTTGCACAAGGCCAGCATTTTCTGCAGGCAATACACAGTGCTTTCATCGTTGCTCTTCTCTCTGTGATAACAAAGAAAAGAAAGAAATAATTAATAGTGGAAAACACTACGATAAGACCTCGATTTATCTGATTTTACAGGACTGATGAATCCATCCGTTAAATCGTGGACTCCATTAATTTGAATTAGCTCAAAGCCCTTGAAGGGACCCAAAGATTGATCTATTTAATCATGTAGTTCTTTAAATCGTCATACAATAAATTGAGGTCTTACTTTATACAAAATGGCCCACAGCACAGCTTAAAATTATCCGAGATTCAGGATTCAAATTACATACTTTAGTAAACATAGAGCTCTGATAAAATAATGGAAAGGTAAAGAAAAATTACACACTATTCATCATTTTTGCTAACTGGTGATTTTGGTAGATATTTACAACAAGGCAACTGATTAATACCTACTTTGATAAAAATGTGGCAGAATGAGAAGTAAAATAAGAAAACCATTTACTTCTGTTTGCAATGTTTCGAATTTCTAATCATATGAAATCAACAGCTTTGGATTTTTATGTTTCTAAAAATGATATGTTAGAATGTTGGTACATGTCCATTAGATTTGAAAAAAAAAACGGATGAACATGTTGAAACACTGTTATTGAAAAGCTGATAAAAGCATGAAAGTGATGCCTGGCAAGTGTTTCATGATAGTAAAGCTTGGCATCTTAGGACTTAAAATTCAACAAATATCGCCCAGAAAAATTACGCTGAGTAATGAATGTTTATTTGCAGAAAAGGAGACATACTTGCACTGCTGAGAGCAGAGGAGATCAAAAAGGAGAATGCACAGCTGTGGGTAAAGGAGGATGTACTTCCGCTCTTCTGACAAGATTGAAGAGGACCGATGGCTACAGTTGTCTTCCAACGACCTGTAATATAGTTGACGTTAAATTGTTGTAAGAATAATGTTAAAAATTAACCTCTCAAATCTCTAGCCATAATCCATCGCTTTTGTCATTTTCATATTTTTGCTCTTACATTGCCGAAATTAAATCATTTCTTAAAAGCATTTTTGTTACATTTTTATTGATTGTTAGAAACAATTGTTAACTTGTAATCTGACTTGTACGATCCCTTAAAGGGAATAAATGTACCGACTGAAAATAAATAAATAAATAAATATAATTGAAGAATTGTTCTTGTATGAGCGCTATGGTGACATCAACAGAGGAGTAATTTTATTGTCTCAGTGGGTTTCCATTATTTCTTCCTTTTTAAATCCCTTGATTTTTCCCAGAACTTTTGTGCTTTTTCCCGACTTGAAAATCTTCAAAATCCCTGCCTATTTCTAATGATTCCCTGACTTCTCTCCACATTTGAACAAAACCTCCACTTAGATTTGTTTTGACCTTTCAAAATAAAAATCAGGAAATTCAAACAGCAGCAATAAAATTCCATTAATGCTTTCTGTCAGAGAATTGCGGACAAAACTTCAAAATTTTGAACTTCAAATAGTTTGATGAGAAAATGCTAAAAATTTCAAATACTTTTAAAGGGCTTGAAAAATTTTCTGACTTTTCTTCGTTTTCTACATCAATAAGTCACGATACAATATCCATTCAATTGGTAAATGTGATAGGTAACAGGCCTGACTGATCAACAATAAAACAAAATATCTACATCTACTTACTTCTCGGATAAATCTTGATCAGAGTCAGCCCATGTTGGGATTTCAACATCCGCTTCGTACCCTTCGTCTGCAATCTCCTCTACACGCTCGTCAATGAATGCCATCATCTGGCGCTTACGACTTAGCACTTCCTCTTCCATGCCGTTAAAGATGTAGCTCATAGACTTACTGCAGACAACCATACTCGCTGAGGCGGTGCTCGGTCGGCGGTTTGTCATCTTGACGGCACACTTTGTCAGCAAATCGCAGATCTGACGTATTGTCACGCGGTTACTTTTTATCACCAATGTCAGACTGCTTTTCAGCTCATTTTCAATCATGTTCGTTATTTCTGAGAGAACCAAAAGGAGGTTGGAGAAAAATCAATGGGAAATAGATGAACACGCAAAACTTAAAAATTATGATCCATAATATTTTTGTACAATAGAGAAGATGCAGGTGTCTCAGCTTTTGTGAATTTCATCTGTAAAATGATACTTCAACAAAAACTGAGTAAAAGGATCTCCTTCGTTTCAAAATTGGACAACTATTGGAGAAAATATGACAAAATAGCCTAATCTGCTAAACTACATGTGTTTAAGTGGAAAATGCCACTAGGTGACGTCACAAGGCAGCACATTTTCTCACTTTAAAATCTATTCCTCCAATTTCCCACGTCAGAAAAATACTGCAAACTCAGCTCATTAAGCACTCTCAGATAAAGCAATAAAATTTGTGTGTGCAAATTCTTCATTGGATTGCATTGAGGAAAAAGGAGCCAGCGTAATTACAGTGTTTTCAAAATCATGCAACTTTTCCTTTTCTTTTAGAACTACTTTATGTGTGTACCATATTAGAATTAACGCAATTATTTTCCTATGAAATTAACAGTTTTTATGTGGGAGGCCAAAACTATTTGCTGTTTTGGGAGATTTTTAAGACTGTAATGAAGAAGCAACATTTTTACAACACTGTAGTCTAGTCATGCTGGTTCCTTTTTGCTAAATGCAATCCAATTATGGCTGTTGGTCAAATTATTTGTTTTTCTATTCCTTTACTTTTCCCTACCTCCTGGGTGACAATGAGTGGTGGTACTCCCTGCACACCTGTGGCCCCTCATGTGGGGGCTCAGTGGATTCCAATACATTTTGATAAAACTATAGGTTGATCTAAAGTCATTTTTTCCCAAACTGAAAACAATGTACGAAGCTAAGCTGAAGCACCGAGATTAAGATTGCCATATTCTCATATTGCAAGGCCTTTTAGTGTGCGATTTAATGCAAGTATCTAGATTACTGTTTTTTAGGAACATGAAGTTTGAATTTAGGCAACAAAAAACTTTAGTATCTTATTAAGGAGTTACTTTTAAAAAGTTTTGTTGCACAAATCGTGATTTACATAAAACTTTGATCATAAAACACATATGATATTTCTTAAATTTGCACCTTCTCTTATAATCCATTATTGAAAAATGTTTCTTAAGAAACACAAAGACCCATGAAAATAAATGGATGGGAAAGGATTTATTTCTTTGGGTAACAGTTGCTTGAAACATTACCTGCAGGTGGCGAGAGAGCTAGATGCAAAGGAATTAGTGCCTCCAGCAGTTTAAAATGAAGGGAATTCAATTTGACCGATTCACCAGAGGCTGAAACAAAATGAAATCAAGGGTGAGCATGAAATGATAGATAAAAAAAATTTCCCATTAAAGGGTTTGTTTCGTTAACGTTACTTGTTGATACAAAATTTCTTTGCAGATTTGAGCCGTTGAAAATTATAATGATGTTAAAAAATAACTAAAGTGGCTTCCCTTGTTCAAATCTTGCAGGAACAAAGATGACATGTTTCTTGAATTTTTACCAAAAAAAAGCTGTAAAAATAATAGAATCCTTAGAAATTCTATCTTTCAAAAAGTAACAAAATATTAAAAAAGAAAGAATGGATATTAATTTTTGAAAATGTACCTTATATTTGGTTATCTTAGAGTTAATAGGCTTGAAAAATAAATTTAATAATCACAGTTCACTTTTACTAACTACTTTATTCAAACCAATCTCATCGAAACAGTCACTTACCTTTGACATAAAATTCTTTAGAAATCAGTCTTAATAGAATGCAAGTCATTGTAGAGCAGTGTTGGCTGGCGAGAAGCTTGGTGAAACTCTGAGCCATGGAAGTGCTCATCAAGATGATGTTGGTGCAGGACCGCCACAGCTCTGAGAGAATGTTGAGAAGGTTCGTGTAGCTCGCAAGCTTCCGAGCGTCGCAGAAAACAATTGTCGGCTGCTGGTTGAGGTCGTTAAGGATGACATCAAAGGTTGTGCTTTTTTCTGTGTGACTATAGTCAAGGTTGTTGAGAAGCGATTCCTTGATGGACATCTTATGAATTGTCTCTTCTGGGTCGTTAGGGCAGGATTCAAAGCGGCAGTCAGAGAGGATGCTAAGGAACTCTTGCTGAACGAGTTTCAGATGCGATATGATGATCTCGAACTCCTGGAGATCCTCGTTCACAGTCATTTCAATGAGGTTTGATCGGGTTCTGAAACCCGCTTCAGAGCTCCGTCGAGAAGATTTATACTCTTGCGTACTGGAAAAGATCAAGACTTGATAAAATTGTGAAATAGCATGCTATGTTCGTTTTCCTCTCTTTCAATCCTCTCACAAAATAAAACACAAACAGAAAAAAAGTAATTTATTACGACACTTAGTTAATTTTTCAGAGTTTCCAGGGTGTGCACCAGTGCATGATCATCAAAAATTCATGCTTTTTCTTAACTTTTTTTCATGCTTCCCAAAAAATTCCTGGGACAAATTTTTGCGACAACAACGATTTTTGAAACAAAAGACGTGCCATTAGTTTCCCTCGGCAGATGAGTTCTTATAAGGATGAGTCAGGAATAGTAATCTATAATGGGTCTGTTACAAATTTCAGCAGGAGCAAAAAAAAGTCATTTCTTGCAGAAAATGGCTCAAAAATCATAATGAGTAAATCGGGAAAGTCTGAAATTAACTACTAACTTCATAATCTTTGTAAGAAATATGCGTTTTTTTTACACTTCAAAAACGATACTGCGGCACAGGTGAACATTTCTTGGCCGACGCCACCCACCAAAACACATGTGACGAGGCGCGCATCATCATTTTATCAACTGGCATGTTTATATTAACATTTTCCTTACCTTGATAAAGACCATGCTGCTTCCTCAGGATTTGCATGCAAAAGCGTCTGTCATGTTAAAATTGCCTAGCATCCTGGTGCGTAAAGAATGGGTAGAAGAAGTCCTCTTACGAAATGTTCACCTGTGCCGTATTACCGTTTTCGAAGCGGGAATCTCAAAAAAGCAGTTTTCCTCACTCAGACTGTGAGGTTAAAAGTGTATTTCAGACTTTCCTGATCTTTGAGCCATTTTCTACAAGAAATTACTCTTCTTCTTGGGTAGCGCTCTGGGTAACGTTTCTGAAGGCCAATGCAAAATACAGACCACTTGGTCTGCTCCCTTACTACATGGTGACCTTACTTACATATCGATGGTAAAACTCCAAAACCATGTATCTCGGTTTTCCACATTGCAGACTACCTGTCATATTACATTGTTTAAATGGAGGACTACTCAATGTCAATTCTTAAATCTTCTGTAATTTTTCTTCTCTGTGCTAAACAAGTTTTGAAAAAACTCTAATGAATGATGTTCATTTGTTCTCCTTTAGAAAAATAAAATAAAGTGGACATTTTTAAACACCACGAACGAGATACATACACAGTTTGGGAGTTTCACCATTCATATTACCTTATCTATTGAAGTCTGCTGAGTATGAGGATGGACTCTTCTATACTTAAGAGTTTCTTTGAGGTTGATACTTGAATTATTTGGAAAAAGTCAAAGGCACCATCTTATTCCTTACAAACTTCAACACAGGAAGAGTTACATAGACAGAAAAACTCCTCACTTTCAGAGACTGCATCGACACTAAAACGAATCAGCGTATGCGAAAACGTCCGATGTCCAATACAGTGTTTCAGAATTTGGTTGTAACTTAAAGATGCAATATGGTTTAACACATTAGGAATGTAGAACAATTTTATAAATAGTCCCTTAAGTATAAATAAATGTTTACATAAGAGATCGATCTTATTTATCAGCGTCGTGGGTTAAAAGAAACCACTGCAATTGTGAAATCCCGTATTGGACAGTGGACGTTTTTGCATGAGTCGATTCAAATGATCAAATGAGAGAAGTAATATACCTATTTTTGATGCTGCGGCTGGACGAAACCTTTACGACTATGATCGTCTCTAAAATGAGCGCACAGAGCTTGGTGAAATCGTGAATCGTGATCAAGTCTTCTAGGTGCTTCAGCCCTCCGAGCTGCATAAACTCATCATGGAGCTGCCCGTAGTTGATGAGGTGGATAAACGCTGACAGACAGTTGGCCATGATCGACTTCTCTGCTTTTTGGAGGTCACTCAGACTGCAAGCTGACTTGGTTTCAACGAAACTGGGGTAGAACACCTCTATGAGAAGGATGCGCTGTATGGACTTAATGAAGAACGGCACCAATTTCAGAAGGTGGATTGCAACAGGTTTCGCGATTTTTGGCTCCGCAGACAAGAAGAGTTTCTTGTAGTTGACAAAGCTCGATAGAGAGTCGGTGTTGGTTGGCGATGCAACTTTCCCAAAACAGACCTGAAATTATAAGATGAAAAATTACACATGATGGCGAATCTACGACAAGCGTCAATTTGTTTCCTTCGTCAAACAGCTCTTCAATGGAATTGTGCCTGATCAGGAAAATTTTACACAAGAATTAATATGTATATTGGACCGCACTGCCGTGCTAAGGAAAAACGCAGTATCAACATACAAAAGTTGCCAAGTTTCTTTAGATAAAATGTTCATTTTTGAGAAAAGTTATGAATATTTTTCCTTGAAATTTTCACGACTTTTTGGTAGAATTGTGACCAAAATTATCAGAAAAATATTCATAAGTTTACCTAGAAATTTGTGTTTTATTGAGGGAAATGTGGGAATGCCTGAAGGCTCATACGGTGTTTTTCCTTAGCACAGCAGCACAGGTCTGCACTGCTGGACGAGATATGAGCTTTCAGGCATTGCTAAATCTCCTGTAGTCAAATACGAATTTTCAGGAAAACTTAAAACATATTTTTCACCTTATTCTTCAAGTTTTCTATGCTTATGATATACTCAGGGGCACAAAAAGTTCTAAATGCCATCAGTTTTCAGAAATTCAATGTTGTTGCCTCATAAAAAAATGTCCAATTTCATGGCAAAATGCCCGATTTCACAGCAAAATGTGCAAATGGCACCGCTTCTTTAGAGTATTTTTGTTACACAAAGCGTGTTCTATGTGAAATTTTGATCAGAAAACAACATCATAATGCTTAAAGTCACACCGTGTCTAGTGGTCCATTGTCAAACTTTCAGAGCCTCAAGAATGAAAGAATAATTTTAAAATGGATGAAATTTTCAGATTGAATGGAGCAAGATCATGTAATGATACAATCAAAGCTTGAGGTTAAAAGTCAGCTATGTTAATTATTACACATTTTTAGGCTGTGATATAATTCAGAGTAAGACTACTCAATATACCTTGCATTGAGAGATTCCTTCGATAACGCCTAAGTCATAGAACATTTTTTCCTCCAGAACTTTGAGTGCTAGATCAATACAACGGGGATCAAGACTGAGGATGTTGAGAAACTTGCCGAGGAGGTGCGAAATGTTGAAACAACAACATGTCCCACACATTTTCAAGACCTGTTGAGTGAAAAAAAGAATTAACAGAAGGCATTTTAAGATAGGTACATTTTAGATGCTTACTTTTTTCAAACACAACGAGGGCTCTCAGTCGACGAGGGCTGAAAGTTACTACTCAAGTTTTAATTTTTAGAGGAAAAACTGACAGTTTCTGTTGAGATTTTCTGATATTTTTCTTCACTCATTTGAAAAAAAAGCCCACAAAATTTCAACAAAATTCCTCAAGAAAACGAAATGTTACCAAAGATTTTTAAACGTTGCCATTAAGATACATAGTTTTTGCATTCAGCCATCTACTTGGTTCCCTTAATAGGACAGTGCTCGAATGAAAATTTTAATCTTTCTATTTGTTTACACATCACCACGAAATGAATAAAATACTAACCTGAAGAATATAACTAAACAGTTCACTATTCATTTTTTCATTCAGAAGTTTGACAAGAAGGTTGGTGAGCGATGTCACAGCACAGGTGTATTTCACAGACGAATTAGGAAGCAGAGAAATGGTGTTCGTGTAAACGTGACCGAAGGAATCATGGTGGTGACTAGATGCGGCCAGGAATGAAGACAAACACTGTTTATGCTTTGAGCGCTTGCATTTTTCACTGTGATTGATTTTGGCGCGAATCCGCTTTATAGTAATAATCATTTCACCTATCAAAAAGATAAGCTTTTTGATACGATAATCAGTTATTTTGAAACTGATAGATGGGAAGTTCAAAATAATTTCAATGATCTTGTAAACCAATTTCCCATTGTAGCTGTCGATGACGTTTTGAAAGATCTGCAGGAAGTTTGAAAGTTTGTCGTTTGCTAGAGTTTTGTCCTTTTGCAAGAAAGATTTCTGCTTGAGGAAATAGTCTAAAATAAGTATGAGTAGATACAGAGACCCAAAGATGAACTCTTGGAGGATTTGTGGTTCGACAGGGGGCTTATCTTCTTGGTATTTAGGGACAATGTCCTCCAAAAGTCGTATCAGAATCGGGACAACGCCCGAGTTCAAGATTATCGCAGAGAAAGTAGACTGGTCTTTCATTTTGTGGACAATCTGCAGAAGTAGCTTCAAAAGAGCGAGTTTGAGGAGGTAAATTTGCGACGGACTGTAGTGCTTGTTCTTCACCGCATTAAACTGCAGGGAGCAAAGATTCTCGAGTGAAAAGTTCAATGCTTGGACGATGACCAACTGCTGGAGGTTATCCGCAGAGGATGTGAGGACGATATTCTGAGCCAGACATAACTCGGACAGAAGATTGATGAGCAGATGAGAGACCTCAAAGACGTTCAGCCTATTTTTGAGGACAATGTTGACACTGTTCGAAACAAAATCATTAGGATTCAGACTTTCTTTGGCGCCTTTATGAGGACCCGCGGACATAAGTCTATCCCCGCTGTCATTCTCCGACATAGACGGGAAATCATCCAGCTCGATTGTGTTGAAACGCAGTTTAAAAAGACTGCTCTTGTTCAGCGTGCTTTTTGGATCAGAGGGGATACTGGCGACAACGTCCGTGTCGCTGCTTTCGGGAGAGCGTCCTGCAGGGCCACGGATCAAGTTACGTTGGAACTTGGACCGCAGCCCGGGACCGCTATCTGCTCGACGACTTCCAGACGAGGCAGAGTCGTTGGACAATGCGTGGGTGTTTGATTTCTTGCGCACCCGTGGCGACTTGAGTTTGATGATATCATCGAGACTCCGGAAGCTTGCTTTGCTGATCTGAGATATGAATGGATTCTTCGATGCCTCTGTCTGAGAGACTTCATTGCAGATGGCGAATACCGAGATGAAGAGACTGGCCAATTCTTGACTATAGGATACATCCTGAAACAGACAAGAAGAGTCTGTGAGCAAACAAGGATAAAATTATATTAAACAGGCTCTTATTCATCCTTAATATTGAGTATTTCTTAATTTCTTCATCCTCTGATCTCAGCCCGATGAAGTTTTCCTCTTACACTTCTACAGATTTTCATGAAAAAACTAGACCTTTCGCCAGAATCCAGTGCAAAAAAGAGGATTTTCATCATTTTTACTAGTTTTTTTGGTGCTGGGTCAATGCCTCCTGCCAAATTTTAAAATGAAATAGTATCAGTGTGGATAAATAAAAAAAATTGTCGGTTTTTGAAACCAGTTCCCTAAATTTCTCAAATATTTCTTTTCTGAAAAATCTTAAATTTGACCAGTCCTACACACTATGACCTTGTTTTACGCTCATTGCTTATTCCTATTTTATACAAGTAGCCTCTCTCGGAGGGAGAAGGAGGGGAGGGGGTGTGTTCGTGAGGGTTGTAAGTTTCATACAACATGTTTTATACTGAAATTTTTGAAACGTGGATAACTCTGGTTTGAGTAGTGTTTCCAGTGCCAAAATGTTTATAAGGGACTCTTCTGAGTAACAGCGATCTCTATTTTCAGTCTCTAGGCATAAAAGTCCCTGTCCTTGTGGATCATTAATATTATTATTAGGTACCACATCGGAGTGGTGTGCATGTTGCCTATCCACTAATTGAAGGGACATCTCTAAGCATTTATCGCATGCAATTTTTGTTGTTCGTTCATTTTGTTAATCGTTTAAAATTGGCATGACGACATCATTGACCGAATGATGTGAAAATTTCGTAACTCCACAGAAAAAAAATTGCAATTTAATTACATTAAACAGTGATTTTATTTCAATATTTTCTTCGCACTGTGCTACTTGAGTAAATCTGGACACACCTTGAGGGCCTGGAATGCCGATTCTCATGGCAACATAGAACTAGCTAAATACAAAAAAAAATGACAACAAACCTTGAGTGAAATGCTGATACTGGGTCATAAATAAATGAGAATCGTCGATCATAAAAATTAAAGGCTCTTGGCACTGTTACTCCTTAAATAATCACTCTTCCCTGCGAATGACGCAATGAAGTTCATTTCTGTTATCAGACAAAGGAGCCCTTTCTGACCTAGACATAGATAACACTGACGACACGGAAGCACCCAATTCTAGAGCTCTTTCCATCACTTCCTCTCTGAAATTTATCACGGCACAGCGAGCCCATTTGGACGTATTTCTTTCAAATGAAACTATGTGCATTAAGACATGAGCCGTGAGACCCATAGGAATATATGCATAACAGGGCTCACGTCGTAATGCATATAGTTCTTCTGTTTGACAGAAATACGTCCATTTAATGAGGAATGAAAAAGCTTTAAGTTATTGTCCATGGGAATAAGAACCTCTCTACATGAAGAATAATGCTGTTGTACAGGAAGTTGTTACAGGATGGAAGTTTCTGTGAGTCTGCCTTGAAAACTTGAACACACTTGAATCAAAAGGTACTATACAAGGTGATCCAGGGGTCCAGACTGCAGGAGCAGGTTTTATGGGTCAAAATGAAACTTTTTGTTGTATAAAGGTTTTTCCAAAAGTGCTCCTAGTCCGAGCTACTCCCCCCCCCCCCCAAATGTCGGAAAGGAAATCGTTTTTCCCGAATTTTGGCAAAGGTTGGGAACCAATTCTCATGAAAATTTGTACTCCCCTATACTTTTGTTCCCTGAATTCATAGATGATCTAAAAAAAAAATCGAAATCTTAATTTACAACAAAAAAGTCTTGTTTTGACCCATGGAACATGCTCCTGCAGTCTAGCTGTTTACGGTGATTCAATGGATGCCATATTTTGTGTCATGGCATGCGATATATCGCATCGATTGTTTCATTTTTTCAGCTACTCATTTTTTTTCTCGAATTTTGAGATCGCAATTCTGTTGTCAGTAGACTAAAGAATTCACTTACCTACCAATTTTGACAAACAAATTCAATGTAATACAGGTGTGGATTTTTCAGAGGAAAAATATCGCATTTGAGTGCAGTTTCCATATCAGTATCGAAAGCGATATTTTTCCTCTAAAAAAACCACGCATTTATTACATTGAATTTGTTTGTCAAAATTGGTAAGTGAATTCTATAGTCTCCTCACAACAGAACTGCCATCTCAACATTCGAGAAAAATGACGAGTAATTGAAAAAATGGAACCAATTGATGCGATATATCGCATGTCGTTCTGACACAAAATATGGCGTCAATCGAATCACCTTAACCCTGGATCACCCTGTATCTGTCAGGTATTTAGTCAAATCAGACATTTTATCAAATGCCCAGGCAGATAGCCAAATTTTGACAGTTTATGTAATTATGTTTTAAGATAAAGAGCTCAAGAGTTTTTAATATTTCGGGAAAAATAACTCATCAAATGTACAAACTCTTCTTGTTTCTTCTTCTCCAAATGCTTCTCATATAATTAAATGATAAAATTTTAATATCTGTCTTTTAAGTAATACATTCTGTATTTTCAAGCTAAAACTTTAAGCTAAATGTTCATTTAGTAGGTAGCTAAAAATCGTTTGAAATACCATTGTACAATGCACATTTTAACATAGATTTCTTTCTTACTGGAGCAATGAATTAATTTGTATTTTTGGAAAGTTATCAGGGTTTCAACTTAGTAAGAGTATTTTACTATTTGCCGAGGCATTTGATAAAATGCCTGATTTGACTAATTGCCTGCAATGTATCCATTCCAATATGAGCCCAAAGGTCTGTACAAGTAAATGCGTAACAAGGCTCATGACAAAATGGATATAGTTCCTATTAATTTAAATTTTAAATGCATCCAATTGGAACATGAGTTTTCAACTAAAAACACTCTCTGGTATCTAAGCAAAAGAAACCATTTTTGTGCCGATAGAAGGCATAAAGTTGCAATTTTAACCGGTAGTTTGCTTTTGGTTGGAAATATCAAATCGATCACTTTCAGATATCGATCTTTTGGTGGAAATAATCCAGTAAATCTCATTAATTTTATGGGGTCACTTCAATGGCAAAATCAAATTTTTGAAGCAGAAGACAATTAAAATCAGTCAACTATTGAAATCAGACCATTTTTGTCAAATTTTGAAAGAACTAATATTTAAGGCAGTAACGTCATCATGGAGATTTCTTTCCATTTCAGTCCCAAAAATTGAAGGAGCCATTTGTAAAAAAAATCAATTTTTGTCGCCAATTATTAAATCATATAAATTTTTTTTTTATAAATCATCATGTGTCAGAAATAAGAAGGCCTGAATTCTCTTTTAGCATGCCTTGCCATTAAAACTCCCCCGACTTGCTAGAAACGTGTTCAATATCAGAGAAAAAAATTGAGACATGTTGTACACTGTTCCTAAACTTTGTACCTTTGAAAAACTGACGGCTCATTAGCCGGGAGGAAAACCGTTAAATGAAACTTTCCTTTGAGCTGATTTTTCGCTTGCATTTTTTTAGGTTCGGACAATCATTTTTTCATGTGATTAGATAAAGAAGAGAGGCACTGAAAATTTTAAATAAAAATGCACCAAATAACATGTTGCATAGTCAACTTAAAGAATGTATCACAAGTGAATATAAAGGCCCCTGACATTTATCTAGCTCAGACCATAGCCCTTCTTAAATACTATGAGAATAGACATCTATTTTTAGATTTAATTTCCGTTCTTGAGGAAAAAAGCTTCACAAAAAACTAATTTTAAATTCATTAGCATGAAAGGGACTTGTAAACTGGCAAATGAGATTATCTCTTTGCGGCAAGATTCTGAGCGCTGTCACGATCTCTTTGGTGAAAGGTCAGCAACAAAAAATAGAACACACAGTTCAACACATTTTTCTTACATAATTTTCTTCACTTTCTTTTTAAAATTCTACCTTATCGAACATATTAACACTTTATTCCAACATTGCAATAAAAAACAATGCTGGTTGGTATTAATGCACAAAAAAATGACATAAAAGCTGAGAAGCGGTAGCTACAGCTACTTTTAACAAAAGCTCTGGAGGTGCTATGTACCTATTCTAGACAAAGTTAGCCTCAACTTCAATTTTTTTTTACAAATGTACTGTCAACAGAGAAATAAAGGCTTCAAGAGATCGACCAAAATAGCAGTGACAATGAGCTTACCAGAATTTATAAGTATAACGACTTAAGCCACATGAGTCTGACACAAAACGTTAAAACAATGTGGTAGTGTTGAATTTGAGTAAATTACTCAGAAAAGTTATTTGCCATTCACTCAAGTATCACAGTGCAATGGAGATATTGATAAAGTGCAGATGAATGCAACAAAATTGCAAATTTTAAACCATGGTATTGCAGTATTTTTCCCTCAGTTGGTTGATAAATGAGGATTTTAAAAGGGCAGCAAAATTAGTTCTACATATTAGGAAGATAGGCAATTGGCGATGCAGAGCAATATTGCAACTCGCTCCAATTTTATTGCAATAACGAGCTTATCAAAGAAGAGCCCGTTTGTGCAACCTGCTAATACCGCCGCGCTATGGAAGAACGCCGTATAAACATTCGAGAGTTGCCGAATGGAGATGTTGCATGTGTGAGGAATTTGCGATTTGACTACTGATTCTTCGGTAAAATTTCTTGAGAAACACGATGAAGCCACTGATTTTCTCTGAAATCAACTCCTAAGCTCAAAAACAGTTCTCAAGTTGAGGCTAAAATGGAAGGAATATCCCAAGCTATCCTGAGAGTCCACCTCTACATCACGACAAACTCTCCGTGCAAAGATAGCGAGCAAATACATTAGCAGGGTTGCCACTTTATTTGGGGACTCTAAAACTGAAAACACGGCATCACTGCTAATGTATTTACTCCCTATCTTTGCATGGAGAGTTTGTCTTGATGTAGAGGTGGACTTTCAGGATAGCGTGGGATATCCCCTCCATTTTGGCCTCAACTTGAGAATTTTTTTTGAGCTTGGGAGTTGATATCAGAGAAAACCAGTGGCACCATCGTGTTTCTCGCGAACTTTTACATAAGAATCAATAGTCAAATCGTGAATCCCTCACACATGCAACATCTCCATTTCCAGTGATGAAACATGTATTCTCGACGTTCATGCATACTTTCCCCTGAAATTTTCAGATATTTTAGATTAAATTGCATGGGAAATCGTCCGAACATTTTGGAAGAAAATACTTATTCAAAATATGAACGGTAAATTCGGGTTTTATTGAGGGAAATCTGGCAGCGTCTAAAGGCTCATACGGCGTTTGAAAATTAGCACGGCAGAATAGGACGCGACGTTGTTTATAGCGCCTTGATGCAACTATTCGTACGAGACGGATGTCCGTGTTGCATAGACACAAATTTGAGGGCGTTTTCGCTTTCCTTGCCCCCGCGGGGACTCGATTAGCACGTTGCGTCGTTACAGCCCTCTTTTCGGGGAACTCAAGGGATTTCGTTGAATGTGATCCGAAAAAAACCTTGTGATCTCCAGTAGCAATGGCTCTTCAAAAAAATTCTACAAAAAGTTGTCGAAAAAAAATGTAAAAAACTTGTGAATTTTAAGAGTTCGTAAACTTAAAGTCAAAAAACTCTTAAAATACTCGTTTTGGAAAACCCTTGTGGGGAATTCTTTTAAATAAAAAATAGTGTTATTTTAATTAAAAGATTTCTTCAATTTCATGTAAAAAAGCCCCGAAAAGGTTTCCTGATACGAATATTTCAAGAGTTTTTCACGTAATTTTCAAATGGTTTTGCAGTGAATTGTAAGTTCTCTTAAAATTTACGAGTTTTTTACAACTTTTCTCAACAGCCAATGCTACTAGGGATGAGGACGATTCTTTAGTGAAAGTTAAAGCTTGAGTTCAAAGCTCGTTCCGACAATATACGGTTGCAAAGTTTAGGTACATTTTCACCATTGAATGATGCTAAAAATTTGAAGTTCCTCGGTTAAAAAACAACTTTTTTTTGTCGATAGGAAGAGCTCCAGAATCGGTCTAGTTCGACGAAAATCCAGTCAAAGGAGCTTGGTGACAAGGATTAATTGCGACTGATATCCCGTCACGCTGTATATTGAATTAAAGAACTTAAATTGTCTTGAAAATTATAATACCTGGACACCAAGACACTGTAGAACTGCTAAACATCGCCAGCCCCTGCCGTTCAGCAAGTGTTGGCGGATGAGAGATGAGAATTCTTCATTTCCCGCTTGTACAGAGATATTGTGGACATCTCTCAAAAACTCAGCAGCAATGATACTCGCAATGACATTCGATGAGCTGGAAATAAAATGGCATAGTGCATTAAAACATGCTCTTGTGATGACAACAGAACAAAAAAAAACTAAAAAAAAAATAAAAGACCCGTAAGACAGGGCCGGATTAAGGGGGTGGCCACATGGGCCGCGGCCCATGGCGGCAAATCTAGAGGGCGGCAAATTTTGCAATTTTTTTAAATGTAGGTATAAAATGATCGGAATTAGAAAAAAAAAATACAAACGAGAAAAGGTGACAAAATCTCTCATTTCCTGAGTGTATAGTAATTTTTAATTTTGTCGTCTTTCAGTGATACAAGAGACAGCACCGTTAAGTAGTCGAGTTAAGAGAGAAACCAAACACGCAATTTGGCCTGGAACGGCGCGGCGCAGAGAGCAATGATGACGAGGACTTGAGATGAAAAGGAGAAGCCCTCGGTGCGGCGATCCGCATGTAACACATATTAGCGCCTACAAGACTGCAAGAATACTTCACGCATTGCATCGAACACAGTGCAGTCATTGCGGTCAGCGTGAAACGGATAGCGCCTACAAGAATGCATGAATACTTCACTCATTACGCCAAACACAGTGCGGTCAGCGCGAAAAGCATGGCGCCTACAAGACGGCGTGAATACTTCATGCATTGCGCCAAACACGGTGCGGTCTACGCGGCGCGGCGGCGCACACTGTGGTATTGGACCTGAAAAGCTGGCCAAAACTATTTATTACCAGATATCGCCGAGTTTTAAAAATATTTTACAATCAGTACTTCTTCTTAAGTGATAATATGCACAATTTAACCACCTAACACATCATATGACAATTTGCGGAGAGTTTAAAGAGGGTGCAAGAAGCCCTCCGAAAAGCCTTTAAAAGGACGCAAAGTATCTGTCTAAAGCGGTGCATTTAGACGAGTTTCTCCTTCACCTATGGTCTACTTTTCGAAATAAGGACTTTCTATTACCTCATAATTAATGGTTTTTTTTTACAAAACAGTGCAAGTCACTTCAAAATTTTTGACGAAACAGCCGATCTCTCACATTGAGGAGTAATTGAACATTTCTCAAAAAAATTAATATGAATCATTCTAGGTATTAGATTTTTGACAGTTTTGAATCAGAATTAGTACTAGTATGAAAGTGCCGGGACCTCCATATGATGATTTGAGGTTAAATTATAAGATGAAAATGAGTTTTATCATAATAAGAACCATCGTAAGGGCAGAAAGCACCTGTGAAAATGATTCATTTTGATGGGTTCCTTCCTCACCCATGGTCCACATCTCAAAGTGAGGGCACTTCACTGCGAACTTCGTAAGAAAACCACATATCTCACTTTTACGAGGCTTCAAATGTGCCTCACAGCGTAATTTCATGGTGTCAGAGGGCCACTTTTAAAGCCCCATCCCCGGGGCCGCATGGACTCAAATTTGTCTGTCAAAGTAAATTATGGCATAAATATGCTTATACTCAAGGATAGGTAATGCACGCAGAGATTGTTAGATAACGGTTTAAACACTTTTGCAAGACTTTAAAGTGACCCTCCCATCCGCTTTCAAATTATTTTTTTATCCCTCTTTCGAGGGCGTAGGGGCCAGAGAAACAGGTTGCGTGACCAAATATCACCCAATCTGGTACTAAATGGGTCAGAGCTGTTGGAAAAATACAATTTCAGTCGTTAGTATCGACATAATTTTTCCCATTCATGTTTGTAAAAATCGCTCAAAAGTCCATCTTTAAGGTCAAAAATTTCAATTTCCTCAGTTTTCCTCAGTCTGTCACCCCTGAATCCTGAAAATACCCACTTTGGACTATAACATTCCGCCTTAAACCGCTTGAGCGCAGTTGAGCGCAAAAAGAAATCGGACTCTGAATTTCGAAAAAAACGTTTACTTTTACATCACTTTTCAACCTCCTGTGAAAATCACTAAAAAAGGAAATTTCGAAAATACTGTGGTTAGTGGTGTAGAATATACCCCTAAGAATGTGTTGCATATCGCCGAAGTTCCCTTTTATGGCCGCACAGTTGAAGTAAACTGATCGACGAGTAGCGCGCCAAAACATATCAAAATAATCGCTGAGAATTAGGTAACTTCGTGGTCTCTTCGCGGGAAATTGAGCCACTCGAAAAATGGTACATACATGTCTACCAGGGTAAAAAACAGTGTAGATTTCGAATATCACATTGGTTTTCCAATAAAAAAAAATTTAAAATTGAGGTTTTGGCCAGGTTTTTCGGTCAAATACCACAGTGTGGGCGGTAGTTAAAATCATTAAACCACATTCATGTTTGTTCTCTCATAATTTTTTTGTTCATTTCTTATGAATGAAAGGCCTTGTCCACACAGAGATAGGTTTACGAAACTTAACTTATGCTAGTAGTGTTGACAGGGCATTCCCAAAACATGCGTGTTCAACACGAGTAAACGCGCTTTATGCACCCCTCCCCCGCTGGCACGTTCACTTGATGGTTTTTATTGATGTTTCAATGAGAATGAGAAGGAGGCGGCAAAATACAGGCGGCCCATGGGCGGCAAGTAGGTAAATCCGGCCCTGCCGTAAGAATAAAAACTAAGACAAAAAAAAACAACATTTCGACGGTGAAACTATATCAGATCACGTATCTCGTTTGGCGTATTTAAAATTCTTCGCTGTTCCCATTTTATTTTTTTGAAGGAGAACAGATTAATATCATTCCTTGATATTTTCGTAGAGTTTTCTTCGAAAAATAAAGCAAATTTTCAAGAATTGACTTTGAGAGGTTTTCCATTTAAAACAGAAAGTATGCCAAGAAGTCTGCAACGTCGCGAACCGACTTACATGGTCTAGTGGTTTTACCCTCGATATATTATGGGAGAAAAAGCATATACCCGCTACAAAATGAAAGGTCTATTTTATTCAATTTTTTTGGAGAGTTTGAGTTTATTATTTCGATTATCTACAATGTATGTAGTTTTTGCTTAATACTCTAATGAGGTTGCATGCATCATTATTGTATTTGTATATTTGTCTTCTTTGGTAGGTAGAGAATGATAAATATTAATTTCAGGCTTTTGCAGAAAAAAATATTGGTACAGTGTTCGAATCTTGGAATTGTGTCATGTGTCCTGACAGTTGAAACCTGTAAATTGAATAATGGTACAGTATTTTGAGAATCAAAATTTTGGTTCCAAAGAATCTAGATTTATCAACGAGAATAAAGGTACAAAAGAATAGGTGCGCTGGTCACAGAATCAGGTTTTGATGCTTCGTTCTTGTAGACCAGCTAAAAAGAATAAGATCCGTCCAAACCGCAAGTTTCTACATTCAAGATTAACCGAGATATCGCGTCTTGAAAAGTCGGGTTATTGACGTCATCCACCGCGGTAGTGACACCTGTGGTCTGTGGTTTCTTCCACCTTGCCTTCATCCAAGTTTCACGTTGAGTCACCGGTGCATCACTGACTGATGAAAGCAAGGTGGAAGAAATCAAGGGTGTCACTACCGCGGTAAATGAAGTCGAGAACCCGACTTTTCAAAGGGCGATATCTCGGTTATTGTTGAACATAGAAAGTTGCGGTTCGGACGGATCTCATTATTTTTAGCTAATCTACAAGAGTCAAGCATCAAAACACGATTCTGTGACCAGCGCAACTGACCCATTGGAAATCTAATGATCGTTCTTTTCGTTAATTGATCCGTTTTTGTTGCGAAACCTTCAAGCGACTGGAAGCGAGGTTTGAATAATTTTTGGACGGGGGCTTGCAGTGTTCACAAAGTGCGATCCTTTACCCTGGCCTGGTTTACAGCATTGATGCAAGAACTTCTCGGTCACGTGATCGGCCCGAGTACATGAACAAATCTTCAAGAGAGGAAGAAAAAATATCTGTTCGATTATTCTGACATTTATGTTTTCACACCATTCAAATGGTGGAAGAGTCCAGGTTTTTTAGGAAAGTTTCCTAATACGTAAATCTTCAAGGGGAAACTATGGGGGACTTTGGTTAAAAAGTGGGAGGAATTTCTGCAACTTTAGTCACGAGGTATGTATGGTGACTCGTAACTTGGTGCTGAAGGGGTTCAGAAAAGAAGACAAGCAGAAGTGGACACCGGAGAAGTAAACGACAAAATTCATTGCGTCAGTCTCGAGAATCTTGCTATGGCTTTAAAAAAAAAATCATAAGATAGAAAATTACCTAAATGAAACAATTTCTGATGGCTGCTTTCCATCTTTGATTTCAATGAGAAATTCCGATAGGAATATGTCGAACCAGGATGATCTCTGAAACAAAATAGAGAGAAGTTAATAAGCGAATAACTGCGGGAAAACCAGTGTAGAAGAATGGAAAAGAAAATAATTGATAACTTTTCGTGACAATGTACATATATTGTTAGTGCAGGATAATGATAGCTAGTGACAGATGCATTGGAGATAAAACAATCAAAGCTTAGACATTCGCCAGAAAAACAACACCTGGATTGTGTTGTATGTGAGATGGCATGCTTCGGTGTTAATGCTTTTACGTCTACAAATTGGTTGGATGCCAAAAGAAAATTTCCGACAGAGTTGCCATTCTTACAAGAGGACCAGCGGCAATAGCGTTATACCTAAAATTGCTGTTGAGGCAGAAGGTAAAATTTTCAAAAAATATTAGGTATTGCAATTTTACCTGAAAATATTGACAGCTACATCGGCAGCAAATGGGAATGAAATATTGATGTGACAGTATTTCCGAAATCAAAGCAAAAGAGATCCTTGGGCAACATTTTGTAATATTAAAGAAAGCTGTGAAAATTAACGTTCAGGCCAAAAAATAGCAGCAGCGGTTTCACGAAGTTTGACGATTGTTTGAACATTTCTCGACAATAATTTTTTCCGTCTCAAAAGTAATGTCTTTTCTACACTGCTGCAACAAATCGTTAGACTGTTTAATTTAGCCTCTAGAGGCTACAAATCTACTGTAGAAAATGGGTCTCGGTGAATTCTATAGATACATAGTTGATAAAATTATTAAATAAAGGGACTTGCATTTTAATCCCCGATCATTCGTTTCATATTTTCGGATTTCCTCTTCTAAAATAACGCAAACGTTTGCATTATGGGTGTGACAATTGCCTTTCTGAACTTTCACTGACTTTAATGAAGCTAAAAATAGAAAAACCAATTTTTTCAATCGGTGCTTTTCAGAATCCTGCGGGCTGATGGTTGAAATTAATAGACAAAGCTATAGACAAAGGAGATATAAGGAGTATGGAGTCATATCGGTTAATTTGGGTGGTTCTTATAGGGGAGAAAATGATGGACTAACTAAAGGGTCTCCAAGCAGTAGTTGCCGTAAGTTATCGTTCCATACTCGGAATCGTTCCATACTCCTTATTGCTTCTTTGTCTATCGCTTTGTCTATCAATTTCAATAATAAGTTTGCAGGTGTTCTCCACTGACTTGGTACACATGCTTGAGAGAGGTGGTGGCCGCTGATAATTTCATTCATCCTTGCGTTGGATGAGCTCTTCGGAGACTTTTCAAGCCCAAAATCAGGAGCTTGATTCTTGAAACTATATCGTTCCCCTGTCGATGGAAATCAAACGACGGTGCCCGATCTTTCAATGTTACTTGTCGATCAGGATCATCCGACAACTTTAGGATCGAGTAGGTATCAAGAATTGGGTCGTTGCGGGTAGAATATCGAAGCTTAAAATTGGACCGAGTTTAACAGAAAGGAACCGTTCCACATAAAGTTGGAACTGAGAAAAAAAGGGTTGAAGTTTTTTTCTCCATAAGGCTCAATGTTGAAAATAAACTTTAACCCCTCTTAACACAGAGTAATTTTTTTTCTTGACTTTCAGTTTTTGGCAGGGGAATATATATGACTAGGGGAACTCAAAAACATTCATAATTCAATTTTTTTTGGAAATGTAGGTTGCTCAGTTTCTGACGAACTCAGTCTAATTGAGGGGCTTGGAGGACAAGGCGCATAAGTGCAGTTTTTGAAAAAAATTGAGATAGTAGTGATTTCAAGAAAACAAGTCTTAATGCATATTCTGCGAAAAATTCGATCCCAAATTCCAGTTTCTAAGCATCAAAAAGTCAGATTGAACTTTCTTCCAGCCTTTAGGGATGCATGTAATTACGAAACTTTAAACACGTATTTCTCGAAATAGCAAAAAAAAAAATAACAAACTAGACTAACGTGCCTCGTCCTTCAAGCCCCTAAATTGCTGCTTTGTCGATCGACAAAGCTCAAATTGTAAATTTTTTTGTCGATGAGGATCATTCGAAAAGCGTTCAGTTGAGTCTTAATCGTAGCCGGGATATTGAGGATTTAATTATTGTAAGTGAAAAGTGGGAAAATTATGTCGAAATCCTCCATTTTTACGTGATCTTTGATTCAAAATTATGAAGTATTTGCTGAAACTTGATCAAAAGCTTGTCAATCTACAAACATCGACAAATAACGCTGTAATGTAGGACTCTGACTATTAACGCCATTCCAATGCAGAAGCGTAATAAATGATCGTTTATCGATATTCCCCCATTTGAAGCTATGGTAAAGAATCGATTATTAAGGTGTCCGTTGCAAACACCCTGTTAATCGACCCTTTTCCATGGTCTTAAATGTCAGATCAATCGATATATTGCAAAGCACGCCACGCCAGTGTGTCATTCAAGATCAGTCATCGTGTCAGTTTCAATGATTTACCCTCAAGTAAAAGAAAGTGGATTTTGAATTTCAGTTATCCCATACTTTCTTACTTTATACGATGACACTTTTGAGCCGAATATCGTAGGTAAATAAAGGTGTGTTGCGGCTAATATTCCTCCCTGGAATTTGAAAAATCTGAACCTGCAAAGTCAAGGGCTTTATTCGCCACGCACGCAATGAATCAGATGATGAGTAAACTTTTGAGTTTTTGTATTTATTTAAGTTTCTTTAGGTTAAACTACTCAAGGAAAAAGTGTTTTCCTTTTGAGATTGTGAGGGTTTCAAGCTCTATGGATAACGTCTTCACAAAACTAGGAGAAATGATTGGAAGAAAAAAAACTTATACGTTTGAGCTTATTTAATATTTTTCACAATAAAATTGTACAAGCGGCAAAATATATACACTAGAGACTGGATACTAAATTTACTTGAGAAGCAAAATAAGAAGAGACTTTTCAGAGAGCCGATGGTTAAAATGCAAATATTCAATACGAAAAAATAATTTTTAGGGCTCAGATCGCCACGATGAACAGACTTCGAGTTTTTAACTAATCGCAAGTAATTAAGTTTGGACTAAAACCAGCTCAAAAGTTATTAGAGAGTACAACCTATTCATCAAACAGGTGTCTCTTACTTATACTATCATATAAAAGAACTACGGTCTAAACATTAGGAAAACGGCTTTTTAAAATAAGCCAAATCTAACAGGATACTCGACTAAAACGAGTACACAGTGTAAGAAATTAATAATAAGAAAAAATATCGAGGAAAACATAAAGAACTGTCTTTTAAGGTTGAAATGAGTACGCACTTACTCAACTAAAAAAAAGGAAACCATACGATCTCTTTAGGAACTAACAAGATTGGCTGCGGACTGATTATTGAAATTGATAGACAAAGCGATAGACATAAGAGACAGAGGGAAAATGAAGCGATCCTATTGGTTGAAATGGGTGTTTGGAATGGACAAAGGAAGTAAATAAAAGACTGACTAACGCCAACCCACCAGAGACCCTGCACTTATGGACTATGTGGAGGGTCTCTGGTGGGTTGACGTTTGTCTACCTACGTCCGTTTAATTATGGACTAATTTCCCCCTTAGTCTATGAGAAGCACGCGTTTCAACCAATGAGATTGCTCCATACTCCCTTGGTTTTCTTTGTCTATCGCTTTGTCTGTCAATTATCATCCCCCTATTTCCCTAATATTTGGTGACAAATTTTAATGAACTAGCCTGATCGATTGAAAAATAACAACATTCATATGAGGTTAAGAAGGGCGAGGTCAGAATTTTAAGCTACCTAATCTGACGTTAGACATGCAACTTTGAAACGATCACTTTTAGACATTTTTAGACAGCACAATTGACCCTTAAATAAGTTGACCAACTGGCGGTCAAGATTAAGACTACTCACACAGACGTTCGATTGAATTTAGGGTCATGAGAGCTGAAAAAATCGCCGGGAATGAGACGGTGAGGATACTTTAGCCAGAAATTTTGAAAAATACACAGGTTGTTTTTAACATGAATGGACTATCTTGTTTGTAACAAATGTGCTTGTTTGTAACAAAACCATTCGATATAAAACTATTCATTAAAGTTCATGAGATCGCTGACTAACTGCGCGCATGTAAAATGAGTTAGAGGTAGGTACAGAAAAGACCTAGCGGGATAAATCAGGATAAACTTTGCAGGAGGAACCTAAAGAGCCCTAGGGCTACACTACCGTGCTAAGGAAGAACGCCGTATTAGCCTTCAGACGTTGCCAAGTTTCTTCCGATAAAAATCGAATTTCCTCGTAAAATTCCGGATATTTTTCCTCCGATTTTTCAGAGAATTTTGTTCACAATTTAATCTAAAATATCTGAAAATTTCACGGAAAAATATGTAAAGCTCTCTTTAAAAATACATGTTTAATTCGGGGAAATTTGTCAACTCTCGAATGTTCATACCGCGTTCTTCTTTAGCACGGCAGTACAGCTCTGTTTGGGCCACACCGAAAAAAAAAATGAAGTTTATTTAAGATTCTGGATGTAAAAATAGTGTGCGAAAACTTATGAAATTCTTAATTACCAGCTACAGCAGCTAATTTAGGAATGCCAAGATGTAAAACTGACTGCTGTGGCAGGTAATTCAGTATTTTATAAGATCTCGCACGCTTCTTTTACAAGTAGAATGTTAAATCAACTTCACTTCTTTTTCGGCGCATTCTTGTAATTTCTTAACGTTATTGGAAAGATTGAAGAGTGTCGATAAGGGCATCTTTTGGGCCCACCTTGGTTAAATTTCCTCAGCTCTACGATTTTTTGCTCATTGAGGGTTTATATTTTACGGAGCGCATCATGATCGGTCTCAATTTTCGGTCGGGCGCATTTTTCGGTCTCTTTTTAGGTGTAGTACTGATCTGAAAATGGGTCAGAAGGCCGCTTTTGATGAAAAGTCCGCATTTTCCGACATTTATTTGACCGCAAACCCGTAAAACTCGCATTTTTCGCCAAAATCGACTCCCAAACCCATGTTAAGGCCAGTATTAGACCTAGAAAGGATTCGAAAATGACTCAGTCATGATGTACTCCG